TTAACCAACTAGATTGGTTGTCTTATAAGCCAGATATTAAAGTTGTCTTATAGGCCAGATATTAAGCTATAGTTTGCTCAATCATGGTTTACAGATCTTACCAGCTTTTCCTCCTCTTTCTCCTCTCTCTTGTGCAATTTGCACACTTACTTATATCCCACCCACCCCTTTCTCCTTATAATATTCTGGCTGAATTGTACCTACATCTGGTAAAGGATTTTGATTTGATGATTTGTTAGATCCTTAAGCCTAATCTCTAGACTACAGTGTTTTCTGACAGTGCGCTAAACCCTCCCCACATCATTTGCTTAGCCTTAGTGTGTTGTGCTAACACTTTCTAAGGCAGTGTGTTATAGGAACCCTGTCACTTGATCCAGACTTGTTTATGTTCAGGAAGTTTATTATATCAGAAACATCAAGTCTGCCTAATGCCCTTTCTTTTTCTTTTGAAGTTTTAGTAATAGTTTCACAGCTAATCTTAGCAAGGAAAGCAAAGTGGCAAGCCATGTTGCACAATGTCCTTGTGAACATTTGACATACAATATTGCTTTGCAATTCTCTGGAATACTTGGAAGGTTTACAAAGTATTGCAAAAGACAGTTAAATTAGTAGTTGGAAAATAACTAGCTCTTTGCACTCTTTGTGTTAATACAGACTGAACTATAGAAAGAAAAAAGAGACACTATAAGCAGGTGTAAAAAGCTAAGGAAGCTTTATTTGGGGGCTCTCACTAGTACCTACCATCAAGAGAACATCTTTTTGCTTTGCTAATGTTTGCTATAGCAGCTCTTAAACCTTTGAAAATGACTGGCTAATTTAGCAAACTCTCTATACCAAACTAATGAATGGAGAGACAAACCCTTGTTGCAAGCCAATAACATCTATATTTCAATACATTTCAATACACATTTGGGATGATTGGAGCATTGTATAGATCTATGTAAGGAAGTTACATTCCCTCAAATTCTCCTTTTTTGCTAGAGGAGAAAGGCCATTTGTCTTTTTAAAGCAAAGAGAGATGTTGAGAATTGAGGCTGAGAAGAGAAAAGAGGTTTGTTTCATCGCCCCAACAGCTAAACTGTCTGGAATCCTCAGGGATTTGGAAAGGCACGCAAGAATAACTGAAATAGAAGGAAATCTGGTTCAGAAACAACAGATGCATTTGGACTGTTAAATAAAACATTCACTAGATATATTGTGTATAACTATTTTCTCTTTTGCCTTTGTATGTTTCAGCCTGTTGGAAGAAAAGTCTTCATCCTGGTTCAGTCCAAGCTGGGGATAAACAACATGGCGACTGCTTTAGAAAGAAGGTTGCAGTTTATTGAAGAAGAGAGCCAGACAGAAAGATGGCTCTGGCAGGAAAGAGGAAAAAGGGGCTGAGCACATGTAGGGAGTGGGTTTTTATACCCTTTGGAGCCTTTGTTTGGAGTTGTTCCTGTGGCATGAACTGTGACCTGAGTCTGAGTGTGCCTTTCTGGTATTCTGATGGTGATGGGTCAATCTTATTATGTCCAAAGATCATATCCTGCTTCCCTGGGCTGATGCTCTTAGAGTTTGGATGGGGTATGTAGATTTTAGGTCTTTGTCTTCTTAATCTCCAAACTCCCTGGATTTACATCTGCATCTCTATAGAGCTGGTTTCTGCTTGAGGAAGGGAGACCTAGAGCTATTAAGAAAACTGGGCATGCTTTCCTGCCTCTTTAAGATCCTTGGAGGAAATATATTTTTTTGCCCTTTTAATATTTCCTTCTCTGGGGGGCTGACTTCTCACAAGCCCAATATATTTTCCCTGGTACTTTTAGTGCATGCTTAGTAAATGGCATATTTTATGCAACTGGGAAGCTCTCTGCAACAGGAGTTGCTTTAAATCAGGAATAGACAGCACTAACTTGTAGTAAATTGAAGGCCTTGTATTCACATTTGATTGGTGATCTGTTTCACATTGCTACTAAGATTTGAACAATTTATCTCTCTCACTAATGAATGTTTTACTTAGGAGAACTTAAAACCAGAGTGAAAAATTTAGATTTTCCCCTCCCCCCCTTTTTTAAAAAAGATGAAGTTTGGTTTCATTTGTCATTTATTAAATAGGTATAATTCCCAAATGGCCCTGTGGGAAGGCTAATTTCCCTAGCCACACCCCTAACACTACAGAACCATTTATTTCACATTTATTTTTCCTTAGAAATTTTCCAGGATTTTTCTTTGAGGTTTTGCAAAGAATCAAAAGCTAATATCCTTTAAATCTTGCCATCTTCTGAAGGTCCCTCATTCTATTAATTGTTTACCATGATGGATCTCTTTGGGAACTATTATATGACAGCTTTGAAATCCTGGCAATTTCTAGGTATAGTAGCAATCTGGTGATATGAACGGCAGACATATTTGGATGATATTGTGTAAGACGGGTCCCCAACCCCCAGTATGTGGACCGGTACCAGGCGGGGGGCTGCCAGCAACCTGTCTGCACAAACAAGCAAAGCCCCATCCGTGAGATACAGGCAGCACACAAAACCACACACTCTTCTTTCTGTGGAAAAACTTTCTTCATGGAAACGGTCCCTGGTGTCCAAAAGGTTGGGGACCTCTGGTGTAAGAGATTTAAAAATGATCCTGTTGCCATAAGAAATTGAACCTTTAAAATAATTTTTATTTAAAAATGGCAAGTAAAATATTTTCTTGGAAATTATGGGTTGAAAATGAGATAGTTACTCTTAATCAGCTAATCACTAGTGATTTATAAACTTTTGAAAGGTTACAAAAAGAATATAATTTGCCAAAAACAACTGAATGGCAATACATTCAGCTGAAACATTTGTCCTTTGTTTGGGATGAACCAGTTACATTGGCTGCCTTGCAAACTCCTATGGTTTTAAATGTTGATTTTAGAAGCTAAACTAACAATTAAATTTTAATGACAATTGAAAAAGTTACTAAAATAAATATGGACAATATATGAGAATTTGTAATAGAGAACTAGAGTTTCCTACATTAAAATATTGGTGTTCTCACATTTTAAAAGTTTTATATTTCTTATGATTTTAAAATAATGGTTCTTTTTTAAAAATAAATTTTCTACCTTTATGTTAGAGATGCAATAAAATGTGTGTTAACTATCCTTTTCGTAGCTTATTGATTGAATAGTCTCACTGTGGTGAACCAGATTGTTGAAAAGAAGTTTAGATTTAAGAATATTAATCTGTTGTTAAATTATATTGTATAAATTTGGAATCAGTGTATTTCTGAGGAATGTTGGATTTTTCATGGTTGGATTGTTGCCCCCAAAGGCTTTAGGTGTTCCCCAAAAACATTCTAAGTACCAGACAGCAAAGGACGACTTGAAGAAATGTGTCAACTATGGCTTTTATTGGCATAGACAATGGGGCAAAAGAAAAATCCAGATGATGGCCACAGATATATAAAATTCTGATTCCATTTATATGCATCATAGCTCAAATAAAAAGAGCTAAAGCTTTAGACATGCAGGCACAGACATTAGCTTTGCTTTTTTGACAGTAAAGTCTGGACAATATGATTCCATGTGTCAGATTTCAACTTATTATTTAAAAATGGCCTTGTAGCAATTTTTATAGAGATAAATCTATTGTTGCATTGCTATTGTTTTATTTGATTTTTTTATTTTTTTGTACTTATTTCAGATACATTGTGTGAAGACTCTGTTTTTTGGAGAAGGCCGTAATGCTAGATGGAAGAGGACAACCAGAAGCAAGGTGGATGGAGTCAGTTATGATGGTGATGGGTCCACCATTGGGAGACCAGGCTAAGGACATCATCATAGAGAAAATTGTATCTATGTGGTCCCTAGCAGTCAAAACTGACTTGATGTCGCATAATCAATCAATTGTACTTATATTATTATATTTTGTATATTATACCACAAACTTTTGTATATTTCAGTGATGGCGAACCTTTTAGAGACCGAGTGCCCAAACTGCAACCCAAACCCACTTATTTATCGCCGGGTGCCAGGTGGGTGTGGTTGTGGTCATGGCACACTGGATGGATGTGGCCAAGGTGGGCGTGGTCACCTCAATGTTGCTTGTGGGGAGGGATGCCTGTGGGGGCTGAGCAGGGTTGGGGGAGATCCACAGGTCTCTGGCAGGTGGGGCGGTGGCAGGAGGCTCGTCCTGGGGGTGAGGTGAGGCAAGGCGAGGCAGGGCAGGGGTTTTATTGCCGCAGGGCAAGGCGAGGCAGGGTCCGGGGTGGCTGCTCCCTGACACCATTGGCCCTTGCACACAGAGGCCAGTGAGCGCATGGTGGCCAACAATGTCTGTCAGCAGCCACAGCCTGCCAGCCCCTCAACCGGCACACTCTGGGGCTCCACAGCCCGCTGCCAGCAGTTCAGAGAAGCTGCCTCTGAGTTGGACGGCCAGCCGACAGCGGAGGAAGCGATGCAGTGGGTTGTGCCCAGGAAAAGGAGAGCATGCGAGGCCAGGAGGGGTGGGACAGGGGGGAAGGAAACCAGCTGTGCTGAGATACATCCAGCCATGTGGAACCTCGCCGAGTTAGCAGGCAGTTGGTTGAAGAGGGATGGTTGCCATCTCCAGGGCATGGCGCGCATGCCCACAGAGAGGGCTCTGAGTGCCACCTTTGGCACGTGTGCCATAGGTTCGCCACCACTGGTATATTTTATCTATTGTCTATTATGTTAGTTTGCTATATCTGTTTTAAAATATCCGGTTGTCTTCTATTTGTAGAAGACAACTTTTGTTTTCTTTGGAACTATAAAACACAACGTTGGCTGCTTTGGCATGCAGTACACAGCTTCGTTCACCTAATGAGGGCTTATTAATTAGACCCATTTTCTAATATTCTGGCTTCTCCCAATATGCTAGCCAGGAATGCAGAGCAGGTAAAGTTCAGCTGGTAAAATTCTGGTTGCACTTCTCCAGGAGAGAGAGAAAAAGGAATATTAGATCTATCCGTCTGAGGCAGTAAGGATTGAGCAACTTGGGAGCCAAGATGGCAAATGATGCTGGTATAAAAAGTAGCTCCTGCGCAGCATTTGCGCTGAAACACGTCAGTCTTTAGGGCCTGGAGATCTGTCGAACTGGGCGGCCGGCGGCTCTGACTGATGCCCGAACCTGAAAAGAGCAGCATGGCAGCCGCTGCAGAAGGCGGAGCCCGGCCCTGACCTGCGACCATCACAACATCCCTTCATCTGATCTGAGAGCTGAAGGTTTTCCAACTCCTCTTTACTCCCCCCCGCCCCGATTCTCTAATATTCCCGCCCCTGCCCCTCTTTGTCTTTGCCTTCTGGTGCACGGGTATTTGATGGTGCATCGCTCTCCCTTGGTTGTGTAAGGTGCGTGAGGATCCCACGCACCGAGATTTGGTCGCCATGGAGTACATCAGAATGCCCAAGGTTAGTACGGTGCCGGAAAGACGGAGCGGAGGGGATAAAGGCTCGTATCGAAGAAGGTGTGGGGCCTGGGGCAGCAGGATCTGGCGGGGAGAGGGAAATGGGGAGGAGATCAATTACCCTTCCCCTTGAGCATGGGGTTCCAGGCTGGGGTGAATTAATCCTCACCTATGAAACGAAGAATGGTGGAAAGTTGCATGTTTAAAGAATCCATTTTTTCCCACTCAGGTAAGAATACTGCTGAGGAAAAGGTCCTTTAAACTTGGAGGTGCATTCCAATCAGATCATATTCTTTACACAGTTGGAAACAGAATTGTGCTTACTCATTCCTTGCCTATAATAATGCAGCATCAGCCTGCAAGCCAGGAAATTATTTACCCTCCTTTGATCACACTCTTATTTGAAATTCAGATTGAAAACCCCCTTCCCTTCTCCCCTGCCTCCCAGGGAGAAATAATAGGTGAAAATGGGATTATATTATTATGAGATTTCAAAGCGGGTCCTGATTCTAGGTCAATAGAATAAAAATGGGTCCCTGGAAGAGTATCACTGAATCTGATGACTGATAGAGTTTATTTTCATGACATTTGATTAAATTGGAATGTGCATCGATAAAGTATTTAAAGTCTAGGATTTTAAAATCTTGTTTTACAACTGATTGTATATGATAAATCCTAGTAGAACATAGGTTTGAATAGTGGTTTCTTATGTTTAAGGTTATGACACTAGGCCTCTGGCTTCTACACATGAAATGTGATTTGAACATACAAGAATATAGTGGTTTGCATTTAAAAGCATCATCCTGACACTTTTTATCTTGTTCTGTAGTTTATGCCCCAAAGGCATAATTTTAATCTCATTCTTTTCTATGATTATGTTCCATTAAATAAACTCAGTAACAAATAGAAGACAACCCCCCCCCCCATGACCTGAGGAAGTAGCATAGAAAATGTTTTGGATTAATAAAAATCAAGCATTTCTTGAAATTGAAACACTAATGTAGGAACCCTTACTGTACTTAGCATATTTTTGAGACCTACTGTTTTATGTTGTTTATTGAGTGTAAGCCAATAAAAGAGTTATTTTTTAAGATGGGTGGATATATCAATTTTTAAATGAACAAATGAACGGAAAGTGCAAGATTTTAAAAGCAAATCCACCTTCCATTGATTACTATTCTTTTTTCTGTGGCCTGCTCTGCTTCCATGCTATAGGCTTAGATTATTTATGAGATTTAATGTAATGTAAAGAAACAAATATAGATTTGAACCATTAAAATAAATTAGAAGGTAAAAGCCTTCGGAACAACAGCAAAATACTAAATATTATTAATAGATGTAATCAACCACTAACAGTAGGGCTCATAATTGGACTGCAAAAATCCAAATGATCTGTAGATCATGGCTTTCTTTTAACTGCAAAACTTTTTTTTTAAAAAAAATATATAGAACCAATAATGAAAAGGAAAAGCTCTAGTGATAGAAAATTGACTGTATTTGAATGATATTTTTTTTGGGGGGGGGGGCTTAGTCTTTCATGGAACTTCATCAAGTTCCTGTAGAATGGCAGGATTTTGTGGAACATAATTTGAAAAACCCAGCACTAAATAATAGCAAAGTGGCACAGGAAACTAATTCACTCATTCATTCTTGTAGCCCCAGTATGATAAACCCCATAATAGCTTAACTTTAAATGACAGCAAAATTGAGGAACAAATAACAAATTCTGTACAATATCTGCCATATGGGTGTGCCTGGGATGCAGGCTCTAATTTATTTTGAACTGAAGAATACTGTGGCTCTGAAGTTCAACTGAACTGTTGAGGGCAGATCCTGACTTCGTCTATTGACCTTCTCAGCACCTTTTTTCTCTATCCTCTATTAGTTACTAGGAAATCTGGCCATCTCTCCAGTTGTCTCCTCTCTACCCCACCTCCTTTCTACCTGTCACATTCCTTTTCTTCTCCTTTGTTGCCAGCAGCACACATTGCCACCAATAGTGTTGCCTTTTACTCTATTCTGTGCATTCTTATTCACTTCTGCTTGGCATATTTATGTTTTGTGTCTATGCCTGGACCAAATACATGTAGTCTACATATTTTGGTCTAGAGAAAGCCACCTACAGTAAAATGGCTGTTTCAATCAGTTTGGACATTCCTGATCAGCCTCTGTTGAAAATACATTGTGCAGACCCAACAGCTAGAGAATGCTAGTGACACAGCTATTTAACTTGATTTCTAGAAAGCAGTCTAAATGCCTCCCTAGTGTGTTGTAGAGTATAGTAATAATACCATTAAGAGTTTATTTGTTGTATCTATTTATTTAGTATGTTCCATCCTGTGTGGTCAAGTCCTTACAGTTCCAAGTTTTCTCCCTACCCCTTCCTCTTACTAGATATTTAGGTCAGTAAATATCTTCCTCATCTTAGTTATTTCCAAATGCTGGGAATAATTGAAATTGTAAATAGGCACTGCCAAACCACTTCTGTACTGTTGCCTAACAAAAACAACAACAACCCAACAACCCTTACATGAACACATCCATGAAGTTACCAGTTGACTATGTTTGAAGGGGACATTATTTATGTCCAGGGAAAATGGTAAGATGAATATTCCTCTTGAATTCTGCTTTAGGTGACTGTGAGGCTTCGTTCAATAGAAGACTTACACATAAAGTTTCAGGGACCTAGCTCTTGCAAGAGGGCTATGAAAAGTACTAGAGAAACCATTAACAATAAAGTAAAACAGCTATTACAAACTGGAAACCTCAAGCCATAAAAATGCAGCAGATCTCAGTTTAAAATCTTGTAATTTTTTTGTCTTAACTATACATTGCAACAGGCTGAGAATGGATTGATGGCTGGACATTCTTATTTTTTAAAATTCTGTTAGAAATTACAATAGAAAAGAAAAAAAACTAAGCAAACTACAAAAACAAGAAAAGAGAAAAATAGTGCGAAAAAGAAAAAAAGGACTGCTCCCTTCATACCAACAAATACCCAAATTTATGTAAATTTATTGCCATCTCTTAAGTTACAACATATATTCTTTTCACCCCATATCTCTTAGCTGAAAACAAAATAGAAAATTCTTAGCATTCATTTCTTATAGCAGTGATGGTGAACCTTTTAGAGACCGAGTGCCCAAACTGCAACCCAAAACTCACTTATGCATCGTCGGGTGCCAGGTGGGTGTGGCGCATTGGGTGGGCATGGCTGCGGTGGTAATGGCAGACTGGGTGGGACTAAAAAGTTCAATGAATCAATTCCAATTTTGCAAGATCTTTTTTTTCCCATGAGAAGTTGAAATTGACTGATTGATTGAACCCTTTTTTTTTGTACACGGCAGCAGCGGCCTAAAGCGAAAAGGTTTTATAAAACACAGCTGAAGGCCTAGGACTGGGACAGTGGCACGCACGCCCACAGAGAGGGCTCTGAGTGCCGCCTCTGGCACTCGTGCCATAGGTTCGCCACCACTGTCTTATAGCAAAAGTCCAGGAAGAGTTATCAGGTTTAACTGCAGATAGTCTTTGATTTATGACCACAACTGAGCCCAAATTTCTATTGCTAAGTGAGACAGTTATTAAATGAATTTTGTCCCATTTTATAACCTTTCTTGCAACAGTTGTTAAATGAATCACTGCAATTGTTAAGTTAGTAACGTGGTTATTAAGAGAATTTGGCTTCCCCATTGACTTTGCTTGTCAGAAGGTCATAAAAGATGATTGTATGACCCTGGGACACTGCAACCATCATAAATATGAGTCAGTTGCCAAGTGCATGAATTTTGATCACATGACCATGGGGATGCTGCAATGGTCGTAAGTGTGAAAACTGGTCATAAGTCACTTTTCATTGCTGTTGTAATTTGAACGAACATTAAATGCACTGTTGTAAGTTGAGGGTTACCTGTAATTCTCCATCTTAACCTGGATTGAATAATAAGGCAATCTTGCATTTCTTCCTTATACTTTTGACAATCTTAATTCTTCTTAACCCCTTCACAAAGGGCCCTTCAGCTTGATTTCTTGTAATTTTGTTTTTATCTTTTCTCCCAAAAAACTTTCAGACCTTTAGCAAGTTTTGAAAATCTTCAAAACCTTAACAGATCTCTTTTGTACATCCAGTAAAAATATATTCATATCTCTTTTCTGGTAAGATAGTTGCCGTAGATCTCGACTTATGACTACAACTGAGTAACTGTGAAAAATTGGTCATAAGTCACTTTTTTCAGTGCTGTAACTTTGAATGGTCACTGAATGAATGAGGACCACCTGGATATCTTCTCATTACTTGCTACATTTCTATCCGCATTCAAATACATTTCTAATTTATCTCGAGTATCTTGTTCTTATTGGTTCATATTGAAAAGTCTTATAAAATTTGGCCAATAGGATTTTTAAATTAGGTGGTTCATTGAAATCTACATTTATATCATCCAAGGCAAATTGTGCCTTAGGATAAATCCAATGCAAATATTGCTATATAGCTATATAGCATTTGTCTATCCTTTCTTCTAAAGTCAGCCTGAGTAAAGTTTTTTTTTTTTTTCCCAGTGTAGCATCCTTTTTCTTGAACGGCTTCCCATTAATCTTGCTGAGAAGATCAATGTTCACATTTCTTCTCTGAAAGTGCCTGACATCTGTTTCCCATTTACATTCCCTTTGGTATCTATGTTTTACTGTCTTTCTTCTTTGTCTTTAAGATGTGTTGTGTTAAAAATGGTATTTTTGGCCTTCTTTACTTATACCACATAAGAAATTGCGGTAGCTATCATATATAACCCCCTTGACATAGTTTTTTTTAACACCCTTTGTTCATTTCTTATACAAAAATCAAGGTCATAAGGGAAAAAAGATCCTGGTGGACAGACATGGTTTGAAATAATATTTCAATTCCAAATAATTTATGTGGGCAAGCAATCAGCCCACAGGACTGGACATTCATTTATATGTTATTTTATATCTGCTACTAATAAATAATCACATAAAATAAGGTTTTATTCAAATATGTCTATAGCATTCAAGTATAGTATAAGATCACAGGTTTTTTGTTGTTTTTAAGCAAATTAAAACAAGTTGAATTCCCAAATAGCATTTTTTTCTTTGTTTTGTTCTTATAATATATAAAATGTTTCTACGTTTTACTGCTGTTTATCTAAACTCTGCTAAGGAGTTCTGGAGCATATTCCTGAACCTAAAATTTTTGACTGGGTTTGAAGTAGATTATCTTCTGTTTAAGAAACAAATGTCTTCCACATTTTAGGGGATAGTATGTAAAGACCTGAGGTACCATCAATATGCTGATGTCACCCAGCTTTTATTTTACTAGTCTAAATCAGATGAATAATGCTGTCAAAGTCCTGTCCAGAAGCTTGGAGACTTTGAGATTTTGGGTGGGAGAGAAGAAGCTTAAAATTGAATCCTAGTAAAAGACATCACTATTTTTCCATCTGTTTTCTTTGTCTGTTCTAGGGGTGTCTCTTGACTGGGGTGGCACTTTCCTATAATGATAATATCAACATGATGAAATGTCATGACACTATTGCACAGATTATGCACACAACATGAGGTTTGAGACAGATATTAAAGTTTCTTCATTAGTGTAATGTAATATTACAGATGTGGGCTTTTTTTGTCCTCTCCTTCTCTTGAGGATTCCCATATTTACAGTGAAACTATCCTTGTGCATTAATACTTTCTACTGAATTTAATAGGGCTTGTTGCCTGGTAAGTAAATAAAAATTGACAGGCTTAATCAGATTACTGTAATTAATTAGTAAAGTATTTTTCTAATGAGGAAAAACACAGTTTCATTAGTTGAGTTGCATGCTTGTCTGATGAATTTCACTTACAATGTATTAAACAGTGTCTAAACACAGCTGCTTCTCCCCCTTTCTTTCTTTTCTGTCCAATTTTCTCTTCTCATTGCCATCCAGTTTTGTTCTCTCCTTTCTCTTGGCTTTTGTTTCCCTTCCCAGTGCAGAGATCCCTTTCCCATCTCTCTCACTTTTTTCTTCCTGTTGGAAAGAGAGGCAGGGAATGTGCATTTTTGCCTGTACTTGTGTGTTCTCCATGAACAAAGGAACTGTTTATAGATAGGGGATCAGTGTCACAAACAGAAAACCTTATTTTATCAACAATGACATTTAATAATGATATTGTACATTTTATGTTAAATTAGATTTCTTTTTGGCCCAGTTCTTCCTGAGGGTGGGGGAATGTGGCTTCTGGCAGGTATGTTGCCAGATTTTACACCTGGCCTCACAATGAATTGCAACACTACTTATTCAGCACTAGGTTTATCTTGGCAGAAGTCTTGCAGGCATATCTAGACAGGAATCTTTACTGCAGATAGGAATGAAGCCTTGGGATCATATGGCCCACTGCAGTTCAAGGAAGTTGTTTATGTGTGCATGTGTGTACGACACACAGACAGAGTTGGCCATTTCCTTGATGGGATTGAGAGGCAGCTCTTTACATAATGGATTTTTTTCTAGTCTGGGGGTGGTCTCCTTGGTTTACCAGTTTCAGCTGCAATCATATATACAAATGTATGCACAGAAGCCCAGCTCATGTGTGTATTTATTAGTGTGAGGAAAGGGAGAGTTTCAGGGGTTTGGAGTCTCTATATAGTGTTTTCCTTGCATCCGATATTTATTTTACCAGAGGGGGATTGTATCAGTTGCAGGGTTGTCTTCCATTCCCAGAAAGCTCACCCATCTTTTCATTGAAATTTTTTATGGGCCTAAGTACTTTGATCTGGCTATAAACTGCCTAAATTTAGATTTAATATAACAAAGTTCACTTATCCATTGGAAAAAATGTGAGTTGCACAAAAATAGTTCCCAGTGGATCTGTTTTCTAGAAGAATGTGCCATGAAAGTGGTTTGGCTTTCTGATGCTGTGACCAGCTTTTGACATAGGTCATTTTAAAAGTAGCCAAGATACAGTCATGTAAGATCCAGCCAAGAAATCAGTAACATACAATCCATTTTTTTCAACTAATGTTTTAGGTTCTGGAATTTTAGTCTTAAATTACTTTTACCAAACCAAATGCTCAGAGGACAGATGGAAAGTAGCAATGAATCTAAATATAGACCATGAGAATTTGGTTTAGATATAATCCCAGATCACATGGAAGTGCTAATTTGGAAGAAGGTGATTTTAGTTTTTTCAGTTGCCATTATTAGTAGCTTGAACCATAGGAAAAATGTTTAAACTTGATAATTCAGCTGTCATTATAGGCAAGAGATGAGTAAATTTTGACTTCTCAATTGGTTTATTGTTTTTTTTAAGAGTGTATTTGAATGCAATGTATTTCTAAGTGTTCTAGATATATTCTGGTTTCTTTTCTCTTTTGTCTGACTCTAATCTTATGATGTCCCAGATAAGATAGGGATCAGGTTTGCTATTAATAGATTTATTGGATTCATAAATCATATTTATTTTAAAAAGAAATACCTGTAAACAGTGCTATGAGCAGTATTCATTATTGTCAGATTGATTCATAGCATTTGCTGAATTAGAGTAATAGCTTTTACATAATCAGATGGCAACTCGTCACTTTGAAATGTAAACCCTGAAGAGGGGTGACATTGGTAAAATAGTGTTGCATCTTTTAGCACAATATCAAAGCATTACAGAATATAACACATTTTTAAAAGAAAAAATATGGCTCTAAAACTCTGTCTAAGAAGTTTTGTGTTGGTCATTTTGTGCCTTTCTCTGTTTGTAGGTGGAAAATGTGCGCTTCATTGATGGAATATCTTCCAAAAGAACTGTACTAGGGACTCTGTATCTAACAGCCACTCATGTCATCTTTGTAGAAAATGAGCCAGACAATCGTAAGGAGACATGGGTATGACAAGTAACTATCATATCTTCATAAACCCAGTGACCTGTACAGGCTGTGACGTATGTTTAGAACCATAAAATGTTCTGCAAACAAGGCAATTAGGTCTGTTAAAACACTTTGCGAATATTTGTGCACTATTCATTTCTATCTGTATCTGTAGTTATAAAAATTCCTAGCCCTCAAGGACCCTCTGGATCCTTGACTCACAGAAAGGCCATTTACACCACCGAGTCCAACCCCTCACTCAGTGCCAGCATCCAAACAGTAGCAACTCATGGTAGTCAGAGGTCGAATTTCTGCTTGAATACGTTCTATGCAAGCAAAAGAGTTTAAATAATTGAAAGAGCAAGTAGGCATGAAAGAACTTCAGTAATTCTTAAGTCTTCCAAACACATTAACCAACAGCAATTAATCTGTGGAATTACTGATTCTATCAGTCTTGAGCATTGTCCAGAGTACAATTAGAATTAAAAAATATCTGGAAGGCATTTTTTTAAATTTCTGAAACAATAGCTCATGAACTATCACAGTCAGAAGAATAGTCCCTTCATCTGGAAAGATCAGACCTCGGAGCATCCAAGGGGACCGTGCATCTCATTGAACAGAAAACCTGCCTGCTCTTGAAATTTTAAAAATCAACCTCATTACTTAGATTCTTCAAGGGCAGGGCCAGCTCAAAATACGTTGCTTCCAGAGATCACACAACAAATGTCATTCTTTCACTTTCCTCACAAAGATGCCTAGCAAGTTCTGTTCAGAAAATAAGGTGAAGAAGATGAGCTGGAAATTAGAGCTGTGGGGTGAATTCCCCTAATTTCACTGGGACTGGGGTACCATTCTTCAACTGATGTCCATCAGCTTTGTTGAGAGTACCAAAACTGTTAGCCAGTAAGAACAGAATACTGGGACTATTGGTAGTGGAAGGGACAAAGCTCTAATTTTTTTCTTTCTGTTGATTATCCCCACCTTTTGAGTGCTCCTCACATTTAGATTCCCTGCATATGTCAGTTTTGAAATAATTGCTCTAATATCTTCCTTGTAGCATTCTGTCATGCTGAAAGCTCTGTTTTTGCTTTGGAATTTATAAGTTGGTAATTTCAAGTGACTACAGTTAGCATTTCAAAACCTGAAACCAAAGTTCTGGATTTATAATCTTTTCTCTTTGAAAGTCCCTTGACTTCTAAGCAAAGGCAAAATTCACAACTTCTAATAATACTTAAATTTCAGGTGGCACACTTAGGTGAAACACGTTGTGTGATTGTTCTCATTAAAAACAGATATTGATAGTAAATGGTATTTTTAAAAGAAATACATTCAAATAGTTTCATAAAATGAGACACCAAAACTTAGACCTTTTTGTTAATTCGCTTAGAGCTATTTTTTCCCCTTAGCCTGTCATACCTCACAAAGTTGTTTTTGTGCGGGAATTCCCATTTATATTGTCTCAAGCTGATTGGGGAATGCGAGCTATAGAATACACCAAATGCTTATTTTTGGATCTCAGTTAACAAATTAATTATAACTTCCTCACTCTATGAGATCTGGGTTTGTATGCATTCTTTCCAGCAGATGTAGTTAAGAGATCTCCCACTTCACTAAGTGATCCTCTGCTCCTCTTATTGATTCAAGATTCAGTTGCTCTTGTTTTCTGTGATTTTGTATAGTGCTAAAACTGCGTTCACCATGCTACATTGAGCATTTATGTAGCTTAAGGCACATCATACAGTTTTGATTGTGTTGATTTATAAAATGGAATATCCTTAGCTTCTCTTTAGATTGACTTTTTTTTATCAGATTCTTTACAGCCAGATCTCTTCAATTGAGAAACTTGCTACATCAGCTTCTGGTTGCCCAATGCTGATTCGTTGTAAGAATTTCCAGAACATTCAATTCATCATGTCTCAGGAAAGAGACTGCCATGATGTTTACATTTCTCTGATACGTCTGGCACGCCCAGGTATAGAATGGAAGTTCAGGAGGTACCCATGCATCTATGCTGGCAGTTGCCCTGAGTAAAATTACTTTCTTGTAGACATGGGTGACTCCTCTGTTTTGTTTATAAATCAAAAATACTAGGAGGCTGAATTGTTAGGATTCTATTTCAACAAAAGGTTCCATTTATCTGAATGGACGGTCATGAAAAAGCAATTCATAAATGTTTTCTGCTTCTGATATAGTTGGTTGTTGTATTCAATTGTATTTTCTTTAATTACTTATGCTCATGTTCTTCTTATTCCTTTTGCTAGTTCTCTGGCTGTTTTGTTGGTCTTTTTCTTAAAGGCTGTTCTTTTCTGCTCTGGTACCAAACAATTTGGAATCTCCATTTACTTTTTAGCTTATTCCATCCAGATTTATCATTCTTTTATGTTTGGAATTTTATTTCTTCTCTGACATTTTCGGTATTAATCTCTGACATGGGACAAGAGTGTTTTATGGAAATGTCTTCTTTTTGTAGAAACTGTGTCTCCAATATAATTCCCTAGGGTGATTTGGCATGGATGATATCTTTGTTGACACTGCCCCCTAAGTTCCCAAGCCTTCCTAATTTATTAGATTCATTTATTTATAAAAATAATTGGGAAGATAATTTGTTCTGAAGCAAAGTGCCAACCTCAAGTATAATTTATTTTTCTAACTAACTTTTGGGCCTATGTAATCCATGGAAGCATTCTTTAAAAATAAACTATGACTGCCACAAACTGATGTTTCTTTGCCTTCTGCTATATGTTTTGCTAATGGCTGTAATCAATATGGCAGCCATTTCTATGTCATCTTTTGCCCCTTCATTGCCTCCAAGTATTTCTAATTGTCTAAATACTCAATCCATATTATGTCAGAATGTGAAAAATAATTTCAACTATATTAAAGTGGCTCTTTCCAGCATTGATTACACTAGATAATGTAAGCGTGAATCAAATCCCATCTAACAGAGCAAAATTAATAAAACACAGAGAGGAAAATAATGTTTCTGCTTTGCTCATCTGCTTTGTCTACCTGATATAAATTACCAAATAATCTCAAGGATAATTCTGTATTGGCTATCTCCCAAGTGTTATCTTAAAAGTGTCCAGACAAAGAAAATACAGAACTGACCTGAAATCCACTCATTAATTGTTGTTTGGCTTTTCTGCAATGATAACTTTCTAAAGAAGTTGGCTTTCTCCCCTGATTTCAAAAAATGAACAGTTGGAACAATTAAGCAAATAAATCAAGCAAATATATGTTAGTGTTTGCCATTTTGCATTAATAATAACAACAGTAATTCTAGTGAAGAAATAACAACTATCTTGTTTTCTTGTTTTCAGTGAAATATGAAGAACTTTACTGCTTTTCTTTCAATCCTAAATTAAACAAAGAAGAACGAGAGCAAGGCTGGAATCTGACAAACTTAATGGAAGAATACAATCGTATGGGAATTCCAAATAATTACTGGCAGATCAGTGATGTCAACAGAGGTTATTGGGTGAGTTGCTATTCATGAAAACAAATGGCCTGAGTTCTAAATATTGTGATCAAAATACTAGTGTGTGAAAAACTTCTGTTTCCATCACTTTCCAAATAACTCTGTGGCTTAATTCATTACGAAATACTTGAACCAGTAAATATTAATTTAGGATATGTGCCTTTGTAGTACTGTATAAAACTTGCTTTGTTGTTTATTTTTTATTTCTTTGCCATCTTACCTGAGAAATTGTGATTTTAAACACAATCAGCTTCAGACGTTAGCTTCAGAAACTGGCTTGCATTAAAAAAAACTATTTCCCAGCACATAAATCATGGATAATTGGTAACTGTTAAACCAACTTCTGGAAAGGGAATGTAAAGAAAGGAAGACATTTGTAATATTTTATGTATTCCTGGATTGATAGAGTTCTTAACTTGGTGTCTTCCAAAAGTGTTTGACTATAGATTCCAGAAATTACATTCAACATCTGAACTGTTTTTGAGGAATACAGTGATGATTGATATCATGTTTCATCTTTAAACACAATATTGCTGAGAGAAGAGATGTTGCAGAGAAAAAAAATCCTGTAATCTTTCATCTTTGCAAAAAAACTTGTCCTGAAATAAGCTTTTGCAGTTTTTCTCTTGGTGCCCGTCAGATAGACAAGGTCTAAACCTGTCAGGCTTCAGTTATAAAAGATGTGTCATATTATTTAGTCTATTTGAATATTGATTATAATAATACATAGGAATGCAAGAAAAGTATGCACTTTTTAAAATTTTCTCAGAATTGTTATTCATTCTTCTTGTTTACTGCAAGCATATAAAATAACTATTTATGAAGCAGTTTTGAACAATTCATTGCAGAGTGTTTGAAAAAATAAATATATACAACAGTATTTCTCAACTTTGTCAAGTTTAAGATGTGTGGATTTCAGCTCCCAGCCTGACTGGAGAATTCTGGGAGCTGATATCTACACATTTTAAAATTGGCAAGGTTGAGAAACATTGTTATATAGGTTGCTTGAACAAGCCAGTAAAAAAGTCTTCAGTTTGTTTTCTTCTATTCTGGGACAGGTGTGTGATTCATATCCTACTGACATCTACGTGCCCAAATCAGCCACTGCTCATATCATTGTGGGAAGCTCTAAATTTCGTAGTAGAAGGCGTTTTCCCGCACTTTCCTATTACTATAAGCAGAATAACGTAAGCATGAGATTACAAGTTTAAATAATGTATTCAATGATGCCTGATTTTGAGTATTGAAATAATTTTGAAAGAATTTGTGGTAAACAAGATGATAAAAATATCTCCCAATGGAAGGACGGAACATACCATATCTGATTTGACTTCTTTTTAAAGGTAGAGCTTACTATAGTCTTATTATGGAGAAGAAAAATTATAAATTTGCTGGCCAAACAATCAGAGATTTTTACATTGATTAATTGATCAGATTTTAATTACATTAATCTTGTTTTAATCTTTACTATGTGATTCAGGGATCATCTTGGGAATGTAAACACATTTGATTGGCATTGTATCATCTGGAAAATTCAAAATGGCAGCTTGTGACAAATAAGTAATAAAAGTCAGTTTGCTGGAAAAGGAACTAAACTGCAATCAGAGTGTTATAAACAAGCTTGAGTGTACTAAATATTTTCACAATAAAGCATATGTCTGTTCCAGTCTCTCTCTTTTGTTGTCTCCTAGGCTTCCATATGTCGGAGTAGCCAACCTCTAGCAGGCTTCAGTGCTCGATGCCTGGAAGATGAACAAATGCTACAGTCGATCCGAAAGGCAAATCCCGGAAGTGATTTTATCTATGTTGTTGATACACGCCCCAAAGTAAGTAAGAGGCTTCAAATTCTGTTGTCTTTTTTATGCTGAGTATTGGCTGAAATGAAAAGTTCTAGAATTGCCAAAAGAAAAAGAAAAAAAGTCAAAGCTGGTTAAAAGTGAATCAAACTGTTTTTAATTGCACTGAAGGGAAGCTCTGTTTGTAAATCTCAGCAAATAGAAATATTGTTTTATTAGGCCATTAGCAACACATGCTTTGTCTGAAGGATTGCATAGAAATGGCAATTGTGTTTACAACCCTAAAATTAGTTTTCTCAGTAAGCAAATGTATTACTCAGTGGGGAGGGACTTGAACTGAAAGATTTGAAGTTGTCTTCTCACTTGAAAAGATGGAGAGACTGTGTTTCTTTATCAACTATTTGAAAAACATGTGAGACTGAACTTCAAAGCTGAACTTAGTTTTGTTTTAGTTTTCATTTTATCCAAATAAAAATTGCCCTTTAAAGTAGATTGGTATGAGACTAACTTTTAGCAGACAACAGATCTCCTCTTTATGAAGATCTCACTTCCTGCTAATGAAGAATGGAATGGAATGGAATGGAATAGAATAGAATAGAATAGAATAGAATAGAATAGAATAGAATAGAATAGAATAGAATAGAATAGAATACACCTTGGAGGTCTTCTATTCCAGCCCCACACACACACCCTCAAGCAGGAGAACCTATACCAACTCAGACAAGTGCCTGTCTAGCCTCTTCTTAAAAATCTCCAGTGATGGAGCTCCCACGATTTCTGGAGGCAAGCTGTTCCACTGGTTAATTGTCCTCACTGTCAGGAAGTTTCTCCTTAATTCCAGGTTGCTTCTCTCTTTGATCAGTTTCCAACCATTGTTTTTTGTCCTGCCCTTTGATGCTTTGAAGAATAACGTGACCCCCTCTTCTTTGTAGCAGCCCCTCAAATACTGGAACACTGCTATCATGTCTTCCCTATTTCTTCTTTTCTTTAGACTAGCCCAGGGGTAGGCAACCTTGGCTCTTTTATGACTTGTGGCTCAGTTGGCTCAGGAATTCTGGGAGTTGAAGTCCACGAGTCATAAAAGGGCCAAGGTTGCAAACCCCTGTACTAGCCAAAGCCAAGTCCTGCAGCCGTTCTTTGTATGTTTTAGTCTCCAGGCCTTTGATCATCTTAGTTGTTCTTCTCTGATTTTTTTTTCCAAACTCTCAACATCTTTTTTGTGATATGGTGACCAAAATTGGCTGCAGTATTCCAGGTATGGTGTTACTAGTATTAATACTTCACGTGATCTTGATTCTGTGCCTCTGTGCCAGGATTGTATTAGCTTTTTTGGCTGCTGCTGCACACTGCTAGGTTATAGTCAAGTAATCATCCACTAGGACTCCAAGGTCCCTCTCACAGTTACTATTTTTAAGCCAGGTCTCGTCTCATCTGCACTTGTACCTTTGATTTTTCCTGCCTAAATGTAAAACTTTTGCTTTTCTCCACATTGAAACTAATTTTGTTGGATAGGACCCATTGCTCAAGTTTGTCAAGATCTTTTTTGATCCTGAGTTTGTCTTCTGGGGTGTTGGCTACTCCTGCCAGTTTGGTGTCATCTGCAAATTTGATGAGTTCCCCTATAATTATCTCATCTAAGTCATTTGTGAAGATATTGAAAAGTACGGGCCTAATAATAAATATAACTTTATTTGCATTTTGTGACAAGCAGTAGGGGACTGTCCAGCTTTATAAGATTAAAGCACATGTCCAAAGACCTACTTATAATATGGTCAACATTCCATATTTTCATTTTGTGTAAGCAAAACATGGGATATGCTATCAAGGAAATTTTCCAGAGCTTTAACAGGATTTGCTAGATTGTAGAAAATGCATGTTCAATCCAGTGGAACTGTACTATAGGCTAAATAACAACTTGTTGACCCTTGCCTTTTTGTTGAGTGCTGCAGCATCTGAAAAGGTCTTTATGCTTCAACACAGATTTAATTACGTTGTTAGTAGGTAAAGTGAGAGAGACAGTCTGGTGTAGTGGTTAAGGCCATAGGCTAGAACCTGGGAGACCTTAAACTCCAGTCCTGCCTTAGGCACAAAGTTGGGTGACTTTGGGCCAGTCACTTTCTCTCAACTGGAGGAAACAGACAATCTTTTGCTTCTGAAACCACTTGTGATATATTGCCAAAAAACTGGAGGGACTAGTCTCGACACTGACTCGAAGGCACACACACACACATATATGCACACAGACAAAGTGAGTTCTGTGTTTAGAGCAGCGGTTCTCAACCTTTGGGTCGCGACCATTTTACGGGGGTCGCCAAACAATGCGATCCGCCATTTTTTCCCTCGGGGTGCCGCCGAGCATGCGCGCCGCGCATGGGGCGGCACCGAGCATGCGTGCCGCGCATGGGGGCGGCACCGAGCATGCACGCCGCGCATGGGGGGCACACCGAGCATGCGCGCCTTATGACCGGGGTCGCCGTATAAAAAGGTTGAGAACCACTGGTTTAGAGCATAATAGCATTTCCTATTCTCCCTCATTTAAAAAGCACTCGTTAATAAACTCAGTGGTTCCTCTAGCAAATCAGCTAAGGTTAACAATAATTTGGCATCTGAGAACAGATCGGATCAATTCTGTATTCTGTGGGTCTGAAGAGAGATTGCCACCTTCTGGATGAATTGTACAATTGAAATCATTATTGAATTTAAAAGCTCCAAAGTAGTCGAAGGCAAAGGTGATGGCAGTTCTTATTTCATGGCTTTTTAAAAAAAATACAGAATGCAGCCCATGTTTTCACTAATAAAACTCATAATCTGATATTGTGGAAGGCTCTTTCCTCCCTTTCTTTCTTTTGGCCAATGGTAATGTTTTTATTTCTTCTTCGTTCTAAAGGGGAGAACATTATGTCAGCGGTCTGAAGGGTATTTTTTTTCCCCTTGATCTGTGCAGCTCAATGCAATGGCAAACCGAGCAGTTGGGAAAGGGTACGAAAACGAAGACAATTATTCCAACATCAAGTTTCAATTCATAGGTATTGAGAACATCCATGTTATGCGAAGCAGCCTCCAAAAAATGCTTGAAGGTAACATCTTATCTTTGTAGATGCTGGGCGCAGCTTGAAAGTCATCCATCTTTTCTTCTTTGGTACTAATACATTCTGAGCTGAATGTATATTAGTACCGAAATTGAAATTAGGGATTTTGCTTCATTAATAGAGCATTGTGGTTTTAGCATTTAAGCCCATTAATATGAAACAAATTTTCTAAAGAAGTTGCCTTAAATTGGCCCTCTGCTTCAGTGGCTATTAGAGCTTTGCCTGTAGATTTTTTTCAGCCTTGTTATCTGATATTGTTGAGTTGAAGAATTTAGCCACTTAATAGGGAATCCTCTTCAATAGGGGATTCATCTTATGAATAGTTCCTCCAGTGACATTAGAGCAATGGTTCTCAACCTGTGGGTCGGGACCCCATTTGGGGTCGAACGACCATTTCACAGGGGTCACCAAACAACGCAGTCCGCCATTTTTTCCCCCCTTTTCCTTAGCTGTGCTACTCCCTTTTATTCTATTGGCTTTTGAAAGCCAATAGAATAGACGCTCTTGAATAGAGTCTAATTCTATTGGCTTTCAAAAGCCAATAGGAATTGTCCAGGCTGTCTCTGCCCTGCTGAGCCGCCAAAAGTCCCATTCTGCAAACAGTGCTGCACCAGTTGAGTAGTCCTCAACTTACGACCGGTGGGGAGTCGCGGCATTAAAAAGGTTGAGAACCACTGCATTAGAGGGACTTAGCTTCTATATAGCTTCAGATTGGCCCTCTGTTTCGGAAGAAATGCTTCCTCATGAGCTTGAAAAATTAGTAGCTGCTTTAAAGATCTGATTCATTGAAGCAGGTGTGGCAATCTGACTTATTAAAGCAGATGTGGCTTTAATGCAATTCTCTAATGCAGGGGTGTCAAACTGCTGGTCCGCGGGCCGGACACATCATGAGGAAACCGCGCTTACCCCATTGCCTGCAATGGGGAAAAAGTTCCGATATGTTGCGCAACATGATGTGATGTCACAGGTTTGACATGTCTGCTCTAATGAGCCTGCATCTGTTTTCATATATGCTTGGAATCCTGAAAAAAGACATAACTGCATTTAAGCAGTTCTTCCAGTTTGCATCTGGAAGCATCTCTTCCATAAAAAGTATGTGTACCTTAATGTAGAACATTTACATGCCATTTTAATAATTACTATGATAGTCAGTTTCTGCTAACCTATTATATATGTACTACCCTTTTCTTTTACCCTTCTCATCTTACTTTGGAAAAAGAAACAAAGTTATATGGTATGTAGCTGAGCTTATAGAAAATTTGGTTTATTTCTTCCACATCTGACATATTGTTTACTCTACTTGTTGTCTGATCAGCCCACACTCTCATTTCTGCTGATCCTTTTTGTACAATTAATGGTGAAAGGCAGATGACAATGACAATGTGTCAAAACAAATGTATTTTTCCAATTTATTTAATTACCAGTGTTAAAAACACAGGGACAAATGACCAACTACAACAGAGACAATGTAATAGTCATTTAAAACCTAAAAATGAAGACTTAGATACCACAGAAAAATTAACTAAAATACAGTAAAACAATATAAAACAAAAATAAAATAGAAATTGAATAAGATAAAAAGCATTATAATAGAAGGGGAAAGAAAGATTCTATAATTTTGTCATTTCAAGAATAGGATATCTTATGCCTCTTTATAGAAATTTCTGCAAATAAAAATTGCAAGGCCAATGGCTTTTAATGGAGATGTTGCTTAGTAACTGAATTCCTCGTGAAATTAGTTCTCTTTTGAACTCTAGGTCAGCTACCGTTATCAGACCTAGCTGATTTAGATCTGACGTTTAGGACTGCAGTTTAGGACTTTGTGGTCTTTGCTAAGTCAAGTGGAAAGCAAATATTAACTCTGATATGGGAACATACCTCTATTTTGACTCTATTTAGGCTTTGTAAACAGGAGGTAAGCAGTCTCAGAGTAAATCCAGCTGCTAATGGCTTGTGCTCCCATTTGCGTAGATGCATTAATCATTTGACAGGCGTCTTGCTGTCAGCAGTCCTTTATAATGAGGATAGTTCTGTGAGATGCTGTTTTGAACATCCTATTTTGTGATCAACTGCAAAGAATCACTCTTTTCACTGAACAATGAGATTGGTCCTCCCAGTCTGATGCCTTCCAGATGTGTTTGAGCTCCACCACTCCTAACTTTTCAACCCACAGAGGATAAGTACAGCTTGACATATATGTAGGACATCAGGTTTTTTCATATCTGGATTGGCTTAATCTAAGGTTATCAGATCCGGATATAAAGATTGGTTACTGGAACCCTTCTGCAGCCTATAGGAAAGGGACCTGCCACATCTTCAGATGTGTGCATAGGGAACTTCTCACCAATAGGACATTGAATGGCTCAGCATCCTGCTTGATGTGAAAGAGCTTTTGATGGCCATATTCCTCCTATATGGCAAGAAGAACGTCTTTTATTCATGTCAGCAACTGGGGGTTGGCCAAGCTTATACAACTGTACAATTCCTTTTTGTCTTCTGTTTTTAAGAAGAAATGCCAGTTTAAGAGACCGTGATTTTTGAAGAAGGAAATGGCAGAGGCGGAAGGTTTAATTGAATCTTTTCTTCCAACACTGGTCTTTTAGTTGCTTTCTTAAAAAAAGGTATGAGTGAACTGAAGCCCTGCAGAAGATAAACTTACTCCCACTATTTTAAGGGAAAAAACCATCTACTGGATTAAAATACGAAGAAACTTGATTATAGCAGTCCTTCATTCAGTATCTGTTGACACAGCCTTTTCATTTTGGGGACTTTACTTTGCATGTTTCCCCCAGAATTTAAAAGCACAGGGCTTACAGCAGTGCAAGAAGTCAAACTGGTACATAATGGCCAGTCACTATTGCAAATCAGTTATGCATGCAATCAAGTGACCAACATGTATGTGAAAATCAATCCCCCCATTTTAAGCTAGACTTACCATATAAAATTAACCATTTAAAAATTCTGGTCTGCTGAAATGGGCTTATTTTGCAGTCTGTGAGCTGAGATCTCCTTCAATGAGTGATTTCCTCTGGGGGCTAGAGAATTCAGGCTGGTTGAAACACATCAAAGCCATTATGGATGCGGGCATCTTTATCGCAAAGGTACAATATATGATTTGTAAATGAAAATGGGGATGGGGATGTGCCATTTCAGGTAATGGAAAATCTTTGGTTTTCTTCCACTTGCAGGGATGTGTTATGGAATAAAATTAACATAGTCCAGATGTCTCTCTGGGCTAGAGAATAGGACAGTGCTGGATATGATGCTAGATACTGTGCACAGAGGTTTTGCCCAAATTGTGGCATAAGCTCGTGAACCTATTGTTGTCTAGCGTAACTGCTGATGCCAATTTCCTGATATTCATGATTCTTTCTTAAATTTCACACATATGCTTAGGTAAGTGTGTATTGCACTGTCAGAATGAAATGCTGCAACTGGACATGAAGCACATTCATAATTAGTATTAAAAAAAAAAGCTCAAGGCCAAGGTGCAAAGTAATAGCAGAGAATATAAGTGGGACAAAAGGCAAGTCATGGTGACCCATTGACGGCTTCTCCAAGGACAGATATGGTGAAAGGAAAAGATTTCATGGTATATTCCCATCCAGCAAAATACTATGTAGAAAAGCCTCTCACAGTGTATTACATTGGCTGCAACACTGGGAATAGAGCTTCCTACTGACTCAGACCACTGATTCATCCTGTTCAGTATTGTTCATATTTGACGGACGATGGCTACCCAAGGTTTCTAGCAGAGGTATTTCCAGATCTACCTTGAGATGCTAAGAGTTGACATTTCACATACTTAAGATTGTGTCTTCTTCTCTATCACTTTCGTTACTATGGGAATCAAAGAGACATTCCTCCTTTTTTTCTTTCTGTTTCAGGCTGTTGCTGAAGAGGGAGTCAGTGTTCTTGTTCACTGTTCAGATGGATGGGACCGGACTGCTCAGGTCTGCTCTGTAGCAAGCCTTCTATTAGATCCATATTACAGAACTATAAAAGGATTTATGGTAAGTGAGATTGCTTTATGAACAGAAAAAGGGATAAATTGTGAGTTCATTTTTAATGGAATTAAAGTGAAAGAAGTTTTTAATAATATCAAACTATTTAGTGAATTTCCAGAAGTTTTATCTTTCACATTTTGAGAGATGATGCACCACATTTTTGGAGGTCCATATTTGGAGGCCCATCTTCAACTGTAGATTCAGTTCAGCAATCACAATTTACTGTATAGCTAGCAGCTGTGCTTCTAAAAGCAATTCTGGCACTCTTGCTTAAGCCCTGGTGAAAGGCAAAGAAGTGGAACCAATTCACTGTCTTGGAATACACAGATTCATGGTGGACAGATCAAAAGCAAGAGCAGCTTTGTGGACTACAAGAAAAAAAATCTGGTCCAAGAATGGATGCAGGTTTAGCTTCAATAGTTGGGATACATATTTTCTAAAATGAGAGACTGATACTTGTGTGCTTGGCATAACTTACTATCACCCCAGGTAAATTGGATGAATTATCATTTTCCTCCAATTTCTATCATGTTCTTATAACATTACAGTATAGTGTAGTAAGTGCATCTTAAATACTAATCATAATTTTTCCCCTTTCATTATCTTCTATATGGAAGAGATCTGGGAGTTTCAAAACATTCTGCATTCTTTTGTAAAACCTGAATGGTAAATTTGGATGCTAGCCTTTGTATGAAATAGATAGGAAGGAACTACATTGAAGAGGCAGAGTTGCTGCTCCGTTTGCAAGCTCTGAAGATTGCAAATTTTAATTTAATCTTCAATTTAATTTTAACTTTAATTGATTTTTCTATGTAAGGCCAAAGTAAAAGACCGGGATGTATTTAGAATAATAGAATTATAGGGCTAGAGGGGACCTTGGAGTTCTTCCAGTCCATTCCCCCAGCCCAAAGCGGAAGCCTTTATAAGATCCTTGACAAATGGATGTCCAATATTTTCTTGAAAACCTCCAGCAGTGAAGCATCTACAACTTCGGGAGGCATGCTGTCATGTCACCCCAATCCTTTTCTTCATTAGGTTAGACATACCTGGTTCCCTTAATCATTCATCATATAGCATAGCCTCTTATCATCTTTGCTGCTGTTCTCTACACACTTTCTAGGATCTCAGCATATTTTTTGTATCACGATGACCAGAATTGGATGCAGTATTCCAAATGTGGTCACATTAGTGCAAGATAGAGTGGTACTTTCACTTCTCATGATTTTGATGCTATCCTTCTGTTGATGCAGCCTAAGACTGCCTTGGCTTTTTTGGCAGTTGAAGCACACTGCTGTCTCATACTTAAGTGATGGTCCACTAAGACATCTAGATCTCTCTCACAGTTAGCTGTGAGACATACTGCTTATTCTCTACCCATGCATTTGGTTTTTCCTGCCTAAGTGCAGGACCTTATTTTTCTTTTTATATCTTATTGCTCTAGTGACTAGTCTGACAAGATCCTTCTGAAGCTTGAGTCTATCTTTCAGAGTGTTATTTATCTCCCCCCCCCCAACTTGGTGTCATCTGCAAATTGGATGAACTCCACTTCTATCCCCTCATTTAGATAATTTATGAAGATGTTGAAGAGCACTGTGCCGAAGAAAGAATCTTGAGGTATCCCACTGCATGCCTCTCTCCGTGTAGACGTTTCATTGAGGCTAAATGCTGGGTGCAGTTGGTCAGTCAATTGCAAATCCATCTGGTGGTAGTTCTGTCTGTCCCACATTGCTCTATCTTACTAAGAACTTTATCGAATGCCTTCATGAAATCCAAGTATACTATATCCACAGCATTTTCCTGATCTACTAATTTAGTCCCTTTATCAAAGAAAATAATAAGATTTGTTTTAACAATTCCATGCTGACTATTAATCATCTTATTCATTCCTAGGTGTTCAAAAATCCACTGGGTAATTATTTTTTCTAGGTTTTACTAGGTATTGATGTCAGGCTGATTGGTCTGTAGTTTCCCGGTTCTGCTTTTTTCCATTTTTTGAACATTGGAACCACATCAGCTCTTTTCCAGTGCTCTAATACTTCTCCCTTGCTCCAGGAGCTTTGAAAGATATTGTTTAGTGCAGTGGTTCTCAACCTGTGGGTCGGGACCCCATTTGGGGTCGAACGGCCATTTCACGGGGGTCGCCAAACAAGGCTGTCCGCCATTTTTTTCTCCCTTTTCTTTGGCCACGCCCCTGGCACCCGGTGATGTATAAGTGGTTGGGGGTCACCACAACATGGGGAATTGTATTATGGGGTCGCGGCATTAGAAAGGTTGAGAACCACTGGTTTAGTGATTCTGAGATCACATATGCCAGCTTCTTCAGAGCCCTGGGATATAAACCATCTGGTCCTGTCAATATGAACTCATCTAAAGGAGATGAGTACTATCTTACTAAATTTCTTGCTTATTTTGATGTGCTTTCCTGTTTTCTCCTCTAACCCATAATTATTTTCCCAATAAAAGTGGGAAGCATCTTTTTTCTTATTTTAATATAAAATATAAATTATCACTTTCCTCTGAGAACCTGGTTTGGGAATATGGGTATATATTTCCTTGACATATTCCCATGCAGCTGGCATGAATAACTGGCTTCTCTAAAGGGCTATGGCCATCAAACATAGAGTCTCTCTCATTGTCTATGTGCTCAGTGTTCATGTGTTCTGTCAGTGTGGCAGAGGGAGATACTTTAACCTGCTAACATTAAGAAATATTTTATAAATTCATTTATAGGCAATTGCCTTGTAGCATAAAGCATTGAATAAAACCATATAACATTATAATGTGAACCTTAGGGCGTTAAGGTATTCTTTAAATGGATAACAAATTCCAGCATAACAAAATTGTATTTTGCCATCTAAGTAGGCTGCCAATCAATTTCTAAAATTCGTAACACTACGATTACTGTCCCTGATAAAACTCTTTGTCTTTTTCTGGGGTCTAGGGGTCTAGGGTAGCTCAGCCTGGCCAACTCAACCACGGCCAGCTCGAGTTGGTCATGTGGAGTTGTCCTGCAGTGACTTGGAGGCATCGGGTTGGCCATGGCGAGCTGGCCACAGCGAGTTGTCCCATTCCACTTTTTCTGATTGTGAAATTTCAGGGTTATTTTTAATAATCCAATTAATTAGAATAAGAAACATAATTTTCTGCTTCTCTAAAAAAACCTTCAATAATCTCATTTGATGCTACTATTTTTGTTTCAGGTATTAATTGATAAAGATTGGGTTTCATTTGGTCATAAATTTAATCACAGGTAAGCATGGTCCTTTAATGTGGGTTCTATAAAGTGGCACTCAGGTACTTTGCTGCCATGGTACATCAATTGAACAGTCCTTTCTGAATATTGAATTGTAACATGTCTGATGGCATCATGTTCTAGTGGTCACTTGAGTCATTCTTGACTCTTTGTAACTACATGGACAGGTCTCTATGCAGTTTTCTTAGTGACATTTTGGATGTGGTTGGCCAATACCACCCATCTACTGGTAAGGCTAAGAGACAATGATTGACCCAGAGTTACCAAATTTTGTTGGTGTTGAGCCTAAGGGAGGATTAGAACTTGGGTCTCCCCACTCTATTCCTGTATTTTAATCATTAGATCAACCTGGCTGTCTCATCATGAGTATAGTGAAATGTAATTGAAAACGATAAGAAATATAAATTGTTTTTTGTTCATTTTTAAGCAAATCCAAATTCGACTGGGTACAACTGGCCCTTTTCTTAATCACCTTTCCTTTGATTATTTAACTTTTGAAAAGTCTTTCTGGGCTTATTGCCTGGGTTTATACACTGCATTAAACCAAGATTTTAATTACTGTTTGCTTAAAAAGGCATATTAGTCTGGTTCATACTCTAAGATAAACTGTGGCTTATAAAGTATAGTGGCCATGTTCACACATTAGCCTATATGAAAACTACACAAATCACATCATGATTTGTGTAGTTATATATGAGCCCAATTTTCTTTCTTATTGGACTAATCAATATATGAGTAAAATCCATTGAGATTTTAGCTATTGAGGCTTTAGCTGGCTATGGGGACCTTTGGGGAAGAGAGGACAGGCCAAGGAGGGAAATGACATATGGTATCACATAAGGGCCAAGATTTGGTATTTTCATCACTCATCAGGGCACAAGTATGCAGTTATAGAGGTTGCATGATGATATCATACAGCACATGTCATTTTGACATGATTGTGGTTACCTTCTAACTGACATGGATAAATATACTCTGGCAAATTTTATTCCGCAAATGAAGCAAACAATAGAACTGACAATTAGGATGGAAGATGTTGTGCCAACGCCCAGAATTTCAAAAAGGTAACAGTTGTGAATTAATATTTTCCCCTGGCATTGATGTAGGTACGGCAATTTAGATGGAGACCCAAAGGAGATATCACCAGTTATCGATCAATTTATTGAGTGTATTTGGCAACTTATGGAACAGTTTCCTTGTGCCTTTGAATTCAATGAAAGATTCTTGATCCACATACAGCATCATATATATTCCTGTCAGTTTGGAAACTTCTTGTGTAACAATCAGAAGGAAAGACAGGAGCTCAAGTAAGACACTTTTTAAACTATGTGTGCATAGTACACCAGAATGACCCTTTATTCTGATAAACATGAAGCTTCAATGTGGAATCTTAACCAATACATAAGATAAAATTGTTCAATCCTTTCAAACTGGTTATATAGTAAAACCCCAATATTATAATAAAATCAGTAAAATTTTGAAAATACTACTAAAGAATAAAAGATCCATTTCTTACTGCAATCAAAAGAATTATCCAAAAATTGCTTTACTTGAAAGGAAGGTGAATCAATGAAACATGAATCAATCTCCTGAATTCTTATGAATATAAGATGATATTCTCATTTTTAAAAGTAAATATAAAACATAACTTTAGAGAGCCTGAGAAAACAGCCTCAGTTGGACAGTGATTATCTGATTATGATTATCTGGTAACAGGCTCAGAGTTTTTCCATGAGGATTTCTAATTTTTCCATCTTAGTTGTCTTTTAAATTAATTAAATGAAATCTCAGCTGCTTTTGTCAGAAAATTATCATCAAAAATATAGTTCCCAGAATGTTATAAGGATAAAAACCAAGAATGTTGGGATTAAATAAAGCCTGGTTAGTTCCTTACCAAGTCTGCGAATCATAGCTCCCATGATGTTGTCCAGAATAACCCAACACTACCACCTATTGATTTACAAAGAAGAGTAGACTCTGGTTTTGACTATTTAATTCACAGAATCAATTACGGAATAAGATTAATGTTAGCACCTGCCCAGATCAGAGCATGAACATTCTGACCAGCATCACATCTTATGGTAGTAAATCCCATTCTTTAATTTTCTTGTGTCACACAACAAAGTGCTTCTTTTTGTTAATTCTGAATCCCTTCACAATACTCTTATTCTTGGTGGATGATCCCAAATATTGTAAGAAAGGTTAAAACAAAATAAAAAATTACTCAGGCCACATGTGTGCAGAGGATGCCATAGTTTCTATGCAATATTAGGAAATTTAGTTCTGTAGGCTGAGATTTTCCCTAAGTTCCTTAACTGTTGGCCATACTCACTCGGGTTGTGGTTCAGAAACATCTGAACAGCTTAGCATTTTTTATTACAAAGGGCACCTAATTCCAAATAGTTGAATTCTATTCTTTCTAAATGTGTATCTACTCTTTTGACATGTTCATGAAACCTTTCAATATGGAGCTAAGGGAAATAGCAAATGAAGTTCATAGAATTTTATTATAAATTGTCCCTCAGAATTCAAGAACGGACTTATTCACTTTGGGCTCACTTATGGAAGAATCGTGCTAATTATCTGAACCCTCTGTATCGGGAAGACCACAACAGGACCCTTCATCCACAATCAGCTCCCTCCCATTTTATCTACAAGTAAGTGGCATCTGAATTGTTCTTTAAAAGATTTGACTAAATGAGCTAACAATTATCCCTGACTTTAAGAATGTGCAAATATATTGGAAATAGCTGTGAGATTGATGGCAACTTTCACAAACCTTCCTCAATTCCTTCTTCTTTGCTGTGAAGTGTAATACATTGCTGTATTACACTTCACAGATAATAAAAGATAATTATAGTAATATAAAAGATAGATACTTTTCATTGGGACAGGATGTTGTACAATTGTTTCATTTGTTCACTTTCTGTCACATTCTGTTTTGCTATGGAATTTTGTAAGCGACCTTTTGAAGGCAATCCATCCTGAAAACTGATTTATAAATTTCAAATAATGCCCAAACAAAAGCATTAGATCTTCAAGACTGATGTATGTGTGTGTGTATACACATAAAAATCACAATATCTCTCAAACATATTCTTAACTTCAATTTTTTTATTAGCAGAATCCTAATTCCCACATTAATGATAATATACATCACTAATTCTGATACATACATACATACATACACACATACACACACACACACACACACACACACACACACACACCAAATAAAAAAGAAAAACGAACACCAGGATATAATAAACCACACTGTTTAATATAAACAAGCCTGTGGTTAAAAAGAGTCACTAAGTTTTCGTCAGGCCAAACTACCGATGTCATCAAAGTAAAAGGAGATCAGGAAGGCAGCACATATAACCTCCTGCCTCTGCGCCCGGCTCCTTGGCCCGTTGATTGTATTAATCCGTACCGTGCAGAGTTGTTCCGCATCAGGCAAACTGTCCTTGGCTCCGCTAGTTTTACGATCCTCAAGTCCTCTTTTGGACCGTGTGCAAGCACTTGGAGGGCAGTTGTCAACCAGTCCCTGCGCCCAGTCTCCCTCCCTCCCAGGGCTATTATCCTTCCCCACCCCCAAAGCCATTGTCATCTCCCCCGTAATTCCTCCGCCCCAGTCCTGCAAAAAGCAGCTGTTCCGGCATTCCTGCTCTGTATCTTCCCCCTCCCTCCCCCTCCTTCCAGCTCACCTCTGCCCATTCGTCCCCAGCTTAGGGCTGTTTGGTCCATCATCTCCGCCCATGGGAGTCATGGTCACCTCACCTGTAGAGCCATCGTCCCAATTATGCAAGATGCTGTCCCATTGTTTCGGTCTCTATTTTTTCCCTTTAACCAGGTCATCCTCCTCCTTAGGGATCGTGCCCATCTCATCCATCATTCTACCGCCCCAATCCTATGAAGGAAGAGTTGAGTGTCTTCTCAGCAGACCGTGGCGCTGTCTTTCCCATCTCCTAAGAGTCTGATAAACCAGCAAAAGATCTATATGCCGTTTGATGAAATTTTCATCAGATTCTTAGGGGATGGGAAATGTTCGTTTTTCTTTTTTATTTGGTTAACATAATGCCCAGGATTCTCATTTTTAGCATTTTAAAAGACATCTCTCTCTCTCTCTCTCTCTCTCTCTCTCCTAGTTTCCATATTAATGATAATACACATCACTAATTCATATGTATGTATGTATGTATGTATGTATGTATGTATGTATGTACCTTGAGTGTTGTTGTTTTGATGCACCCTGTTGGCCCAAATATGGGAGGAAGAAAAAAAAACACTCAAGGTAAATCTCCTCCCCCGGTCTCTTCCCTCCCTGATACAGCTGACAAAGTGAGAAAGAACCTGTGACTTAGAGGTTAATACAACTGCCGAACATGCACACAGCCCAGGTTCGAATCTCAGAAGGGTATGTCTGGCTAAAGAGAGTTAAGCTCGAAATAGCTATTCCAGTTCTCTCTTTATTCTTTGTTAGCAATCCCAAAAATTTATATGTATGTATGTATGTATGTATGTATGTGTGTGTGTGTGTGTGTGTGTGTGTGTGTGTGTGTATATATATATATATATATATATATATGTTTGTGTGTGTGTGTTTTCTGAGGTTTTCGCGGGTGTTTGTATGTAGGCCTTTGGTTGTTCGGGTTTTCTCCCGCGTAAAATTGGAAGTGTCTTGGCGACGTTTCGACGAAGTCCCATTCGCCATCTTCAGACTGGTGTTTTCAGCTTCGTGCTTCGAGAAGCAATGTGTGTGTGTGTGTATGTATGTATGTGTGTGTGTGTGTGTATATATATATATATATATATATATATATATATATATATATATATATATATATTAGTTTCCATATTAATGATAATACACATCACTAATTCATATGAATTAGTGATATGTATTATCATTAATATGGAAACTAGGATTCTTCCAAATAAAAAAAATAGGTTAAAATATGTTTGAGAGATATTGTAATTTTTATTTTTTTGTAACCCAAGGAAAGAAATTTGCTTTTTAAAATTAACATCAAGGCATCTGTATCTTTTTAAGAATGGAACTGGAGTATGATAGGTTTGGCATTATCATTAGACCTTACAGTGTTACAAAGCCTCTTAAAATAGTTTCTCATGTCTTTTCTAGACAGCTCTGCTCTTTATCCAAGTGACTTCTAGTTAACCCTGCCAATGATCTACTTATAATGATGTATATGAATAATCAGAGGAATTAGATAACATGATATCTCAGCCTCACTTAGGTTGCCCATAACATGTCTGTTGTAATATACCCGTATATTCCGGCGTATAAGACAGCTGGGCGTATAAGACGACCCCCGACTTTTGAGAAGATTTTCAGGGTTAAGAAAGTCGTCTTATACGCCGGAAAATATGGTACAATATTGAATTTCTGTTTATAGATGAGCACAATAGGAGCTCCATTCCTTTGTTGCTAGAAAGCGAGCGTTGCCCACCACTGCTTCCCTAATGCTTCCTGAACTCAGCTGGTATTTTTCCCCCATATATTTTATTGATTTTTTAAAACATAAATCACTTAATAGTTGGTAAACAGTATGTTTGCTGGGTTTACATTTGTAAAGAAAAATCATTAACAATTGGTTTCCATAATCTATAACCCACATAGTACATTTAGTTGATTTCCCCCTTTCCCCAAAATGTCTTCTTTGCAAACCTTGAAATAATATAATTCTTATTATTTTGATAAAATATATTTAATCTTTAAATATTCCATTTAATGTGCCTAGTCATCTAATTATTCAAAACATTTTTTTCTTTTTTATACATTATAATTTCCCTAAATTCAGACACATTTAATTATCTAAAACATTTCCTTCATCTAGGCCATTTCAGCAGTATTATATTACTTATATCAAGAAATAAAATAAAAGGGGGGGAAAGCATACAGTATTATTTAAGGAATTCATCTCTCTTAGAATGACATATGTATTCAGAATCTTTTCTGTTTCTTTAACCATATTAAAACAAATGTTTCTTTTTTAAATATTCTCTCTGGTAGATCCCATCATCTATTTTCTTAATTTTCACTGTGATCTTTTTCCTTTGACCAGTATCTTTCTTAATCAATGTGATTTGCTGAATCAAAAAGTTTTTCCATATATTCATGACTGTTGCTATAGGTATAAGAAGTAAATCGAATGTTTCTTTTTTTGGTAGATGTAATGTCCTTAATTTATATAGCTTACTGTTTTCTACTATTTAATTGCTTTTCCTGAAAAAGAATAAAGTGATGGGTGATGTAGAAAAATAGGATTTTTGTATGCTTTGTCCTGTTAGTGCTTATTTCTGTAAAAAAAAAAATAGGGCTGGCCACTAGGGGGCAGATTGGTTTTAAATTCAGAGAACAGCTACCCGTATATTCTGGCGTATAAGACGACTGGACGTATAAGACAACCCCCGACTTTTGAGAAGATTTTCAGGGTTTAAAAAGTCGTCTTATACGCTGGAAAATACGGTAACTTCTTCTCCAAGACTTGCTAGACTTTCAAAACACTTTTTAAAATATAAATTTATGAAAAATTACAATGAAGAGTAAACCTAATATAAACTAGTATAAAGTAAGAAAAAGAAAAGAAGAAAAAAAATCAAAGAGAAAGTTTAAAGTTCAAGAAAGGAAAAAATACTGTAAAAGAAAAAAAATATGAAGTTCACATATAATAATAATAATAATAATAATAATAATACAGTTGTAAGGGACCTTGGAGGTCTTCTAATCCAATCCCCTGCTCAGGCAGGAAACCCTATACCATTTCAGACAAATGGCTGTCCAGTCTCTTTTTAAAAACTTTCAGTGTTGGAGCATTCACAACTTCTGAGACAGGTTGTTCCACTGATTAATTGTTCTAACTGTCAGGAAATTTCTCCTTAGTTCTAAGTTGCTTCTCTCCTTGATTAGTTTCCATCCGTTGCTTCTTGTCCTGCCTTCAGGCGCTTTGGAGAATAGCTTGACTCCTTTTTCTTTGTGGAAACCCCTGAGATATTGGAACACTGCTATCATGTCATCCCTGGTCCTTCTCTTTATTAAACTAGACATACCCAATTCCAGCAACCGTTCTTGATATGTGTTAGTCTCCAGTCCCCTGATCATCTTTGTTTCTCTTCTCTGTACTCTTTCTAGAGCAGACATGTGAAACTCACGACGTCACATGATGTTGCATGATGTATCGGAACTTTTTCTCCATTGCCAGCAATGGGGTGGGCATGGTTTTCTCATAACATGTCCGGTATGGAGGCCGGCAGTTTGACACCCCTGTTCTAGAGTCTCAACATCTGTTTAACATTGTGGTGGCCAGAAATGGATGCAGTATTCCAAGTGTGGCCTTACTAAGGCGTTATAAAGTGGTATTAACACTTCACGTGATCTTGATTTTATCCCTCTGTTAATGCAGCCTAGCACTGTGATGGCTTTTTTTGGCAGCTGCAGCACACTGCTGGCTCATATTTAAATGATTGTCTACTAGGACTCCAAGATCCCTCTTACAGTTGCTGCTATTGAGCAAGGTACCACTTATACTGTACCTATGCAGTTGATTTTTCTTGCCTAAATGTAGAACCTTACTTTTTTTACCATTGAATTTCATTTGTTAGCGCCCAACTTTCAAGTCTGTCAAGATCCTTCTGTATCTTAAGCCTATCTTCTGGAATGTTGGCTATTCCTGCCAGCTTGGTGTCATCTGCAAATTTGATCCCTATCTATCCCCTCATCCAAATGGTTGATGAAGATGTTGAACAGCACTGGGCCCAGAACAGAGACCTAGGGCACCCCACTACACACTTCCCTCCATGTAGATGCAGTTCCATTGAAGACCACACGCTTAGTACGGCCAGTCAGCCAGCTACTAATCCATCTTGTGATGTGCTGTCTAACCCACAAGTAGTGGGTTGTGATCTACTTTATCAAATGCCTTACTGAAGTCCAAGTAAATTATATCCACAGCATTCCTCTGGTCTACTAGTTTTGTCACCTGGTCAAAGAATGCAATAAGGTTTGTCTGGCATGATCTGTTTTTGACAAACCCATGATGGCTTTTGGTAATGACTTTGTTTGCCTTTAGGTGTTCACTCATTCGTTGCTTGATTATCTTTTTCAAGATCTTCCTAAGTATTGAGGTCAGGCTGATAGGTTTGTAGTTTCCTGGATCCATTTTTTTCCTTTTTTGAAGATGGGAACTACATCAGCTCTTTTCCAGTCATCTGGTAGTTCCCCAGTGTTCCAGGATCATTGAAAGATACAGTTCAGTGGTTCTGAGATCATTTCTGCCAGTTCCTTCAGAACCTTGGGGTATAATCCATCTGTTCCTGGTGATTTGAATTCATCTAGGGTGGACAGGTGCTTGCTTACCATTTTCTTGCCTATCTTAACTTGTCTTTCTAATCTGTTTTTCACAGTACTGTTTTTGATAGGTTGGACTGATTTTTACGTTTGTGTAAAGACAGATGCAAAAAACAAGTTAAGTAGTTCTGCTTTCTCCCTATTGCTTGTCACCTTCTTGTCACTTTCTCCCACTGATGGACCAATCATTTTCTTAACCTTTTCCTTGTTTTTTACATGTTGAAAGAAGTTTTTTTTGTTATTTTTTGACTTTTGTTGCAAGCCTTAGCGTTTCTCACTTCATCTTTGCAGGCTTGGGCTATTTGCTGATATTCTGCCTTAGTTATGTGTCACTCTTTCCACTTTTTATACTTGTCCTTTCAATTTATCAGATAGTTCTTTATGCATTTCCAATATAAACCTAAAGTATACATTCACTTTCTAGACAATTTCTCTGATGATGTATACTGATGGTACATTATCTTATAAAAATCCCTTTTAAGACAGAATGGGACGTTTAGATTCCCACCATTGGTTGCGCCTTCTTCAGCGCACCCACCTCAGCCCATTTACAAGCAGCTTTCATCCTCTGCTGGCCCTTCCCCAGCCATTCTCCCTGGCCAATGGGCCCCTGGCCCTCTGCCCTTCACCCTTCGCCCTGGCCCATTTGCCTAAGCACCCTTTCTGCTGGCTCTTTGGCTGCACGGGACAAATAGCTGCCAGCCAATTGGGTGGCAGACAGAAGTATTGGTGCTGCGGGGCAGTGTGTGACTGCCAATAGGTGATCACAGGGGATGTGGGACAGTGGGGTGTAGGCATGGCAGGTGAATAGCGATGGCGCGCGGCTTCTGGCATTGTGGGGAGGCAGGCAAATGGCAGTGGTGCATGGCTTCTGGCATTGTGAGTGTGTATGTAGAAGAGTGCAGCCAAATTGCTCATTCGATGTCAGGCCAGAGTCCAGGCATAGAGGCAACAGAGGGGAGGGTGGACAAAAAGGGAAGCTGCTGCTCCGCAGGGTTTTTTTTTTTTAAGCTGTCAGAGGCTCTGGCAAGCAGGCAACAGGCAGGCAACGGTAGGTGGGGGCTTCCCATTTTGACCCCTCCCATCTGTCATCGCCTCTGCACCTAGATGAGCAGTTCGGCTGCCGCCTCCCCACAACACTTCCCCCCAACGAAGCTGCGCACCACTGCTGTTTGCTTACCACGCCCCCCAGCCCCAAAGTCCCTCTCTTTCCTTTCCTTTGAAACAAACAAAACAATCCCCCTCAAATCCTCCCACGCCTCTTTTGAATTAAAAAAAAAAACTCCAAGCTCTTTATTTTGTGGTCTTTTTAAAAGAGCAAAACGAGGCAAAAAAATAAAAATCCCCCCTAAGAGCTGGATGCTGCTGTAATCAACTTTTCCTCTGTTTTAACCCCCCCAGCTCCTTCCTTTGCCCTGCTTCCCCACCCCCCTCCTCTCTCGGGTTACTCATAATAAATTCTTGCAAATTTATTTTCATACGTTTGCTATAGTTTATGCATTATCTGAAGTTCATCAGTCAAGGATTGTTGATGACTTGCTTGCATTTTGAAATGAACTTGTGGCCTATAAAGTGTCTATTAGAAATGACATAAATGCCACTAACATCGAACACATTTGGTAGTTTCACATCCTGAACAACTGAATGAGAATTTGCTTCCTAAAGTTGATTACAGCAATAAAGCTGTACTTAAAATGTTCAGCAAGCTGGATTGTTTAATGCTGAAAGTTCAGGAAGAAAGGCTTCACATGTGTATTTTGGGAAATTTTTAATCCTTCAACCAAATATTTGTATCAGAAAACAAATAAGGCACTGGCTATTTTGTTAATTTTGATGCAGAATTTTTTTTTCTTTTTTTTGTAGTTTTCCTGTATTAACAAAATTTTATTAAATTTATATAGGTAAGGAAAAATAGGAAAAATACAGGTATGGTAAAGGGAAGGGTGAAAAGGAAAGGGGGAGGGAAAGGAAATAAGGGATTAGGGTAAAATAAGGATAGGTACAATTATATATTTCAACAAACAAGCAACCGTCTGGTTCATAATAATGAGTAAGTATCATTTTCAACCATTTTTAACCAAGCTTAAACTGTAACGTATTAAAAATAATTAGTAAACAAATACGTTGATCTATTAAGTGAACACTACTAATAAAATCACAAAAATCCTAATAATCAAAAGTAACAAATGAAAATTAGTAAGTCAGGAAAAGTAATCGTATCATCAAAATGTCAGTTAGAACTCGATTAAAAATCAGTCATCTATTCTAAAATATTAAATCCTTCAAGTTCTAACGTGTCTCTAACCATTGATAAAATTTTTCCCAAGTTCCAAAACAAATTGAATCGTCTTTTTCTTTCTTTTCTAATGTTAGTCTATCCATTTCTGCACACTCTAGAATTTTGGTAATAATAATCTGGTCAGATGGTAGATTCTCATTTTTCCAAAATTGGGCAAATACTACCTTGCAGCAGTTAAAACATGCAATATCAAGTAGTCATTCTCTTTACCATAATTAGGTCTTAATATTCCTAACAAAAACAATTCTGGTTTAAATTCTATTCGTAGTTTCATCATCTTTTCCAATCATCTATGAATCTATGAATCCAATATTTCTTAGCGATAGGGCATGTCCACCAGGCATGGTAATAAGTGCCTGGCTGTTTTTTACATTTCCAGCAAATATCCGAAACATTTTTAAACATTTTCGCTAAGCAAACCCGTGTCATATGCCATCGATAGAACATCTTATATAAGTTTTCTTTATATGCTACCGCTTTTGTAAGCTTAATCTTTTTATCCCAAAGTTTTTGCCAGTCTTCCAAATCTATAGAATATCCAAAGTTTTTTGCCCATACTATCATTGTTTCTTTCACTTGTTCTTCTTCCATCTTCCAGTTTAGAAGAAATTTATAGTTTTCTAATCAAATTCTCATCTGTTTTTAACAAAATTTTATCCAATGGGATCTGTTCTTTGTAAAAACCTGTCAATTTTATATCTTTTTCATATCTTGTTTGAATCTGCAAATAGGACCACCATGTCAAATTAATACCTTGTAATTGTAAAGTTTGCCTGTCCTTAAATTTTCCCTCTTTATCTAAAATATCTTTATAACTAACCAGTTTGTCATAATTAATCAGATTTGGATAACCAAATGCTTCCATTGTTGAAAGCCACTCAGGTATTTTCATGTATATTTTATGTTTAATTTTCTCCCATTCTGAAAGTAGTACGTTTCTTATTGCATGATTCTGAAAGTACTTATGTTGATGCAAAATTTCTATTGACCGCCACAAGGACTTAAAGTCTTTTTGTGTACAAATGTTACATCTCAATTTAATAATTGTTGCATTCAGAGTGACTTTCTCTTTATCAGAGTTCTCATGCTCATCAGACTTCAGTGGAGTGAGATATTACATTTAATGTTATTTAAGGTTAAGCATATAGCATTTGATGCTTTAATCCTACAAAATCACACCATCCTCATTTTTCAAAATTGGAACATGATGTGATTCACTTTGCCAAAGTGAAAAATCTCTTTTAAAGCCAGAATATTCTGGGAAATAAAGATCTATGTTTTCACACTTCTATGCTGTAAAATGGTCTATAAATATGAGAATCTGACAATTTTTATGTGATAGTTTTAAAAGCTGAGAGGACTCTTTCCCATTAAATGTTTCCCTGGCACGGAGGCCTGTGTTTATTTATTTTACACTGCACAGTACAATTCTCTAGAAGCAAGCTCTGTTGGGTTGAATGAAACGAGACTGACTTTTGTAAGGACTTCTATAGGATTTTGAATCTTCTTTGTTTTATTTTCCAGGTTTTGGAGTGGAATGTACAACCGTTTTGAAAAGGGACTCCATCCAAGGCAATCTGTTACAGAATACCTGATGGCTGTGAAAGAAGAAACACAACAATTGGAGGAGGAGTTGGTGATATTAGAAGAGGTATGTATAATTGGTTTTCTAGAACTGTAAAATTTATATATTGCTCTGTTTCACCCCATTGTTTGAGCATGTGATTGGCTATTTCCATATGCATCAATTCAGGTATAGGTATATTTCAACATCAATGCAGTTGATCAAGGTATTTTTCATAGGTGGATGTTGTTTTGGAACATTTTCTAGCTGAAACATCGAGTAGAGAATTATATCTCTACCACCACTCATCTGGCAATAAGAGCTCTCTACAGCAGTATTTCTCAACCGTGGCAACTTTAAGATATGTGGACTTCAACTCCCAGAACTCTCCAGTGAGGCTTGCTGACTGAGGAATTCTAGAAATTGAAGTCCTTACTTCTTAAAAATGCTAAGGTTGAGAAACATTGCTCTACAGTATATTTTTGAATCATTTATTGATTTCTTTCACCATGATAATAGTGTTAATGAGTGAATTTCCTACCTCATGTACAATTTCAAAATCAATTTTCTTGTGAACCCATTAATATTTTCCCTCTTATGGTTTTAAACTATGGAAGACTTCCTTATTTAAAATTAGCAATAGGAGTTTCAGAGTTACACTCAATTTCTAATTATTTCTCCATGTTGCTAGTCTTTCATATTACAGTTAAGATTTGGGCCTTAATTGGGTGAGCTATTTTCAAAGCAATAATTTCTTACCTTGTTTTCTTACTGGTCACCTCAAGCTTACTCTGGCTATTTTCTGGTAGGCAATTTACTTGTTGCTGGGATTCTTATCAATAAAGGTTAGATCTAATTATGCTTTAACTCTTCAGAGATCTGAGCAAATACTTTTCTCCTTTTAAATAAAAGGAATATTTAATAGAACATGCTGGAAGAAAAAGTTTTAGTTTTTGCAATAGCACCACTGAAATCAGCCTACCCTTATTCAGAATTCTAGTTAATCAATAGTCTATATATAGTCTCTCCATTTTTTTTTGCCAGCCTTAGGATTGCTAAAATGTCCTTATCTAGCCCATGAATATTCCTTTTTAACTGATAGAGCTCTGTGCCGCATGTTTCTCTGTCAGGTATCTATGCTAGATGTAGCGGATGATTCTGCTCCATTTTACCACCGAGGACTGAATGAGAACCAGTCCCATATTTTCTGTACAGGCATAGTTGGGGAGAATTATTTTCTATTTTTTTTAGAAAATCTCCCAGTTTTTAATTAATGTAGCTACAGGAGTACATTCTTATTAATCTGCTGTCTTCCCCGCTTCTCCTACTTCTCTTCATTATTGTGTGATTTTGTTGAATGGTCAAGTGATAAATGACACAAAATGCTCCATAAACATGAAAAATCCTTAGAAACTTGCTTTCTTCCTGGTCTACTATAATCTCCCACCTACGATTTCTTCTCCCCTAGAGAAATCAAGAATAACCTTCCATGTCAAGGAAAGATTTTAGGTTTAGAATATTGTAGGTTATAAATCTGTAATTTCTTAGATTTGCTTGCTTGCTTTATTCACTCATTCACTGACCATTTACTGTACTTGTGGGCCGCCCATCTCTCCTAGAGGTGACTCTACGCACCTTACACACTTCTGGTGTCAACCACCCCATTTAACAAAAGAAACTCCTGGCTCTTTAGATTAATCAAGAGTATAGCTTTATTAAAAAATCTATCTAAAAGAAGCAAAGCCAGTTCTGGGATTTTTCCTGTGAAAAACCCACTCCTTCAGGTCACCCACAGTTCATAGTTCACCAATTGAGTTCAGTTCTTTTGCTTTGGGAAAAGCTGTCTGCTTTGGTCAAAACATTTATCATCACTTGGCCTTGTTAGCAACAGACAGTTCACTCGCATTCCATAGCCTCCCTCTACCCTTAGGAATTCACCACCCTCCTCCCGTCCCTCTTAGGTAGAGCTGCCTGTGAAAGCAGTACAGGCAACTATGGAGTCGAGTCAGGTTTGACATCTGGTAATAAAAAAGCACAAAGTCCCAAGAAAGTCTAACGTTGCTGGTTTTTCACTTATTAGTCCTTTCCAACCCACATTATATTTTGTAATCTATAAATTCATCCTTCATTATTGGTTAGCTGGCTAGGATTGATGGGACCTGTTGTTCAGAAATAACTGGAGAATCCTAGCTACACATTGATAGTTTGGGATATATTTTAACAAGCTAATGGATTGTTTCTTGTCTTGCAGAGACTGACAAAACTTACAAATGGGCAATTAAATAATGAGGCAAAAATAAAAAAGGAAAATGGACGCATGGCCAAATCATTCCAAGATTACACCTCCCATCTGAAATCATTCCCTTCTCGGAGTCCTTCACAAGGAGATGAAGAAGACTCAGCACTCATCCTTACACAGGATAACCTGAAAAGCTCTGATCCCGATCTGTCAGCCAACAGTGATCAGGAATCTGGTGTGGAGGATATGAGTTGTCGGTCCCCAGGTGGAGGAGGCTTACCCAGTGAAGATAGCACCAGAGACCATGATTCAGATGAAGCTGTTTTTCTCACTCTCTGATCAGGTTATAAAGACTGCCTATCAAAACTTCCAAAGAAAGGGATTTATGCACTTAAAAAGTCCATATGTGATAAAGTAATAAGCTAGAATGTGTTTGCATTTATTCATCTTCTCTTATCCATTTACAGAGCCATATAGAATGAACATTTTGTTTTACATAACTATTATTAATAGGATAACTGTGTACAGTAAGACCACTCCAAAGAAATGATAAGAAATGTTTAAGCAATGCCAAAGCCAACCCAATCCAATTCAGATCAAACCAATACACAATGTTATTTTACCTTGACACCAAAAATACTCAAATGAAACAAGCAAATAGATGTCTTCTGTTTGGTTTCTTTTATACGATCTTGAAAAAAAATTATGTTGAAAATAGCCATGTATGGACTTAAAATATTGTCAAAGATGCCTGCATATTGAAGGCCATTGCCAAAGAAATTTGGAAAATTAAGAATAATCAAATCAATTTTCCTAGATTAGTTCTATGACTTGGATGGTAGTAGTAACACTGCTTCTGTTGATGCCTCTGCAACTGCTGTTTTTCCCCATTTTTCTCTTCAAGTAGTCTATCTTCAATTGAACAGCTCCTGGTTCATGTTGTCCTATCAAAGTGGTCTACCATTATCTTCTCCCAGGATTTCCTCCCTCTCTTCCCCAATCCTGGATTATTGTGGCGATCCCCCCACCCCCAAGTATTAATCAGGTCTGACTCTACATTGCCTTTTTACATTTGACTGATGTTAAATTATAGGTCAGCAAGAGATTTACTCTACCTATACTTAAATCATGCCATTCATCTCTTTGTGAGTTCAGGTTAATATAGCAGGGACTATATACTTTTCATCTTCTGAATTGCAGAATAGAATAGGGATCATGACAAAGGAGGATGGAGATAGGCACATCTATTCCCATGTATATTTTTTGAAGTGGACTATTGGAAGATGTGACTTCCAGTAGCTTAAAATACTTCAATCTATATGCCATTCAAGGAAACCTAGGAAATTCTAAAGAAAAATGCTTTCCAAATTCTCTTTTATATTCATCCTCATCAGCTTGCAATAAATCACTGGTCCTTTCCCAAATATAGGTAGTCCTTATTTATTGACCCCAATTGGGATGGGCAACCTGGTTGTTAAGTGAAACACTCATTAAATGAAAATCACATGACCACAACAATGCGTACAATTTTACTTCAGTTTTTCTTTGCTTCTGCTTACTTCCTTCAGCTGACCTGGTTTTTTTTTTTAAATCTTGGTATCAGATAAATAAGCAAGTGAGAATAAGAGCAGAGAGAGGCTGAGAAGATCATAAATTTGGGTACTGATCAAGTTGTTTATTTAGCATTTTTGTAACCTGTAATCCACCTGTAGGGTTTTTAAAACATTGAACAGCTTTCACCAACCAAAATTAAATGTAATTGATTTACTCACCAGTTACACATTTAATGTCCTTCCTCCCTCCTTCCCCCAGGCTAAACATTTCTATTTGTTACTTAATTTTTGAGGTAACCTCAAGCAGGAGAATAAATGTAAGACTTTCAATTAAAGTTAAAAGAGGAACCTGGGACCAGGCTGGCCAGTAAAAGGAACACTTCTTTGTAGAAGACATCCTGAAAGTTATGATTTGCTATTATTAGATATGGTAATGGACATTAACGTAATTGGTTTTAAAATGAAACTAGATATATTTAAGGAAGATAAAGCTATGTCTAACCGTTTTAACCACTTATCTCACCCCTCCAAAATTTGATAAACAGAGCAGAGAACAGTTCAATTGCACACCACTAGACCCCCCCTCCCCAAATCAAGCAAATGTTAAGAACAACTGTTTGGTCTTTCTCATTTGGTGAAATAAAGCAGGTTCCTTTGGAGGTAGAACATTTTTACAGCAGCCCAAATTGTACCAGATGTAAACAAGGTGCAACGCATCTTTCACTGAAGTCCCACCATGATAAGCTGTTTCATATGTTGTACAGTAATAATGTGTTTAATTTCTTTTGAATCTTACATGGCTATACATTCATAACCAGATTTTAGTATCTATCTTATTTTGAACACAAGCTGTGACGTACTCAATTGGTAGTGCCGAACTCAAATATAAAAGCACTCTACTGTAAAATGGCTACTCTATAAAGCACGGGTCTCAAACCCGTGACGTCATGTGATGTGTCGTGACATATCGTGACTTTTTTCTCATTGCCAGCAATGGGTGGGTGCAGTTTTGGCGTGACACAGTTTGACACCCCTGCTATAAAGCATAAATTGATGACGGTCAAATCTGCTATAAAATTTGCATTATGGAAATGCTGTAGAATATACCATATTATGTCTTCTAGAAATTTTGTATAGTGTATTTTACATATGAAACTATTCCTACTCAGCTTTTACTTTTACTTGGAGCCCAGAGATCTTTCATTTAATAGTTTGTCTTGTATAGTAGCAATGCTGATTATTACTAAAACTATTGCAAAATTAAAGATATAGTATGCACTATTGGCATTAGTATAATTTAGAAAATTAAAAACTATGTTTGGTTATCTTAATTCTTTTTTTTTACTGTTACACTCTAGAATCTTAATTCAAAGTGGTATTTATAATATAGCAAAAACATCCATAGTGAGCTCTTGAAAACTATTATTAAAACTTTATCTTCTCAATTGAGAACAAAATGACTGAATGCTGTAACTGTTCTGTTTGCAGCTGAAGTGGCACATCACATTAAGCTTTAGACGATTAAATGGGAGTGCTGTAATAAATACTATTTGCAGTCACATAGTTAGCCACAAGCCAAACATCTACCTCATGAATAAGCATGATGGGTGAATCCAATGTATATGTTGCAAAAAGGGAGTGGCAACAAAATGTTCAGGAAACTTTTGTCCCTAGAATGAAAGCTTCTGGGCATTGGTTTCAGCCAGCTATAAACTTAATACCTTTTCTAACTTTAGGTTTCTAATTTATTTTTCAATTCATACTCATGTCCACTTCTGCTAATGGTTAGAAAATAAATCCACATTGAGCTACATTTTTATTTGCAATTCTTACTCTTTAAAGAAATAACCCAAAGTTCATTCATGCATGTTGATAGCCTCCTAACTTCCTATTCGCTTTTAATGCCATTTGTCTTGGTACTGTAGTTATCATCTGAATACAGTGTTACAGGGAATGGTTTCTCAGGGCTGAGCATCCACTGTTTTCACATCATAATGAATTGGCTCCCTTTCCTCTATGGGATCTCTATTGTACAGAGACCTCCAAAGCAAAAGTCTCTCTTTGACTATATTTTTGTTACTGTTGATTAACAAAATCAAATTGAACCCGAAGACTTATTTAAATAGTCATTGATTCCATCATTACGTGTGTTGGAGTATAGTTATCAATACTGTGACATGATGAGGAGTTTTTATAATTATATAATCAGCAATTAATATAAGTAGAGAAAGAGAACTTCTAATTCCTTAGTTACCCCAATGCATGCAAGCATTTAAGGATAAAGAATTAATACAAGTGCACCCAGCAAGGCATTCTTCCTGTATGGAAAGAAGGAATGGGCTTGAAATGTAGGAAGTGCTACAGTCAACACAGCTTTTTTCACAATTCGTATAAACCCATGCTGATTCAAGAAGACCTTGACAGCAACAAAGCAAGAGTGTACAATTCACAACCCACTGATGAACACACTTCACTTGGAAGAAAACTTCATACATTTTGAAACTCTACCTTTTAGTTGATTTCAAGCACCAGATTAAGAACAGTGTTTTTATAAATCACACTTGGGTTGTGTTCATGTAATGCTGTTATCATAAACTATGATTCATTAGCCCCAATAGCCGAGTTTGAATATTAACAAACCACATTGTGGCTTAACTTGAATTAAATTTTAAATTAAATTTCTAACCAGTAACTTTCCTCAACATTTCTAAGTGAAGGTGAAATGGTTCAAGATTGACTTTACAACAAAAAACAGCGTAAAATCATAACTAGACTGTTTTCATTTACATAAAATGAACGGTAAGTACCAAGCCAACGGTAAGAGACATGTACAATTATACAACTTTCAAACATATATTATTAATTTAAATCTAAAGACTGCCAGAGGAGAGAAGCCGAGATCAGGGAACAAGGATTCCTGAAGCAGAACTGATAAAATAACCTAAATGACACATGTAGCAATAGTATTTGTTCCACCAAATTTATTTATTTCCAGTTTAAGTCTCAAAATTATCATTACTTTCCAAAGTATATAAAGCTGAACTCTACAGTTACTATTCCACATGCAGAATTGAATATTCTGCTTCAAAAATGCAAATATCAATACTGAACCTTTTTGGAGAGAAACCCTATAAACCGTTCAAGAAAAAGAAATTTATTCCTTAACAAAGTCAGCAGCAAAAGGAAAAAACAAGTCATGAATGTATACTCCTAGATTTAGTTTTCTGCAATATTGTCATTTATAGATTTTTTGCCAATTATCTAAAGAAAAAAAGTCCAAGATTTAATTATAAAAACATTCTGAGTTCTTATAAACATGCAAGACATAAAATTAAACTATTTTTATATGAAAATAAAATTCTTTGGTTGTATTTTTAGGATAACCTCAATTTTATCTCTGTAGAACAGTGATTTAAAACTGCAGTTATTTCATTACCTTCTGACAACATAATACTGAACAGGTGAATAAACTTGCTTATTTTACATCTGATGCAGGGCACTGAGAGATTAGGGTTTGAGTATATTCTACTGGATCTAAATAATATAGTTGGTAATATATAGACTAGATAAAGTTCTTCTTCCCTCCTTGATTTCACTAGGTCAAAAGAGAACAGAGATGAGGAAATAAAGCAAATGTAGGAATACCAAAATCTTACACAATCTACCCACTCATTTGCTTCAACACAAATACAAAAGAAAGATGTAAGAACTGAAGAGAATTATGCCTATCTCCACTTGAGGCTTGAGGAAGGATATTTCCCAAAGCAATGAGTGGCAAAATTACAAGAAAGAATTCTATACAAAATCATACCGATTTCCTCTAAAAGTCTAAAGGGGTGCTTAAAACTTTTAGTTCTTCAGTGTCTTAACTACTCAATCTGATTGCAGTAGTGTATTGAATTAAGTACTTGAACTCTTATTTATGTAGTGAAAGATACAAAAATGGGTGAAAAAGCAGGGTGAAAAAACTAATTTATTTTACTTGTAATTTACTTTAACCAACATTTCTATGCCTCTCAAACAAACCAGCAGTATTTAATAAGAAAGTTATGGATTATGCTGTATAAAATTTAAAAATCTAGTCAAAATTACATCTTTAAATATTTAATCTATAAAGGTGATAGAGACAGCAGCATGAAATTAAATATGATAATGGTAATCAATAACAAGAAATATTAGTGCAAAAATTGCAGTAGAAGTACATCTTGAATAAAATAATAGAAAGACACTAATTTGTACAAAAAAAATCACCCCAGCTCTATATACAATTTTTTTCTATAAATACAACCATAATGAAATGCTTATTTGCAAAATAATAGATCTATGAAAATGTGCTTTGCTGGATTTGTTGCCTTAAAATTCTAATTAGCTGAAAAAAAATCTGTGAATAGAAAAAAGTATCTACCATTAGTCAAAGTTCTCAATGCACACATACAAAACTTTACATTTAAATTCTTAAATTCAGATTAATTTAAGGTAGAAAACTGATACATATCCTTTAATCACTGATTGCATTGATTGCTTTTCATAAAAGGCTAAATTCAAAAGACAAAATAAAACTGCATACAATATTATTGAAAGTTGCCATACAGCATATTTGAATCATAGCCATAAACAAATTATATTTAATGATTCCCCCTGCCCCCTCCCACCCCATTTTCAGTATTTCATGACATAATTGACAATGTTCAGGACTTTCCACGTCCATGTCCCAAATGCTCAGAAAAGCCTTTTTGGATGATTGTGGGAACTGGTGGAGAATGAAAGATGAGCATTGGCCAATTCCATTTTTGGGCATTTCTTCACAAACAGTCACATATTTCTAATTGTGATGTTTTTCCATGAAGCAATGTAAAACTTTCCTAATTACATAATCAAAAGCTTAAGTTCTTGTATATGCGGCTTTCATTTTGTGGTATTACGTAACCAGTGCTTTTTTTGTAAAAAAAAAAAAAAAAAAAAAGTATTGGAACTCACACACATCATACAACCCAACCCGCCTTGCCTACCCTACAAGGTTCCAAAAAAGGTGCCGGAACTCTGTTCTGGGCGTTCTATGACAAAAAAAGCCCTGTACGTAACACTTATCTCTGACACACACACATACATAATTTATATGACTACACTTTTTGTGCATAATACACATGATAGGAAAGTGTCCTATCAGACATTCAGAACTGGTAGACATTATTTATAGAAAAGTATTCTGATAAATGAATGTGTAGCAGGCAGGACAATTAGAATCTGCCTCATATTAGAAACATACCTATAATGGAGCATGAAATTGGCCACGCATTGCTATTGTCTGTTGTAGCTTTTCTTCTTTGGCTCTTCTACACTGGCAAATCTAAGGAAGAACAATTTAACACCATATATTCCAAATTTACTTTGGTGGAAAATAATGTTGCTAAAACAATCAAAATAAATCAACTTCCACTAAATTTGTGTTCATCTCAGCTAGCAAGCTTCATGAGCAGACTTTGAGTACAATAGTTGAAGGTGATTCATATGCTTAGACTTCAGTTCTAAGGATGCTTAAGCTATTACAAAGAATTACTGATTTAAGGCTGAACAAATGTTCTTCTAGCAGTTTGAATAATTAGTTAATAATACACATTACAATATACAGTATTCAAAGGCTATCAATAATAATATCAAGGTATATTCTTTCTTGGGTACATTCTCCTTGAAGTTTGCCATTAACAGCAAAGTTATTAAATGAAACATACGTACTTGAATTATTCCAAATCCAAAAGGATTCTGTGCCCCAATGGAAGAAAACTTGACACATTAGGGTGTTCTTTCATACAGAAGTGGGGAACAGGCTCCCTTACTCTTACTCTTAGGCTCAATACTATAATGGTTGATAAGGTAATATTGACTCTTGTTTTCAATCCCACCTACTTAAGCAGTTTAAGCAACATACTATACTACTGATATTATTTCTGTATCCTTGCATAACATAGTATTGCAGATAGCAAGAAAGTGATGGGACAGTTGTATTCCTATAATCAGTGCATGCTTCACAAAGCAATAATTTTAGTGCATACTTAGCTTTCCAGTAATATTAGGCAATTTGGCAAACAAAAGCCATTCTGAAGTAAGGAGGCTTAAGTATTGGTATTTCTCTGCTGTTGAATACAAGAATTTTCCTCCATACAGTTAATTGTGTCTATTTTTAAAAACAGCAAAATAATCTTGAATTCTGCTTATTCGATAGCTTTCAATTGGATTAATTATAATTTTAAGGTTTCAAGTATTTGAAACAATTAGGTTTTGAAATCTGAGAAATCTACATACTGTTCTTTTCTCCATGAAACTACTAACAAAATCGTCTATTTCTGTTTTCCCTTCCAGAAAGTCTTCCGCAATAGTGTCAGACTCCTCTTCAGCTTCATGGGCGGCCACTTTCAATCTTGCCTGCAGTGCACTTGCACTGCAACTCTGTGAAAAGAACAGTGTGTGACTTGGAAATGTTCAGTTCATTTCCTCAGAAGGTCCACAGGGCTCCCCCCCCCATGGCATTTGGTAAAGTAGTTACAACAGCTTGTAGTGTGCCATTAACCTTAATTAAATCCTATGGGTGTCCATCTTTGGATGGGCTGATCAATTACTTTTTATATATTTGGTTTGTTATATGCCACTCAGAACATTCAGACTGGGATAGTTAAAAAAAGTGTAAATAAACAATACTTTTAACTACAAAGGAAAAAGATTAAGATAGGTTAGCCTCCAAAACAAGCTGGGATGGTAACTAGAATCCCTTCTTAACAATCTCTGTACAAATAAGTGAATAATGCTTTGTTTTCTCTTGCAAAAAGGAAAAGCTCACCTCACTAAGTTCATGCTGCCTTTGTACTTTCTTTTCAAATGTGGTTTTCAAATGAATCAGTTGTTCGTACTAGAATGAAAATATGTTTTTATTAAACAGGGTCAGAAATCAATTCCCAAATTGCAGAAAATATTTTTCCTTATACTTACTTTATCTAATATTGTTTGCCTTTTTGACTCCAAGCTTGGTTCCAACAATAAATTTTTTTCTGCAAGGTAAACCCACTGTTGAATTTTAGAAGAATATCATTTTTTTTCATAAAATGTTATTCTAATTAGAAATATTTGGAAGTCTTACTTGCTAGTTCTTCAATGCTTTTCACTAAATCATCTTTATCATTAATAATATGCTTCAATTGGGGCAGATTAACAAATTGTTCTAGCAATATATCTTCTTGTTCATTCATGTCTGTCAACTGTGATATGCTGAATTGCAAAGAAAATAAAAAGAGTATTTAGCAACTAGGCAAAATATATACTGTTATATTTTGACAACTGTATATACAGAGTTTCTTGATAAAGCGGCATTTCATTCTGGTGCATATAATGTTAATCCTTGTCTCATTAAAAAAGGAACACGTATGCAAGATTAAGGCTTAATTATTTCCAAAATCTGAACTCAGTCACTGCTACTTTCCTGAGAAAGCCAGAACTTTTAGAGAATGAATCCTGAGAATTGCCAATGCTCCGGCAAAAAGAATTCATGGCAATTACTAAACAAATGAACAAAGCAGGAACATAGGCAAATATTTACAAGAAGTGAAACTGGTACAGTACTGAATTTTTCACCACCTACTCAGATCTACCCGTAGCTAAAGAGATACTTTGCCGACTTATTTTATACTACTAGGAACTTTCTGGCTTTACTGAGATATAGATATAAATCTATGGTTTTCAACATTGAGGAACAACTTTTATCCATATTTAGAACACACAGACACACTCTTTTAAATCTTTTACCTTAGTTCTGATAGTTCTGGAAATACATCTGGAACATCAGGCATTTTGTACCCGAATCCATTTTGGTTTCCCTAAAAAGATTAAACAATATATATTTTTTTAAATAACAATCCAGCTTGTATGTTGTAAATTATGACGGAACACTAAGCTAAACGACAGCAGTTTTTCCTGTTTTATAAAATATCTAAAGACTTTTGGAGTATGTTCAGGTATTGCTGGCAAATATAATTTCTCTACATGGTAATATTTGATATTTGAATTATATCTTTGGGGAAATGAACAGCTTGTTTTGTAAGGTACACTATCAATACATACCTGTGATAATGTTTCTGTTGTTGGAACAGGTAATGGCAAGTCAGTTATCATGCCAAAGGAAGGAGCTGCAGGTCTGTCTGTAGTATAACCTGAAGAAAGTGATTCTGCAAGGGGCACAGGTGCTACAGACCTATTTGTTTCTTGTGGCAGATATGGAGAAAGAAATGGAAAATTCTGAGCATATGTAGGAATTCCAGTTGGCTTGCTGTAAAGGCTAAGGGGGAAAACAATATGTTATCAGCAAATTATTTTATAGCATTTTCAGGTTTTTCTTCTCAAAATGAATTTGTATTAAGCATTAAAAAGGTTTCTGGTTAAACACAGTTGACAGCAGTTGTAATTAATTCTAACTGAACGCATGACAAGCCATTCTAATCTTATCAATGCCAGAGTGATCACATAGCAGTAATTCATCATCTCCTGACACATGGTTCTTTTAATCCAATTAATTAAAATTGAGGGGCTAACTAAAATTTCAGCAATGTTTTATTATGAATCAGTTATGTCAGAACCAATGAGTCTTTTCAGTGCTAATATAATCCAAAATATAAGACATGCACTTAATATCTAGATGCTGAAATTTAGGAAAATTTTGATTTTTAGTGGAAACAGACTGGTAAGTGATGGAATTATGCATCTGATGCTACTACAGCTAGGCCATTGGATGCTTGTAGTCTTGCTGATACTTGCTATAAATTCTCCCTTTTTTGGTCACATATTGCCCCTGTTCTGTATCTCCTTTGACCAATTATAAATAAGCATTTGTACTCATAAGTTGAGATGACCAGGGAAAAAGAGCGTTGTCTTACCTGAACGCTTTTTCTCATCAGGATGGTGTAGAATCCACTGATTGGGTAATTTAATCCCTCCTGCTCAGACTAAGAAACAAAAAAACTTTGCCACGCCTCTTTCTGGATGTGACTTTCCCCAGTTTTTTCGAGGTGAAGCATCCAGAAGCAAGGCTCCAAACAAAAACATGCATGCCTAGACTAACACTAACAGGGTGGGTGTGGATTCTACACCATCCTGATGAGAAAAAGCATTCAGGTAAGACAACGCTCTTTTCTCCATCAGAATGGATGTAGAATCCACTGACTGGGACATACCAAAGCCGCTCATGTCCCCACAGGGAGGGAAGTCTAGGCTTGTGTCCCCTGAGAACCAACCACTCGCTGTAGGACTCTCCTTCCGAAAGCAGCCTCCGCTGCTGCAAACTGATCTATTCTGTAATGTTTTATGAATGAGGACGGAGAGGACCAAGTCGCTGCCCTGCAAATCTCGAGTGATGCCTGGGTAGCCCAGGCCGCCGAGGCAGCAGCACTACGTGTAGAGTGAGCTGTAATATGTGAAGGGACTGAGAAATATAAGCCCTGGAAATACACGCCCTAATCCACCGACCAACAGTAGAGGAAGAGACCTTCCGACCCATGGTAGAGAACTGAAAGGACACAAATGCCTCAGATTTCCTGAAGACCGAGGTTCGTTTAATGTAATGGCGCAGGGCCCTGCGCACGTCCAAGGTATGCCACCGTCTTTCCAGACGGTGGGAAGGGTTAGGACAGAAGTTAGGAAGGACTAGGTCCTGGGAACGATGAAACCCTGTATTGACCTTAGGAATGAATGCAGGATCCAGCCTGAGGACCACTCTGTCCTCATGGAATGTGCATAAGTCCTCCCTGACCGATAAGGCAGCCAATTCTGAAATTCTCCTGGCCAACGTGATGGCCACTAGGAAGGCCACCTTCAGTGTAAGGAAGTGAAAGGAGCAAGTGCTCAGAGGTTCGAATGGAGGAGAAACTAAGGCCTGTAACACCCTGGACAGGTCCCAGGATGGGTAACGATGAACCGTAGGTGTCCCTACGTTGGCCGTGCCCTTGAAAAAGGCACTAACTGCTGGATGTTGAGACAGGGAAACTTGGTTGTCACAGGTGAGGACCGTCGACAAGGCAGCTAACTGCCGACATATGGTACTGGTTGAGAGACCTCTAGTTAACCCCTCAAGTAAGAAGTCCAATATGTCTGGAATGGTGACAGCAAGCGGTGAAAGTCGCTTTTTAGTACATCGAGAGCAGAAACCTCTCCAAGTGGCGTCATAGATCCTGTTAGTCGAGGGACGCCGCGAGGCCTGGATGACAGAGATAACCCCAGAGGAGAAAAACTGTTTGGCTAGACTCTCCCACTCAAGTGCCAAGCGGCTAATTGAAGCCACTGCGGGTCCAGATGATGGAGGTTCCCCTGGCTGAGAGCTACTCGGTCCGGGGGAATCTTCCATGGTGGTGAGAGCGACAGGTCTACCAGGTCGGCAAACCACGGGCGCCTTGGCCAATATGGAGCAACTAAGATCAGCTCCTCCTGTTCCTGGAGGAGCTTGCGGATAGTTGCTTGTAGTAGCGGAAGAGGAGGGAAGGCATAAAGTACGCCCTCCGGCCATCTGCTCCGGAGGGCGTCCGTTCCCTCCGCCCCCCTCGACGGGAACTGGGAAAAGAACCTGGGGAGCTGAGCATTGTTTGGGGAGGCGAAGAGATCTAAGATGGGCTGCCTGAACCTGTGTGATATTTCCCTGAACAGACCTGAGTCCAGTTTCCACTCTGAGTGATCCACTGCGGCCCTGCTCATGGAGTCTGCCTGTTGATTCGCCTCCCCCAAGATGTGTTCCGCTCTGATGGAACTCAGAGTGGACTCTGCCCAAAGTCCTATGGCCAGGGCTTCCTGCATGAGTGACCAAGAGTGGGCCCCCCCTTGTTTGTTTACGTGAGCCTTGGCCGCAATGTTGTCTGTCAGGACCAACACGTGTTTCCCTGACACAAGGGGAGAAAACCTTTGGAGAGCCAGATGGATGGCCCTGAGCTCCAGCCAATTTATGTTGTGTGTCAGGTCCGAACTGGACCACTGACCCTGAGTTATGTGGCTCTGAAGATGTGCCCCCCAACCGAACAGACTGGCGTCTGTGGTCAGGGTAATTCTGGGAGGTTCCTTGAAAAGGGTACCTTTGCTCAAGGCGGATGAAGTCCACCATAGAAGGGAGGTCAGAGTGTGATGGGGAATCCTGACTTTCCTGTTGGAGGCACTGACTTTGCGTCTTTGAAAGGGAAGGAGGAACCAATGGAGGTTCCTGGAGTGTAGCCTGGCCCATGGAACGATGCCCAAGCAAGAGACCATCTTCCCCAGGAGTTGGGATAGTTGTACCAGTGGTACCCTCTTTTCCCTTCAGATTTGCTGAGCCAGCTTCCGAATGCTGACTTGACGCTCCTGGGAGAGATATACCTTGCATAGGCTGGAATCTATCAATGCTCTCAGATGGAGCAATAGTGCTTCGGAGGCCTCCGCGCAGGCAAAACGATCACTGCTGTCTGGCTGATTGATGGATTGCGAAGAGTCTACAGATCGTTGAAGGGAGCTCCCTTCCGAACGAAAGCCTGCAGCCTCCCCTTTTTTCAAAGCTCAAAGGGCTGCAGAGGAGCAAGGACAGAGTCCTTATCCCCTCCCCACACAATCTCCAAGGATTTCTGAGTTGTGAAGCAAAAGCCAATTTAGATCAATTTTGAATTTAAGAGTAGCCAAGTTCAACGATAAATCCCCCCCCCAAAAAAACCAAAACAAAACAATTAGAGCCTTCCAAAATGCGTCTAGCTGAGCTCGAGACTAAGAAAAAACTGGGGAAAGTCACACCCAGGAGGCGTGGCAAAGTTTTTTTGTTTCTTAGTCTGAGCAGGAGGGATTAAATTACCCAATCAGTGGATTCTACATCCATTCTGATGGAGAAGAAGCTTTTTTCACGAGGCAATTCGACTTGTTTTTTTTTTTTTGAAGACGTTTCGCTTCTCATCCAAGAAGCTTCTTCTGCTCTGACTAGATGGTGGGAAAGCTGAACAAGCTTCTTGGATGAGAAGCGAAACGTCTTCAAAGAAAAACAAGGAAGTCCAGTTGCCAAGTGAAAAAAACATCTTTGGGGTAACTATGAACTGGGTGACTGAGAATCTCCATAGCCATTAGGGAAAGAAAGATGTTTAGAGCTAAGGACCTTCAATACTGAAAGATAAAATACTCAATTTTTATCTCCATGCATTAGCCTTGTTCCCTGCAGAGAACAGTTCAACCCAAAATACCAAATAGTCTCAGATTCTATTCAAATTTGATTTTTAATGCAGCAATTGAATGCATAAGATAAAGGATAGAAACCAAATTCTTAATATTAGGTTGGCAGCCACACCCTGATTTAATGTTTGATCTGAGTTTGCCTCATAAGTATTCACATAGTCATGCTTGAAATTATTACCCATATTTTAATGTGCTTACTTACTATGGGAATGTTGTGCTGGGAGCCAAAACCGGAGGATTTTTCCAAAATTCATCAAGTATGCTTTGAACTATTTTGCCAAGATCAGAGTGCATTGTGAACTGTTAAAATTATTTTAAAAAATTAGCATGGTTAAAAATTATGTGCAATACAACAAAGTTCATTTATCATCGATTTAAATGATAAAGAGGCAGCTTAGTGCAGTGGATAAAGTGCTGGGCTAGAAATCAGGACACTGTGATTTCTATGCTTAGACATGAAAAACAGTTGGGTGACTTTGAATCAGTTATTCTCTCTCAGCCTACCCCATTCGCACAGGATTGTTGTGGAGAAACAGGAGACATTACTTAAGTTTACTGCCTTGAACTAGATTAAACAGATACCTAGATGAAAAGGCAGGACACAAATCTAATAACAACAACCATGTGGGCTCTCTTAGATGATGGATGCAAGTGTTATATACAATGAGGCCCAGTTTTGTTCTCTGTGTACAGAAACAGAGCTGACAAATAACCTGGAATTATAAGAACTTAAAAAACATCGGGAGCTCAATAAAAAATTAGTTTAATTTTCTTTTTACAATTCGTTTGGAAATCTAAATCTAAAATGTGGCTTTTTGTTCAAGAAAGTTCACGGGAAAACTATCGGTATCTACTAGTATCAAGAGATCAATCAATAAGTGTAAACATTAACAATTCTACAATACAATATAATTTTGGCAGTTGTACATCTTGAAAGAGACATGCATTTTTACTATAGATTATTCTAGAAAATGACTCATTTATACATACATTACTAATTAATGGAGACGTCACATATGCTCCTTGTTTGTCCATTATATGATGCCTTATTGGGGGGAAAACACTGATGACTGGCTTTTCCTGAGGAAACTGAGGAGGAAGCAAGCTGCAAACATCAAGATATTTGATTGTTATAACTTCCATGTATGTTTTAGCTCTCTACCAGTATTACATCACCTTTCCAAATATAAAATTTACCTTACTAGAGAATGTGAATAACTTGGAATGATGGTACAGTTCTTTCTAACAATGTGTACAGTCACAATCTAGTCAAAAACATAGTTCATCCATTTGAATTCTAGAATTTACAACACAAACAACAAACAGTTGATGTACTCTCACTCTGTCAGACAGCTGAAATAAGTGCCCTACTCAAGCCAATGATTAGTGAAAACTGAATTAAATAAAGGTGACAAGTATAGGAAAGTGGTTTGTTCCAAACAAAGCATCAGTAAACCAGAATCTGAAAGCATTACTAACCTTTGCTTCTGTCTATTCTAAAGTCATCAAGGAAAAGAGGTTTCATTGCCATGCAAGATCTTCTAAGTCCTATATCCCCAATGTGGACCTGGCATGAATGACAAAATGCCTACAAGCTCCATGTTATGTCTAATTTGATTTTGGGAGATTAATTTTATTCTAAAAACGACTGGGAAGTTACTACACTGCAAAGCAACGAACACATGTGAAAATACTGCTTCACTTTCTAAGAGACATTTACTAGAAAATTGAAACATACATCTTGCAACTCAGTACTTTGCTTTCTGGAATACTGATGTTTTGTTATTGACTACATTATGATCAAATAACTTTCATTATATTATTGTTCATAACGTCAAAATTCCAAATGTGGTTACTAGCCCAGAAAAGTTGGAATCTCTGTTTAGGTGATTTTCTTAATCAGATGTTTAAAGATAATGAAAAAAAGGCCTTTTTATTCAAATCTTCTAGAGACACGTGAATTTTGATATCAGAGTAATTTTATAAGTGCATTCAAAGAAAATAAGCTGAAGTGAAATGTCTTCATAAAACTGAATGATTAGCATTTAGGCATCTAAGAAAAAATGCTGATAAATACAGCTCTTGACAATTTTGCCACATAGATGTAGGCAATGTGCCCCTTGAGAGTCATACAGAAAAAACATTCTCTCCTTAAAATTTATCCAGATTGAAACAGAGGAAAACAAGAGAAAACTCACTCTTGCCCTAATGGGGTGTAATAGAAAATTAACAGAAGACCCTCTAGTCCAAACTGATTCATTAAGCATGATTTTAGTTTTCAACATGACATACAGTCAAATCAAAAGTTACTCACATATTTATATTAATTGTCAGGTTAGTTACAGTGAAGGGCAACCGATATTCCACATCTTTTTGTATTTCAGCTATACTAAAAAGAGAAACATGTTTATTAATGTTTCCTGAAATAGTGAAACAAATACAAATGACCCAATTAAGCATCTTAAAAAGTCCTAATTTCAAAGGCCAGATCAAACTATAATTTGTTCTCTTAGAAACTCTACATTACAACTAAACTAGAACTGGTTCCTTTAATAGCTGGATTCCCCCTTTCCTATTTTAATCAGCTTAATTTTGAATAAAAGCTCCGGGGACCTCAGAAAATATAAGAATGGGCCTTTGAAGGCCGGTTGGTCTCTGTAGCTGAAACAGAAAGCAGTAACTTGTTCACAAGAAAGCTGACAGGAGCATGTGTGGGCAACAACTTGTTTTGCTGAAGGAAGCTGAGAGCTATTGGCGAACCAGCATTTACTCACTTCCTGTTTCCTAATACAGCGAAGGCCAAATTCCTGTACATGGTATTAGTTTTTGGATTGCAATCAAACTATTTTCATTTTGGAAGAGTGGTAGACATTGCCCTCTGTATAACAGCTGCTCTTTTCAACTAGGATTTTTCGACTGCTGCTTCTTGCACTTTTGCAGACTCTGGCTTCTACTTCTGCCTACCTCTGAAGCTGCAATATCAAGGCACACCTTAAATATACTACTGTTATTATTTAAAAATTATTGGGGGCCGAAGTCCGTGGATTATGCATGCCTTTAAAGAAGTGGCCTCTCATGTGGCCTGGTTTGATAACCGAGTTTTCAGCCGAGAGCGAGTCATGCCGCTCTATTGAAGAAAAAACCATGTCTGCCAACAGCAATGGACAGATCACCCAATGAGATCCTGATATTCTCATACAATCCTCCCTCCTCTGGATTGACTTCCAACCGTTTTATGAAAAATGAAACAGCTTCCAACTGTTTTATGAAAAAGACCCCTCCTCCCTAAGGGGGTGTCACTCACGCGGCATGGGCGCTGCGCAGGGACTCGATCTGCCGTTGCCGCTGCTGCTGGAGGCTGGTGAGGGTCGAAGGCAAAGCTACTCCGCCGGCGGAAGAGGAGGAAGAGGTGGCAGCGGTGGCGCCGCCGCCACCGCTACCCCCTTTGGAGTAGTGGAAGAGCCAGCTCATCCTCTTCTATCCCCCTTGCCAACCGAGAAAAAAAACAAGACGAAGCGCGGAAAGCTGCCTTTCCTTGGCTTCTCCTTCAGCGCCGTCGTCACCACCACCTCGTCTCCCTCCGTGGGTCTCTCCTGCCCCAGCAGAACTTGAAGCTCCGAGACAACGAACAGAAGCAACACAGCCGTTCCGCCTGCCGGACCCGGGCGACCGACACGCCTGCGCTCGTTCCGCTGGACGCGTCATCACCGGCCGTTGCCTTCCATTGGAGGAAAGGGCTTCGAGGGGCCAGCTCGGAGCCCGATTGGCCAAGCTCTGCCGGGTCTCCGCGGCCGGGAAAGGAGCGTGAAGGGGGAAGCAAGTGAGAGAATCGAGGGTTGAAAGGTTAAGAGCGCGGCGCGCGCTGATGATGTAATGGCTTTGTGCGCTGGGAGGCTGGGGGCAAGCTGTGCGAGTGATTTTCCGCGCTTTCTCGGTCCCCCTCGCCGCGTCGGGGCTGCCTCTGCCGCCGGGTCCCCACTCGACCCCCCTCTTCCCCTCGCGTGAGTAAGCCCTTCTTCTTTCACTAGAAAAGCGCGTGGGGAGCGGTGGTGGCAGCGTTTCTCGTGGGGTGGGGGGGGTGGGGTGGAGGCGCAGGTGGTTGGTAAAGTGGAAGCGCGCGCGGTCCGACGGCGAACTTTTCCTTCCGTAACATTGGGGGGGGGGGAGGGAGGAGGAGTCAGAAGGGAACGAACCGAGGCTGGCGCTGGGAAGTCTCCTAGCTCACCTTTGCTTTACCTTCATCCTGTGTGATCCAAGCCGCCTTCCTTCCTCCCTCCCTCCCTCCCTCCCTTCCTTCTTTTTCGAGACAGCAAAGCCTCACCTTGAGCAGATCTGCCTATGACAACGTCTGCCTCTCCCTTTTCCAAAGTTCCCTCCTACCCCCCAAAAAAGATTTTGTCTTTCAGCAATAACCAAGATATGCGTTCTGATATACTGAACTGAGTATATAACTATACATGTTTCTGTCTAAGTCATGACTGAGGGGTCCTTGGTGCTTTCTGAGCTTGATTGTTTTCTTACAGAAGTTTCATTACCCATACTAGGTAACATCGTCAGTGCTGGTAAAGAGTGCGGTTTGTTCTTAAATCAGGATTCCCCAAAGTGGATGGTTGACTATCCAAGGTTCAGGCTGTTGTTATTACTGTTCTTTCTATTATTAATTAAAGTAGTATGGGAAGCAATGACTATCTGAAACATCATGCAAGGATCAATGAGTCTTGGGGACCCCTGACATAAGCTGTGCTATGGACTTTGGGGCAGAAACATAAATAGCAAAGTGAGGCTGCTGGGTTTTTATCTTTTCAGTGAAAGGATGAGAATAAAAGGGAAGTTACTGAATGGAACAAGTAAAACTGTCATCTCTATTTTTCACTGTTGGATTTGAGCAAGAAATGTTGTATCAAACTTTCTCCAACCATAAGTCTTCCAGATGATCTAACAACAATAGGTTACACTCTGCAACGATACCTGTAACACCATCAAACATCCACAGGTCCTTGGGAAGGACTTGATAGGTAGACAAAAATGCAAATCCAGTCTGAACATCTGGCTGACTGCAACGAACCATAAATCTAATAGATTTATTCTAGTTTATGTTCTGTGTTGCTGATTTTAAGATGATTTCTTGTTATCTGCAAGTACTGGTTGTGAAATTGCCTAATAGATCTGCTGGGTACAAGGTTAGGAATAGATGGTTAATTTGATACAGATAATTAAACTTAAAAACTCTTTATAACTACAATGAATAATCTAGGTTACTTCTGTCACATATCGCATTGGTGACATATCAAAAATGATACAATTGCATCTGATCAGATTGTTATATAGATAGTCCTCAACTTATGGCAACCCATCCCCCAGACGCTACTTACGATCTGGTTCCAAAGTTATGACTATGCAGTACTCCCACAGTTTTTGCCCTTATGACTGACCATAGGCAGTTACCCCCACCACCTTGTCCCCGCAGGCCTGAAGAAAGTGTGAGGGATTCTTTGGACTGGAATCTGTGCTAGGCCTTCCAGGGCCTTCCCCTGGCCCCTGAGACAACCCATGTTCCACTTAACAACTGCATCCGGAAGAACAGGAATGGGTGGTCTTAAATGAAGTGATCATGTTGGCATTTCACGTCGCTCATGATGTTTGACCATAATGGACAGGCTCCATCGTGGTCATTGGTCAAGGACTATCTATAACACGGGTGCCAAACTCACAACGTCACGTGACGTGTTGCGAGGTATCACAACTTTTTTCCCACTGCCAACAATGTGGTGGGCGCGGTTTTGGTGTGACACATCCAGCCCGTGGGCCGGCAGTTTGACACCCCTGATCTATAGCTTTACATAACTAACATGCATAGATATTTATCACATTTTCCTAATGTTTTCTATGACTAAACTCTAAACCAGACTAAGGAAGTTCAGTTTACCTAGGAACGGTTAGATCTACATATTTGTTTAATGCTTTGATTATTATAGTATTTTGTTCTATGCCTTAAAACAGGCATAGCAGTCTGGTTCTTTCCAGATGATCTGGATTAGAGCTTCTATATTTCCTAGCAAGCTGTGTCAGAAGGCAAGAATTTTAAGGTTCAAATCAATTGATGAATTGCCAATTGCTGTAAACATTTAGGGGAGATTACAATCTAGAACCATAGTGATGGTTACAGCAACTATAGGATGCTGTTTAAATATGCAGAATAATGTTTAAGTTCTTAGTATTTAACAATAACAAAAGCAGAGGTCCCCAATCTTTTGGGTACCAGGGACCGGTTCCATGAAGAAAGGCTTTTCCATAGACCAGAGAGCGTGGTTTTGTGTGTTTCCTGCATCCCACAGATGGGGCTTTGCTTGTTTGTGCAGACCAGTTGCTGGCATGTTGCGGCCCACTACCGGTCCACAGACCAGGGGTTGGGGACTCCTGTTCTAATCTAGAGTACATGGAACAATATTTGTAATTTTATAATTTTCTCCAGACTCACTCAGGAAATGAACGTACATTTGGCAGCAGGATATAGAGCTCTTATTTATAAATTAAGGAGAATAGGATAAGAAAATCCTCCTGATGATGTTATCTAGTTGGAGAACAAACCACAACCAAAATCTAAAACCTGAGCTACAAGTATTTTCTATTATTTCATGGAGCTCTTAATTTTATATTAATTATTTGTTCTTGATCAATTGGTATGTTTTGTTTTACATTAGTAGCCAGTATAAATACTAAACTTTATTACTGCCATTGAGATTAACTGATTACAAAAATGTGGCTTGCCTAAAATGTCAGTTAAATTGCAACCAATGCCTGTTATTTTATTGGATTATATTGAAATGAAATTATTCAAAATTGCCATCCTATATATATACTAAACAAATCCCATAGAAATATACAACAGTTAAAAGTAAATTTATATCTGCATATTAGTATGACTATTAATTGAAATAGAAGGATTTACCTCAAAGTTAATATGAATAAAACTGTTGTGCAAACTTTAAAGGAACTTTGGAAGAATTCTTCACAGAGAATTCTGTGCAAATCTCTGCAAATTAGATTTTATTTTTCAAATGATTATGATTCCTGTTTATTAATCTCTGTACGTGAATAACTTCATTTATGTACACTTTTATCAATATGCTGTTCATTGTGAAGTCTGTGAAGAATTGTAATATAGATCTATATATCTTATTAGGTTTTGTTGAGTTCAGTGGGAGCTATTTCTTGGAAACATTCCTATTGTATAGGGTTGCAAGCTGGATATTCATTTAACAATTATATAATAGTTGGTGCTTCATCTATCTCATATTCCAGAAAATTGAATTGTATGGAGTTCTTAATACTATATAAACTTGAATGTTTGCTTGCAATTGTTTTGTTACCAGATCAACTAATATCTTAAGTGTTTAGAATGGAATGGGGTTTGCTCTCTGTTTATGTACAGTAGCTAGCCCAGGGGTAGGCAACCTTGGCTCTTTTATGACTCATGGACTTCAACTCCCAGAATTCCTGAGCCAGCTATGCTATGCTGGCTCAGGAATTCTGGGAGTTGGTCCATGAGTCATAAAAGAGCCAAGGTTGCCTACCCCTGAGCTAGCCCTTTCAGTGATGATGTGTTTTTTTTCCTTTGTAATTCCTTGAAAAGGCTTTTGTTTACTGCTTGATTGTTTATCTGAGATGGTAGTTTCTTGATTAGGATATTTGAGGAAGTTTTTTGTTTTGTTTTTAGCTTTAGCTTTTTTATTGTGTCTTTTGAATGATATGTAAATATTGTTGATCTTTTTGCTTCTGTTGATGGCTGTTTTGTCTGAGTGCCAAACTTTCAGGAATTGTCTAGGGTTTGTCTAGCATTCTGGGTCTTTGCTTGGTCTAGAATACTCAAACTATGGTTAAGTGCCAATGTGTTGTGAAATTAAGGAGATTTTAAGATGTTTTTGAGGTGTGGCAGTGTTACTCTTTTCATCACTTCTGCTGGTTGTGCTATAGTGTGCTGAGTTGTCATGTACTTTTTGATAATTTTGTTTATGTTTATAAATTCATTAGAATTAGTTCTTGTCTTGCTGTTTTAGGTATAAAATTTAAACTTATTTTATGAAACCGACTTTTCATCAAGTATACCTTTTTGATGCCTGGTATTTGAAACCTCCTAATTATGCCAGCAGCCACAGTAGATCACAGCCAAAGAATCTGTGAAGTGTGGGCTTGTAACCTGGATGAAGAGATGAAGAAAATTCGTCAGGTTATACGGAAGTTTAACTATGTTGCCATGGTAAGATATTGAGAATATCTGTATTCTGCTTTGGTTACAGAGGCAGTGTAAATGATTGTAGAAGAAAAACGTAAAGGAAGTAATGCATATCTTCAAAAATAACAAAAGATTTCCATTTTATTTATTTATATACAGTATTATTTTTACAAATAAGATGGTGAACATATCCAACACACTTTTCTCCTAATTTCCCTATAATAACAACCTTGTGAGGTGAGTTGTGGTGAGAGTGAGTGACCTGCCCAAGTCACCCAGCTAATGTGTGTTAGACTAGAATTCACAGTCTCCCACTTTCTAGCTGGGTGCCTTAACTACTAGACCAAACTGATTCCCTTTACTGATTTCATTGGAAAAAAGTTCAAAGTAATTAATAAAAATGAGTTCTGAATAGGGACATAGATGTATATTGTCTTTACTGTTCCTACTTCCGTTTGCTTTAATCTCATGGTATGTTAATAATATAAACTAATATTGAATAAGATTAATAAATAAGCTTCTTTGCACAGCTCCTGGGTTTACCCATAATGCCTGAGTTAATTGCAATACTGTAATTGGTTCCCTGTTTAGTCTTTTATATCAAGAAAAGCATACAGAACATTTAAATCATCTAGCTATAAAAAAGTGCTGAGTTGTATTGCTCTTCTAATAGTTTCCATTTTGTCTTTTCAGGACACAGAATTTCCTGGTGTAGTTGCACGACCTATTGGAGAATTCAGAAGCAATGCGGACTATCAGTACCAGCTACTCCGCTGTAATGTAGATTTACTTAAAATAATCCAGTTAGGGCTGACATTCATGAATGAGCAAGGTGAATACCCTCCAGGAACTTCAACATGGCAATTTAATTTTAAATTTAATTTAACGTAAGTTCTGGAACTTGGTTGTGTGTCTTTAAGTATGTAGAATATTTTTATTTAACTAGTTTATTTTTTTAAAAAATTTACTAGTTTATTTTTCTGCTGTTTTTCCATTAAGTGTAGGAAGTATGATAAATTATGCCCTAGGTAAATTAAACTTATTCAAAGTTCTTAATACTCATATATTCTATATCAGATTTGTTATTAATATTATTTTAAAAACCTCTGTTGGCAGCCTAGTTGAGATAGTTAGGGTTAAATCCTTTGTGTACATGCTTGGACTTTAAATTGATGTCATTTACTGGTTCCTATCAAGTATGAATGTAAGAATGCCCACATACAAAGGCTTTGTCGTCCACTAGCTTTATTGTCAGGGAAATCTCTGGAATGAGCTGAGGTCAGAAGAAAATCAATTAAAATTGGAACTTTTGCCCAAGATTAGCTGACTTTCTCCACAAGTTGCCAAAGTTTGTATTCTCCTATTTTTTTGTTCTTTATATGATTCTCTGGATCATCTTAATTTGGCTTCTCATGGGTGTAGGATTTCCAGGAAGGAGGACCCAATAAGAAAAGTTCACTTCATGTCTTAATTTGTGCATCTCTGGATGAAAGCTATTGATATCAGCAGAACTTACGTTTAAATTTAGTTTATTCATTTACAAATGTATGTAGATCTTCCTGATTGTGTGAATCTGGATAATGTACAAGATAGTAAAATCCCCTGCAAAGATTAAAATACAGCAAAATATCTATTCCAAGGTGAACATCTATAGTCAGTTACAACCAAAGCATGATAGAATTACCCAATATACCCTCCTCAGCAAACAACGTGTGGTATATGATGTATTTCAGTGTCATGAAAGGCGTAGTACATAATCAATAGCTCTTTGAATTGAACTCAAAATATTGTTAGTAACTAGTCTAGCTTCAAAAGTGGACTGTCCCACTAGCAGTCTGATTGCTGCATTCTGATCAACTACAGTTTTGGGGTCATTATCAAAGGCTATCTTACAAAAAGTGTGTTGTAGAAGTTTAGCGATCCAGCTGTCTATTGATCAAGGCCCGAGTTTCCATCATCAGACTATCCTGGTTGAGGGAGACTGCAAGTGGTGTTGTAACACATATTCCTCTGTCTATGGCAGTGTTTCTCAACCTTGACAATTTTAAGGCATGTGGACTTCAACTCCCAGAATTCCACAGCCAGCAATGCTGGATGTGGAATTCTGGGAGTTGAAGTCCACATGCCTTAAAATTGTCAAGGTTGAGAAACACTGGTCTATGGTTTCTGCTTGCTGGCTAAGTGCAACCCCTTTCCTCCGCCTCATGAACCAACTCCTATAGCAACTATATAGAATAGTTGTTGTAACTGATGATACTGAATTGCTGTGATATTTTGTTGAGCAAAATGAATACCTCATAGCATTTAATCTTATCTTGATTTGCCCCATCCAGACCATGAAATCTTCTAGGCAGGTCAGGCTTTCTATGTCACTTTGGCTTAGCAGAAGTGGTATGCTGCTGATGCCTCATCCTGAACTGGCAGATGACATCCCCTAGCACTTAATATAAATGTTAATTAATATAGGTAAGAACGTTGAGCTCTATGGCATATTGGAGCAACTAGGGATTTCAGTGCTGCTCCCCCATGGTTATAAAGTAGAAGTATTCACTCATCTTTCCATCCAGAAAGATACTATGGGTCATAGTACTAAATGCCATTGAGAGGGGCGCAATCCTCTCATCCAGATCTTGACAAAGATAATTGACCAGAGTGATCAATGTTGTTTCTAATCCATGAATATTCCTAAATTCCAGGAATCCAAATAATTCATTATACATAAGATCCCTTGCTGATAGTTCCTCACCACCTTCTCAAAAATTTTCTCTAAAATAGTAAGTCGGAAGCTGGGGAGTTAACAATTGGATTCAGTCAGGACTTTAGAAGAGAGCACACTACTGTCTGCTTTAAGGCAGGTGACATTACTTCCTCCCTAAAGAATCATTGACGTCTCAAGGATCTAGCTGTTTATGGCTCCCTGCCCTGTCACCTAAAGGAAACAGGACGTATGTGGATCTAATCCACAGATGGCAGGATTCATACCACAGGGAATTCTGATAATTTCCTTGGAATTTACAAGCTAAAACTAATTACAGACAATATCTCAAGTCCTTGCTTCATTCATCACTCTGGACTTAATCTTCTGACAACTTTTTAGAGTGGAAGTTTAGGATTAGGGTTAGGGTGAGGATGACTTTGTCTGCCATATTTATCCAGATGTCTACAGGCACTTTATCCCACCCATCTTTTCCCAGAAGTTTCAGAATTACTTTTAAGAGGGCTACTCTTGGCAGAATGGGTGGCATAGAAGTTTAAATGAATAAATAAATAAATGTATGTCTCGGAATGTGATTTTTTGAAGAAAATGGATTTTGTGTCAGTTTGAATGTAAACTTATCAGTGCTCACATTCTCTCATGGCTTTCCACCATGTCACTCTATCAATAGCTTCACTCATATCAATAGCTATTTAATCAGTCAGGGAGCTGCTTGTGATTTGCAGTTAGGCAAAGGCCTCAGAGAAATAAATTCACACTACACTTCAGCTGTCTCCATATTCTGTTGATCAGCCAGGATGTCATGAAACTTGCCTGCCAAATTGTCCAGAAAAATTATCCTAAGAATCCTGCTGCCCTTTACAGAAGCCTGGGGCATCTATGATGCACAATTTGACAAGGTAGTAGTCTGACCAGGGTAACAACAAATATCAGTATCCTCCATATTCATATCTCATCTGCTTCAAAGTAAAAACCAGTTCAAGTATGTGCTCACCTATATTTGTTAGGGGCATGATTATTTGCAACAAGCCCATAGTCTCCATAAAGGCTATAAAATACTAATGAACAGAGATCCCCATTACTGATTAAAGAATCACCTTCATGATGACATAAGTTCTGGTCAGAGTAATGTTATACTGAAAGTCCAGAATTGTTTCCTGGTGACATTAGGAGTAAATAGTTTGTAGGAAGTGAATGGAAGTTTGCAGTCATATTAATAGTATTGTGTAGAAGGGTATTTGCTTTAATGAATAGCATGTATTTAGTAAGTATCACACCATGTCTTGTTTAACAGTTCTTTTACGAGAGCAGAACTCTGCTTCCCAGAATATATATAAGCATAGATACTAATTAGCAAAATTCTTATATGGATGATTTATTAGCAGTAATATGGGCTTTGTGCTGGTAATTGATTTATAATTCTTTTGACAACTCTATTTAATAGTAATTTTAAAAATAATGCTTCTTCTAGAGAGGATATGTATGCCCAGGATTCTATAGAGCTATTAACAACATCTGGAATCCAGTTCAAAAAACACGAGGAGGAAGGAATTGAAACTCAGTACTTCGCTGAACTTCTTATGACTTCGGGTGTTGTGCTCTGTGAAGGAGTCAAGTGGCTTTCATTTCATAGGTAACTACAGTATATAGAACTATCGCTTGCCTACTTGTTTTCTTTTCTTTTAATCAAACCTTAAGACAAAATAATTATCTCTGCTTATTAAGCTAAAGTATTAGGCTGGATGAGTTCTAGATCATTTTGTAAAGATGCTGCTGCTTTAAACTTACCTCTTCAGTTTACGCTTTGGCTCCAGTGGAAACAAATAATCTGTATCTTAACTTGAGGTACTAAAGTGTCAGTCATGTAGAGAGGGAGCACTGTATTTTTCTATTTTGCTTTGACAGTTTCCCAGGTCAGAGGAAGGAACAGCCACATATATCTGCCCTTTGTGTACGTTTAGCAGGTAAATGGAAACTGGAATTAGTTGATTAACATCGTTGGAAAGTCCAAATTCAGTACAGCTCTGAAGACTCTTTGATAATGCTGGTAGGGAAAATATGAAACTTTTATCTTAATTGTAATGCCAAATATTGGAAAATTAAACTTTTGCTGTATGAACTTTTTTTAACCTGGTTCCAATATACTAGTTCTTTTGTTTTTTTCAAACCCCTAGCCCCCCCCATAGAACCATGGTCCCTTAAAATTGTTGAGATTGATGTTTGAATTATCTTATTTGAAGTTTAGAGGTCAGTGTAAGCATACACTCAAGATCTGAGTCATTGAGAATCTTGTGCTGTATGTTATGAGACACACTTCACAATTTTTAACTAAGAAAAAAGGAATATTTAGTTGATTAATTTAAAAATATGTTAATTATTACGTTAATTGGGTTGTTGTGCAGAAGGCTACTTACTGAAGGTTAGTTTTGGCAGGCATAAATATTAGAAAGTTTTCTGGAACAGATTACTAGCAGAGATATTTACCTTAAAATGAACCATCTTGTTCAGATAGTGTAGATGGACACTGAGTACTTGCCTACATGAGTACTTGCTTAACTGCTTTACTCACGAGGAAAACCCCTCTTCATGGAACCAGGCAGGACCCGTAAAAAAACAACAACAACCCCCTTTTTATTTTTACACACCTGACTCAGTATCCAAGACTTTGGAGGCAGACAACACAATCAAGAAAACACAAAGCCATAGCATGAAGAGTTGCCTTCGGCAACCAGAACCTCCCACACCTCCCTCCTTTATAGTCCAGCCAGGGTGTGGCTTCTTAGTGACTTTTACTTTGCCTATGGAGCCGCTCCACTGCCTTCCTCTGTCTTGCTTGCCTCGCCTCTCTGCGCATCTGCGCATCTGGAATTGGCCCCAGCTGTTCCTCATCATTGCCCAACTCAGGCTCCCAAAACAGCCGTGTCTCTGCCCGAGTGTGAATAGAGGGCCTGGGTTCCTTGTCTGACTGTGAGTCTTGGTGCTCCTCAGTACCTTCCTCAGACTCCAATGTCACTCCAGGCTCCTCCTCCTCATCTGAGTCCTCAGACTCAGCTGCTGGATCCAGTGGTTGGTGAGGAATCACAACAGGCACAGCCTTTCAAGCCATTTTGATACACAGGTTTAAACATTTCAGGAATCCAGGTGCTTTGAAATGAAAATGGTTTGTAGTAAATGTTCTTAGCCTGGAGTGCTCAGAACATGTATGTGCATCAATTTGTCTTTAATACAGTATTCCAATGAGGGAAGAGTGCTTCAAAACCATTAGCTGAGTGTAAATTCTGTTTTGAATAATTAGAAGGAATTAGATTAGCTTTTAAAATGTAGATGGAGAATTGTTATTGTATGGGGTTCAAAATACCGCTAGAGAAATGATAGATAATTAATCTCAGAGGTGCTTTTTTCTTCTTCCTCAAGAAAAAACAGTCCAGTTGCCTTTTGAAGAAAAAAGCCCTTTTGAGACCTGACTGAGAATCTTCACAGATAGAAAATATAAATTGTACAGGAAATCTATGCTTTGGAAGTGTTGTCATTTGACTAGTTTTCAATACATTTTACAAAGATGTCTTCTAAGGACTCCACTTTGATTTTAACTGTGTGCAACTCAAAAATGGAATTTTTAGTGCTGCTGGGCAGATTGCAGCAGTATTTTTGGAGCTGGGAGAGTCCTCTTCCATAAAAGAAGAGAGATCTATAATAGCTTTCAATCTCTGCTTGTAAATTCAACTCTGAAGGATCATATCCATTGGAGGGGTTTGGGGGAATAGATTTACTTACAGGAGTTGGCTCCCTGATTGTTAGATAATTGTCGACTTTCAGCTGTTTTGTGGGCTTAAGTATGTGATAAAAAAAAAACATTCATCCTCACTTTACAAAAATGGGGGTAAATCAACAGGTTCTCCCAGGATGCAGGTAGGAGATGGATTGATGCTAGTTAGATAAAGTAATACTGAATGCACTCTGGATCCAAGTCACCTGGAACTTTATAGATAAAAACAATGTTTTTGAATTAGAAATGTACTGGATATCAGTGCAGGGCCATACATCAAAGTTATGTGCTTTTACTGAACCCAGACCAATTAGTAAGTGATGTTCGACATTCTGAAGTTTTCCAATAGTCTTCAGGGCAGCTCCATGTAAAGCTTGTTGCAAGAGCTATGAGGGCACATGTTGTTATTGTTACAGGTTTTTTTAAAGATTGTTTCAGTTGAATTACTACTTGGGCATCAGCCAAAATTAGACCTTCTGTCTGTGGCCTCTGTCAACCTATTTAGGAATAGCTGTGAGTCTAGAAGGCCCCCCAGATCACAGACCTACTTCCTAATGGATAATGCTTCCCCCTTGAGAAACAGAGAATCTCAGTGAATGAATAGGAACTATGTGTTACTTGGTTTTAGCTTGTTTTATCCTCAGAGTTCTCTTAGTTCCTTATAATTCCCAAATATCAGGACAAGATCTCCACCACTTTACTGACACAATCCAGGTTGGAGGTGATATCAGCCAGCAACTCCAAACAGCTCGGTGACCTCTCCCAAAGTATTCCTCTGAATCTAAAATAATAGAGCACACAAATGAATGGCAACTGAACTTCTCTGAAACCATTGACTGGAACTACCCATTCAGGAAGAAGTAGATCCACTGTAAATCATGCCTCCAACCTCTGAACCTCTCAGATGATCCAGTAAGATACCGTGTTTGGTGGTATCAAAGATTGTTGAGAGATCTAAGAAGACCATAAGAAGTACATTATTCTCACAGTCATCAGTCTTAATACCTAGGCCTGAATTCTGATAGCAGAGGAACCAGATGTTTTTCAAGGGTATTTGGTAGTTAATTACATGCCATCCACTCAACAATACTTTCACCAAAAGTTTAGTTGAGGATTTAGGGAGAGCTTCTTAAGGCGAAGATGCATGAAAGCCTTAGGCAGCAGGCATCATTTCCCTCCATAAGGAAGAGTGGACAACCTCCTAAATCCACTGCTACATTCCTTTTCCAGGAGCATGAGGGGCATGGATCCAAATCCCACAAGTGGCAGAGGTCATGCTAAAAAAGCACTCTATCTTCATCAGAATTCACAGGTATCAAATAACGTGTTCTTATCCAGAAACAAGAAACTCTGGCGAACATACCAGGCTTAGAAATAAAGCCCTCAGTGTTGTGACTCAAAACGGATATTTTGTTTAAGTGTATTTCATTTGTTTGAATTGGCAAAGTTTGGATTATCAGGCAAGGGACTTTACCTTGTCTCAGTACTTAAAGACTCTTAACTATGGTACTTGTTTAATAGGATGGATGCTAGTCTCTAGATGGAAGGATATGGAAGTATCTTTTGGTCCTCCCAGAACGGTTTGTAAGAATTTGTTTTGAAAAATAAAAATAAAGTAACACACCTTCATTCTGTAGTTTAATTTATTGTTATATTGTTCAAATTTGGAGGTCACAATAGTAGGCAAACCAGCTACCTGATATTGTAAATAGGAGGCTGCGCTAGTGATAAAAAGTTTCTTGGCCAGTGTGAAAGACACTTGCACTTCATTATTGTCTAGGAAAGTTATGCCCAGAGATTATAAGTTTTGATTTTTCCAAAAGTTTAATTGATTGCCAATAATCGTTAATGGTCAAAGCATGGTGTTGGGATTTTTTTTGGGGGGGGGGGGAAGGATATTGCTCTAAAGAAGACAACGGCCCAGGTAAACCAGTTTGAGTGCTAGGTACCAAAGATCAGGGTAATCAGCACTGAGTAGGAAGGATAGTTAGGTTTCTGTCACCAATTTTATCTCAAAAACGTTACCATCCTTCAAGATCTACAAAAAATATTTGTAAAAGGATTGAAATAAAAATGATGATAAAACTCAGCCCTGTTAGATTATATATTTATAGTGAAATATCTAACAGGTGGCCTGTTAGGAGCCACTTATATTTGGGCATTCATATGTAATTCTTATTGTCATCCCTTAAGGGTGAACCAGATCAGGAAAGACACTTAGCAGAAAAAAACACCATACTTTATTGATATAGGTTGTAGTAACAGAATTTTTCGAGAATGAGTGTACTTCTCCTGAGTTTCTTCTTAGATTCCTTCTCAGGACATAAAGAGTACTTATCTCTGTTTATATAACAGTTTTAAATATTTACTTCAAGGCCGTGGTCCTGTCTCTACATTGCTAAACCCAGCAGTCTGCTATAGTTCAGAGCTTGCAAATTGAGATGTAACTGATTTCAGTCAATAGAACCAAAAACAAGGAAGGTTGTCAAATGCCACATAATTGTTTTTTGCAATGTTGACATGTTTGTTTATCAAATAAGGCAATACAAAGCAGTGATCTAAGGTAGAATAACTGGGTCAGAACTGTTCCTCAACAAGAATGTTGGTACTAACAACTCGATCTTCCAGTTTGTGCAGGACATGCTTGTCATAGGACTAGATTATGAGGTCAGTGAGATTAATTGCCCTGTAATTAACTGGAGAGTTTTAGTTAACTTTCTTAAAGAGTGGAATAACAATGCTTAAATTCCAGCTTTTGGGCCTATCATCTGTAAAATTTATATGATTGAGAATCTAACTAAGATAGGATCTCATTATTTTGGATTATCTTTAAATAAAAGTCCCTAGGAAAGTAATTTTCACTTGGAGTTTTGTTGGAGGGGAAGGCTTTATCAGTGGTTAGACCAGTGATGGCGAACCTTTTAGAGACCGAGTGCCCAAAAACTGCCCCCCAGTCCTACTACACCTCACATCCTGCCCTGCCCGCCAGCAGGGCCACGCACCACCTCCATGGCCCGCCGCAGATCGCCCAGGCAGCCCTGCAGCACCATGGTAGCCACGCCCTCCACCCACATCCCGCAGCATCTGCATGCTATGGGGTGTGAGGGTGGAGTCTTGTCCCTGCTGCCCGGCTATGTCCTTGGCTGCGCTGCTCCATGTGGGCCACACACGCCCGGGGGCGACTCCTCCAGGGGGCTGCTGCTGAGGGGGCCGTGGGGGGAGGAGGGGTTGGAGCGATGGCACGAGTGTTGCCTCTGGCACGTGTGCCAAAGATTCGCCACGACTGGGTTAGACTCTTTTTCTGTGTGACTGAAGGCTATGACTCTTTATCACTCAAGCTCTAAGATTTGATTAGCATTAGTACCAGTCAATGAAGCATGTAAGGAGTGCAAATATTGCTCCCTCTTTGGCTTGGATTCCCTTGTATTTGGGATGCATGGGTGAGCAGATGGGATTTCTCTGTATATAAGCTACTATTTACTAATCTCCAGAAAGTCAATGTGTCCTTAGAGTTTGTAGCAAACTGAATGTTAACACCAGAGCAATGTCTGGCATAATGATTTCTTCTTTATTGGGGATTTTTAGTTTTTTTTAAAATTATCTATAATATGCTAAGTAATTTCTACTTTTTTATATTAGAGTAAGTCCTTTAATGCTTTATATCAAAGCACAATTACTGACCTGAAAGTTACGCAGTTTGCTGGAATGTTGAATCAGTCTTGGTTTCAAGCATCCTGCTATTTGGAGTCTTAGAGGCAGTTAAAGAATAGAAATAGGGGAGAAGAAGGTGAGAAGTATGTAGGAAGGTTGAGGTGAAGGAGGAGAGGGGGTGAGTGAAGAAAAAGAGGGAAAGAAGTAAGTTGGTTTGAGGTGGGATGCGGTTTGGGGGGAAATGGGCGGGCAAGACCGAATGTGGTGTGTATCAATTTGTTTTATTTTTTATCTGAAGTATTTGTAAGATTGTTATGTATTGTAAAGTTGAAAATAAAAATTTTTACAAAAAAAAAAAAAGAATAGAAATAGGTTTATTTTTACTTGCTGGTTACAGTCAAAATTCTTAACATTATTGTAGTGATTTTTCATATAAAGATTACTTATTCACTTTTTAAGATTAAGTATAGAAGTTAATGTAAGGATTATTAAGTTAAATATATAATATTTATGTTAATAACAATACTGACATGTCCTTGGAAAAGATATATCAGAGCAAATGCATTTTGCAAGTGCATACATTACTCTCAATTCCAGATGACCACATTTTACAATTTTTTTGGGTAGCTGTCTACAACAGTTTGAGTCCTCTTTAGAATGTATGTAGAAATGTACTATTGACCTTTAATCACTAGCAAGAAATATATTGTGTTACCTTTGCATGCTATGTAGAGCACATGACGTGTTGTGATGTATCACAACTCTTTTCACATAGCTGGAGCTGGGGTGGGTGTGGCTTCAGCATGATGCCAGAGTCAAGCTTCTTTTTTTTAAATTTTTCCCCATAAAAGCCTCATATGTTTTTTGCCAGATTAAACGAGACAATCACCTGGTAGAGATATACTTTAGTATATTAAGTGTTTATATTTGTAACTTTGCTGTGAATTACATTTACAAATATTGCACTATGAAATGTTTTTTAAACAATTGATATTCATTGACTTAAAATAGATATTTGACAGTTATTATGTATGTGGGGATGACATCTTTACGTAGTAATATTATACATGAGAGATATTTATAGTATGCAAACTTGCTATACTATATGCATGAGAGATATTTTATAGTATGCAAATTTGATTTGGATAGCAAGTAAAAATTATGGTTGCCAATTTGGAGATAATGATAAATGAAGATTTTCTCTAAAGTCAAATACTTTGTGCAGTAGGAATAGAATTAATACATAGATTTGGAGTTCTTTCCAGGCTCATGCAACATTTAAGCACCAGAGTTTTCTGTAACTATAGACATATATATTCAATTCAATCCATAAAATATACAAAATTCTACTTATAAAATGGTAAGATTGCTATGATTTTAATGTTACAAGGAATGCATGTGAAGAGGAAGCATATATAAAATGATAAATTTCTGTTGATTATGTGGAATGTTTACCTTCCTAATCTTAAGTATGTTTATTGCTGTTTATGATTCTTTTGTAGTGGCTATGACTTTGGATATCTGATCAAGATCTTGACAAATTCCAATTTACCAGAAGAAGAGCTAGACTTCTTTGAAATACTGAGACTATTTTTCCCTGTCATTTATGATGTGAAATACCTCATGAAGAGTTGCAAAAATCTCAAGGTAATTCTTACTGCTGTATTTAGAGTTTTTATAGGGAAAGAATATACAAATTAATTTTGTTTGTTTTACTTAATCGGCAGTTGTATATAGTTGTGTTTAGAACCTGTTCTTGTAGAGAAACCAATGCAACCTCTTGAAAAAGAGATGCCCATGAGAAGGCTATTACTGTATCCCAGGAAGTTTTAATAAAACTACCGTATATGCCGGCGTATAAGGCGACCCAGCGTATAAGACGGCCCCCGTCTTTGGCGCCGATTCGCATGCCTAGAACGTCATCTTATACAGCGGAAACTACCAGTATTTCCGGCGTATAAGACGACTTGGCGTATAAGACGACCCCCGACTTCGGCGCTGATTTTAACGCTTGCGGAAGTCGCCTTATACGTCGGCATATACGGTAATAGTAATGTGAATCCAATAAGTAAGCCATTGGTTTTGTACATTGAGAAAGAAATCATAGAACCAGCTTCTGATCTACAAACATATACTGTAGACCCATGCATTCAGATGTGTGAGACACTCTTGAGGCGCTGTAACTTCAGTATGAAATCAGTCTACACAACAGCTGTATGGAAATATCAGTGTGAAACTTTTGATGCAGCAACTAGCAAAGTCTCATTTCTGCCCTTGCAGCAGAGGTGAATAAAAAGTTGCAACTTCTGGTTGCAGCTCTTTGTTATTTTATTATAACAAGAAGAAGCTGAGCAGCACTGATGAGAAAAAGATGAGAAAAGATGGTAATAGCAGTTGTTAGGTTCAAGAGAAATGAAATATGCAGCAGCCTTTTCCATCTCGAGGTCTTATCCAGTGCTCTTTCATTGATTGAATTTCATTTCTTTAGCAATTCTACAATTGAGTCAGCATATAGTTTATCAAGCTATCAGTTAACTGTATGATCAGAAGTATTGAACATATTAAAACATAGAGGAAAGAGTTAATCCCAAATCCTTCACCTATTTCTCTGTACAGAAGTCAGTTGGGCTACTAACTGGCTTGTTGTGTTAGCTTGGCATCTGGAAGCAAGGCATCTGAAGGACAAGTACACGTTGGAATGGAGGCATGAAGGACAAACAGCCAAGTGTACTATGATTGTTGCTGTGGTTTTAACAAACATAAGGAAAGAAAAAATCCTGCATACCAACTGCTATTGAGGTGACTTGAAGCAAAGGCTGGTTTAATATAAAAAGAATCAACATGTTTTTTTGTAAGCAAAGAAGTCAGAGATAAATTGGCTTTTGACTATGTAGCTAAATCCTGATTTTACAAATAACTGGTCACCAGTGATAATATTGATGAGCCAGATGTGAACATCATTATTCAGTGAATCTATTTTATGTATTGTTTGGAGACGGTGGATATTACTTTAAAAAAAAAAGAATGTAGGTACTGAAAATCTTCAATAAGGCAAGGCTTGTGGGGTAGGTTCATAAACCAGCCATATCTATTGCATGGAATTATCACTGGAGAAGGTGAATAGACAGATCAGAATATTAGCATTTCTGCTTTTTCATACTTTGAATATCATTTGTCATTTTGATATCCATGATTATTCTTATTCAAAACATTGAAATATTATGTTTTAAATATAGTTTTATAATGGGAGCTAGAAGTCTACCTATATTGAAAGGTTAAAAACTTGTAAATACTCAAAAGTCTTCAGATTATCCTTTTTTGATGAATATTTTGATCTAGTTTTTTTCTACAAAATAAATTAATAGTTGGCTATCAAGTAACCTCATTATAGCTTGCCACTTTTTAAATTGCTGGTGAAAATTGCAAACAGGTAACTTAAGGCAGCTTAGTTCTAGGGAAGAAGATGCAAATTATTAGCAAGCTGGATTAAATGCTAAATTTTGTTTAGTTTTTATTTTGTTAGTATTATTATTGTTGTTATTGTTATTATTATTATTATTGGCATTCATAGCCTCCTGCATTCATTTTTCACCCACAACGTTGAGCAAGTCACTTTCCCAGCTGGAATTCATCAGTAAGCTTCTGAGGGTGGATGTGTACCTAGGTCTACTCAGTGCCTTAATCATACGTGTCACTGGTTCCAGACCCCTTGAATTCTGTCTCCTCTTCAGCCCATCACACACATACAGTTTCTTCTCCTCTGCTTCACCAGCCCCTATTTATCCCCCTGTGTTCTTCTCTTTCAATTTAAGTCTGTCTTCCTTCATTCCCATTGCTGCTATTTAAACATGGTAGAAATACATGAGGTAATGAAGGTATGTGTAATAAAAGAGGGCAATATTATATAAAAAAGGATTGTTCCTTTGTAATGTCACCTAACTACTATGATTTGTTTAATTTTTGACACTTCTGAGAACTGAAAATAAAAATTTAAAAACACCTTTGTTTGTCTTGCTCAATTTTACTCATCCTTCTAAATGTTTTGGCAGTTCACATCATAAAAGATTCATCCATACTACTTGTTTATTTTTGAACCATATAGCACTTGATCTAAATATATTTTGAAAAAGGTGGTGGATTTTTTTTCTTTTTTTAAGGAGAAATAACAAGGAGTTATCTGTTAATAGCTCTTCTGGCATTTTGAAATTCCTGCTATGCAAAGAAGGGAGTAGGAGTTTCTCAAGTTGACCATGCTAAATGTAAAAGATTAAAGCAGAAGACCAGGGACTTCTGACAGTTTTGCCCAGTGTTTACATACAAAGCTCATACTGGAATAGTAGATTATTTGAACTTTTATGATAAGCTATAGTTGTAAAGGAAGAAGGCACTGAGGAGAGTTTATGTGACTTAATTTTATTATGCACATACTAAATTAGACTATGACAACTTTGTCTATACAACAAGAAGATTAGACTGTCTAACCTAGTATATTTGTAATAACGTTAACCCAGGTAAACCTTTCTTAGTGTAAGGTATTCTATTTTTCTATTCATTAGATTATTTCAGTTACTCAGTTTAATTAGGGGTCCTTTTTTAAAGGGATTAGTTTGAACGAATAATGAATTCCATTACTAATTGCTAGAAACAGACAGCACAATATATGGCACCCTTACTTCTTCCACGTGGGAAACGTGCATATGCTGTATAATCAGTGACAAGCCATCTTTTCACAGTTCCTTTTCCAGGTTTTTTTTTAAGAGCTTGAGGAATTTTCATTTTTCACCAGCATTGTCTGCATCAGGATTTCACCCTCTTAAGGCTAATGTTTCGACAGTCAAAACAGTCCTACTTCTGCAAGCAGAAGTATAAGTTGCAGATGCTTGTACACATTTAGCACAAAATTGGAAAATCAGGAATATTTAAGTCAAGTTTCCAAAGTGTTTTGATAACATTTAAATCATCCAGAGTCATTTGACAATGAGATGGGGGGAATATAAGTTTAAATAAATAAATAAATATCCACTGTCATGTGCACACTTTACAGCACTCCATACAAAAATATTAAGTGCTGCTCTTAGCCATTACAAAGTTGTTCACCCTTATATGCAGTTGTGCATATTTTTTACATTTGATTTTTTTCCATCAGGTCCTGTCTTGATGGACAACTGTAAGCAAAATGGGAAGTTCGGCGGGATTTTGGTTTGAAAATAATTTTGTGTACAGGCAGTCTTCAACTTATAACAGTTTGTTTAGTGCCCATTCATAATTACAACAGAACTAAAAAAAAGTACCTTTCCCTGGTGGAAAGGCTTGAATGATAATAAACAAGAGTTCTGAGCTTTGCTGTCATAATTTGCTATAGTGTTAAAGGACATGTGACTAAGTTTATGATTTAAACTGAAAGTGTAAATCTTCAAATTGCTTGCTCATATAGATGAATATTACGTGCTGTCATATTTTCAACTCTTCTAATTATGCTGCAATCTTCCTTTTCAGGGTGGATTACAAGAAGTTGCTGAGCAGTTAGAGTTGGAAAGGATAGGACCTCAGCATCAAGCAGGATCTGATTCTCTACTAACAGGCATGGCCTTCTTCAAAATGAGAGAGGTAAATAAATATATACTGTATATATATCTTTTTCTATGATAATATTGATGGCGCTGAAGGAGGGGACTTAGGACGGATCCTCATAGTTACAGCTGTCACAACAGTTGTGATTGCAATTTGGATATTTGGCAACTGCAATTATGACATTGCAGCATCTCACACGTGATAACCATTTGCAATCTTCTCTGCTGACTTCTGATAAGTAAAATCAATGGGGAAACTGGCTGGGGGGTTGCAAATGGTGATCAAGTGACTATGAGATGCTTCAATTGTGTGAGATATGCCTGATGCATCTGTCTACTTTAGTCAGCACGGTCCCATGATATTGCATTTTACCACCACATTGCACAGCAATACTGTTGGTCCCAATTACCCCCAATAAGTGAGAGCTACCTGTATTTTGATTTCATTGACTGCTATTAAATTAATAGCAAGAGATAACTTCATTAGTAAGGGAGAAACTAAAATACAGCATCTCAGCTGCTGTTGGCTAGACAGGGAAGTTTTAAAAAGAATTTTGAAAGAAAGTAATTACAAGTGATTTGTATTGTTTCAAGAAAATCATACAGATGTGTCTTTGAAATCTGAACTTGCCTGTTTTACTTCTTTTGCTTTTTGTTTCATAAGTATTATGTTACTATTGTTAAGATCCGATTTATATGGTAGTGTGGTGATTGTGGCCTATTCTTTTATCGGTACACTTACAGAAATATAAATTGTAGGAAATATATTTTATTTAAATTCTATATTTAATCTGAAAATCAAATTGTTTTGATACAGGTATTTTGAGTAGTGCCTCCAAAAATAGAATAATAATTTGTCCTTTACATTTTCTTTAGATGTTCTTTGAAGATCACATTGATGATGCCAAGTACTGTGGTCATTTGTATGGTCTTGGTTCTGGTTCTTCTTATGTACAGAATGGAACAGGAAATGCATATGAAGAAGAAGCCAACAAACAATCATGACATGAAATGAGAAGGCACTTTTTCTAAGCTCGATATGGTTGTACATAGGTTTTATCTCTGGTTGAATTCCTTGGACAATAAGGCATTCTTTTCCTCTTTATCAGCACATTTTTCTCTTGCCTTTGTATGTACTAAACCTGACTGTTCCTGTTCCAATCCTTTGACTTGATATATAGGCATTTCTGGATTAAATGTGGCCATGTACCTTGCCCATCTGTACATAAGCACATGTAGGAACAGTGTGGTAGATGGAAGAGGAAAGCTAAAATGATAATGACATTTCTACTAAACTTTAATTGGCCTTTGTATTGGTTTATTATCCCTGCCCTTTCCCCTCAAACCTGGGCAAGCGTTGATTGTAATCAATTTCCCCCATGGATGTTAATCCCTTCCAATGTACAGGATTTTAGTTATTCATAATTGTGGACCATCACATTTGCACTTTAGAAGAGTGACTCTGAGTCAGATACTCTGTTTTATCTGAAGTTCTGAATATTCTTCCCTGACTTGAGAAAAGGGTTCATCTGCCAGTATGCTTGCTTCTTCCAGGTCTCAAATACATTGAACAAAGCCACACTCATTGCCTAATCTCTCTTCAAATTTACAGGTATCTTAGCAGCTACTGTTACATATAAAATTGGTGTTTCGTCTTCCAAATATTCCCGCCAGCTCTCTGATGGAAGCAACTAGGTGGAATCATGAGGAATCTCTCAAGAATGCTTTCTTGAATTGAGAGTCTCTTTCATGGGGCCTAAATTTTCTGAGCAGTTTTTATGAGGTGTGATTAAGAGAACTTTCTTGTATATTCTCCTGCATTTAAAGCAAGCTTTATAGCAGCCTTCTCCTCTATGTTGCAACCTCCAGGTTTATTGGACTATAACTTCAAAAATGTGTGGAATATATAGAAGTTCACAGCCAAATATTTAAAGGGCACCGACTTGGGGTGGAATGGGGTGCTGCTTTGCAGCCTTACGGAAAGTATGTGTGTCCTTTTTTGCTTTTGTGTCTGAAAGGAATAATTGAAAGATGGAATGCTGCAGTTAAAATAACAATCAAAAATTGTAGATCCATTTCCTTATTCCCGTTCCAACAAGTTATGGCCTAAAATACTTTTCTATTTTAAAATATTAATTTATTGTCTACATAAATGGATGAACACAATATAAGTAAGAGATCCAAAGATAAATAGGAAGATGTGTCTTTTTGGGGAGCTGCAACACAAGACATTTGTTGTAAAACAACAAATTTATTTGTACCTAATAAAGTTACCTAAGGCTTGTAAGGCTAGTTTATTTTTTGAGTCTATCTTAGCAGTATATTTTATAAGTGTTTTACTAAAGAACCACAAAGTACTTTCCTGACTATGCAGAGCAGGCTCATAAAAAGCAATTGTGAAGGAAGACTTTTATTAGTATGGAATAGCTAAATCTTATCCTGAAATGATGGAGTACTGGTGGCAGCATTTGGCATGTCATCTACACTAAAAATCAACGGGAGTAAATCTTAATGTACAGCAAATTGCTATATCTACCATGTACTTTAATATGTTTTCCTTTATCCTCATAAAGTTACAATAATGTAACTGGGTGGTCCTTTTTCTTTTTAGGAAAAATTACAAAGATATTTGCATAAGAGGGTATTTATTTTTAAAGCTTTTGTAAATAAAGGCTGCAGTAACATTTTCTTACATACTTAAGAGACTTGTGGTTTTGATTTGAAAACCCACTGGCATGTCTACCTGGCTAGCCTTTTACATCTTTGTCATCTTAATTCAGTGTGGCCTTTTAGTCATACATTGGCTGCTCAACGTATCATCACTATAGTCACTTTAGAGTGTTCAAAATGTGGTTGAATATATCAAGAGCAAACCTTTGATTTCCATGCTTAAGAACTGGCTATAATATGTTTGCTACTCATCAGTGAAGTGGGAAGGATCTGAGGGTCCAGTATTAGTTCAGTTAAATGCTGTGCTCAGGTGTAATTTCTCATTCATAGCAATAACCTGCCTTACTAAGAAGCTTACTTGAATTTATGCAGTCCAGCAAGTGAGAAAGTTTCTACTTAACATGCCATCAGAGATTTTTGAAGATTAAATATTGTTCGTGTACCTTTTTGGTAGCTACAGACCTTAATATTTGCTGCTCGTGATTTGCTGAGTGGACAAAAAACCTTGACTATGTTGTAAACATAGCAGTTCGGTAGTTAGTGTTCCTACTGATGGGAGCTTTGTATATTTATGTTCGCGTAGTGACTGGACTATTTTATACCAGGTTGACAGTAGATTGTGCCTTGATGAAGTACTAATCATAAATGTCTGTTCATCACACTGTTGGAAAAAACTCACTGAATTCTATAGAAATCAATATCTGAACTATACTATATTGGACTTATTTCATCATGAGGTAAATTATAGAGGATTTTTTTTCACCGAGCATATCTTTTATGATGTTGGCAATGGAATTATTTACTGATAATGTTTTGTACGAAAGGAAGGAGAAAATGAAATAAACTCACAATTCATACAATGGAACTTAGCTGCAAATATTTCACAAGGCTGTTGAATATATGAGAAGCAAGCTGTCTCACAGGACATCCTTCAGTTGTCATCCCTTTCAGAAACTGTAATGGTTAAAAAAATGCTACTTAGTGGCCCTTGTAGAGGGCTGAGACTTTTGTTTATGCATTGTGAGACTGCCATTACCTCCATTCATTATGGGCCACAATGGGACTCTTTTAGATTTAAGGAGATATTTTAAAAATGTTCTCACCATAACACAGACAGATCAGGAAATCAGCATGTTGGCTGATTGAGGTTAAATCCTACTCTCTTTGTGTCAATCTTATTGTTCCTTCATAATCTGAAACAGTACAATCTAGACATATATTGTTTGCATAATGGTCATAATGTGGTTTACTACTTAGCATGAATTTATAAGCTTGCAACTTCTGGTTCTTGCAAAACTGCCACTTTTTTCAAAATGCTGGTCCCAGGCCATTTGGGCCAATTTTGGCCATGAGTTGGTCCGCTGGAAGCTCTGTAATATGGTATGTCATGGCACCAACTTTTATTTCCAGTTATGTTACATTGAGACTTACTCTGGGATGAGCCATAGTCTTTGTGTTCTGGAATATATATTAAGCTCTCTCACTCTACTTGAATACTTTTTGCTCTGGGATTAAGGTGGGATAGATTCTGCAGTGGGTCTTTTAAGTTTCATGTGCTGAGAAAATCTGCAGATGTTTCAGTCGCTGTATAGCCTCTAAGCCAGCTGACATTACATACTGTCAACAAAACCAATGCTTCGTTGCTCATGCACTTTTTAAATCTTGCATTTAAACCATGACTGGTTTGTTTGAAAGAGTTTAATTTTTTCCCCCGGAAGTTAACATAATACAAAAATACACAATATATGTTTTTGCTGAATGCAAAAAGCAAAAGAGAAGCACTTCTACATTTTGTAAGACCTGCACCTTTATGTACAATCTGGCATTTTTGTACAATTTGGCATCTGGCATTAGGCCAATACTTGAGAAAGTTTTCAGTATGGGACTGTTAAATAAAAAAAAAGGTATTTGGCTTTGAAAATCTTGCCGTTATTAAACAAAATAGGAAATCATACATAAACATAAAAACCATGAAGTGCATAAATAACAGAACAGTTAAATCTATGTCTTTGAACAGGATTCCATATAGATGAAGTTGGTCTAATCAGAGTACACAGAGGATTTTAAAACGCTAAAATTTGCAGCAATTATAGTAATTATCTCCACATACAGTAGCTGTTGCATAATTGAACTTTATTTGATAGTCATGTAAAACAATGCACTATAATAATATAGTAATAAAGTCACTAAAGTTAGCTTGGTGTGCAGCAAATGTACATTTTTTTGTTTTCATCAAGTTTCTGCATTGGATTTGATGTTTAGGATGCACAAAACTGAGCTTTTTAGGTATCCAAATGAATTAAGGTGATGCAATCGAGTTTCTCATACTCTTCTATTTCAAGGCTAATCTGATGTTTTTGACACTGCCCTTTTATTCTTCAAGGTTATCTTCATATAGCACTACATTAGGCACAGTATTAATAAAAAGTATTTAATCTCCTTCAGATTTTGGAGATAGGTTTCACTCTTTATTCCTTTCTGCATTATGTCTTTTTTGTGCACATTTTTTGAGAGCCATGATAATTACTGTTTCTGGATTATTACAACAAAACAATAGTCTTGACAGTCAACAAGCATGAGAACTGGGATCTACAAATTCATCCCACCATGAAAGGTTCCATCCACAGAGTGTTCCAGAAATTATTTGATTTGGAAAAGATTATTCAATCTTGAATGAAACAGGCTGGTTCCGTTTAAAGAAGTTGGGTTCTGTTTTGCAAACTCGAGGTGGAATTCTACTTGCATTACTTTAAGCAATATATGAATTTTTAAAAATTATAACTTCAAAACCTTTTATGTAAAACTGGAATATTCCATGTTGTTTCCATGTAATTGAATGGACAGTACACTCAACTGTGTTCTGTTCTTTTGTTTTTTAAATGGTAGAGGATGTCTGATAATTATGCAGAAAGACAAACTGAAGAATGTTGCTGTTATAACATGATTACTAAATCATGATACCCATAGGAATATAGATTTTCCTCAAAAATAAAATTTACTCAAGCATTCTGAACTGTTGTGGATAAAGTCTCTATCATTTACAGGTGAGATAATATTATGGTCATGAAGTCTTTGCAAAGATTTCTCATGTTCCAATGACCAAAGAAAAATTACCTTAGAAAGTAATTGGTTGGGCTAGTGGATAGATTTCTAATGCCCATAATTTACTTTCAAACAAGTTCCCATTTAGATAATTGAAAAATTATTTGGGAATGATAATTCGATTTTTCCTGAAAATAGAAAATTAAGATTTTAAGAAATTATGCAATATATATTGCTATACTTATATACATGTTCCAATGGACATATTACAACTGGAGCTGAATTGCCTATCAGATGTATGCAATGTATTTATATTTTTATATATGATTTGCAACACAGCTTTTATTGTTCAGTCTTTATATGAGAAACTACTAGATATCTATAACTGATCTTGTATAGACAGGTGTGGATTGTAGGAATAGCAGTTTGCATTTTTAGAGATGACAGATTTTTTCTAACTTTCGTAGGCCACTAACAACACCCATTTCACAAAGGTAATTGCTTAGTTTTGACTGTGCATTTAACTAAAGTCTACATTTATGAATTTTAATTCATTTGTATGCCAAATGAAATCAGCCAAAATTATGATTAAACATTATTTTCAGTTAATAGTACTGTCATCTAGCAACAGTTTGCTGTGGGAATTTCATATTAGCTATGGTTTCATCAAAACATACTGTTGATCATTAACATGATTTAGAGTTTGAATACTGATATGAAAGGTGCAAGAAAAGTTAAGGAAGATGCAATTGGAACATAATTATTTGTTCAGGTAGTCCTTGACTTAGGAATGTAATGGATGTAAAGTTGTGAAAGCTGTAAAATGAGTCAATCATTTATCAACCCAATTTTACAACCCTTTTTGTGGCAGTCATTAAGTGAACACAGTGTTTGTAGAGCAAATACCACAGTTGTTAAGTGAGCCAATAGATCACTATGGGTGAGGTTTTCAGCAAAACTGTTGTAAAATGTCATGTGACCATGGGATGCTGTACATGGCCATGTGGCTTGGTTGCTGAGTGCCCAACGTAGTCATGACTGCACACACAGGAGGCAACTATTGGAACTTTGAATTTGGGTCATAAGTAGCCCACAGGTATACCCACTGTAACTTTGAATAATTGCTAAACAACAAGTCGTAAGTCAAGGACTACCATACCATTTTTGAGACAGATGGATTTCACTATCAAATATTCTGCATTCCAGTTAGTATTGAGGATGGGATGGTAGCTACATCTTCCAAGTGCAGAAGGAATGTTTAAAATCTGATGAAATAACCCTGAAACATTCAAATCAATTTGTTCAGATTTTGTTGTAATTAAATATTTGGTTTTTACATTTTAAAAAATTATGAAAAACAGAAGAAACCTACCGATATGTATGAATTTGTGCTATAGGCATTTAAAAAGTTTTTTGCTCAATATGGTAATACATTTCTAACACAAATACTTGAGATTCTTTTTGCTGCATTCAGCTTCTAGAGAAGCATTTCTTTTTTATTTTGCATGGAGGCAATGACTGCATCATTTAAAGTATTTTTCCCCCTTCGGAACATACGTTCATCCCAGATCACAATACACCCACTTGCCCATTACCAAGTTTGTTAGTGCACATGTAACATAGGAATCAGATAAAACTATAGTGGGAATCCTAAAACAAGTGAAACACAATGTTAGAAAATGACAAGAATCTTCCCTGGTATACAGCACACATACAAACACACAAAGTTTGGCCCCTGCCTAGCCCTAAAAGATTGCCCAGTCCAGCAATAAACCAATCAAGCAAAAATCATATAATTGATTACAATTAATTGTCTTTAATCAGGCAGGAACCCTAGTTTTCAGTTTATCAAAGTTGTGGTTTCCCAAATGCAGATGTATAGCAGATAATGCACAGAATTCTTTTTCCCAGTTACAACGGGAATTTGAACAGGACTGACTAGAATTCCACGTAGCAGAGATACCTCTTTTCTTTCCTTATTGTCACTGCTGTCCTACTACTATTGTTTCCTTACTCCAATCTCAAACCTTATATTGGAAATCTGCTTGTAAAAATCAACAGAATTTACTTCCAGAGCAAAATAGTGAAGGTTGTAATGTGAAAAAACAATTTGAATGAATACATTCTATTCCCAATGTATCAAAAGAAGGTACATTATTTTAAATAGTCCCATATCTACCATAAACTCCTCTCTAGTTTACATGGCTCTTATTACCTGAATATGTTAAAATCTCCCTTCTCTGCAAAATTTTGGCATTGGACAGCTGACAGTCTCTGTTTCCATGAAGACATGCTGAATTTTACTAAAAAATATTTTAAGGGGTTATATCTAACAAGTGTATGACAACTTTCCCCTTCAATTTACATATTTTAAAGACAACCCAACAGCAAAATATTTCACAATGTACAGTATATGAAGATTAAGCAGTATAAGGAGTAGTTTTCTCATTTTATTCCTCTGATTTTCTCATCACTTCCATATCTAAATATAAATAATTAGAACACTATGCTATGAAAATGAGTTGTCTATGCTAATATATGCTGTGTAAAACTATAACCTAGAAGTACACAACCTTTTCAAATATCCCAAATTTTATGGGTCATATTCTGGCACTTTTGGTGATTAGATCCTACTGAGATTTTTCAAATAGATTAAAATATCAGGGAAAAATCCAAACCTACACTATTACAGTTGTAATAATATCACAAAGACATCATGCTATCTCATTTATTCTCCACAAGACCATTCTGATATATTTAAAATCTATACAGCTACAGAAAATAATGTACTGTTTTTAAAAAAATATTTGAGACCACTACAGCTGGGAACTGTCATTCAGTCAGACCTACCAGTATGTGTAGTGCCTGTTTAGAAGTCTAACGAGACTGCCAAAGTGATTCTGAAAACAATTCTCTTGTTTCTTAAATACTTTTCAGTAAAATGTAGAATTTTCTCACATTCTTCCCTAACCAAATTGTTTATTGACCATTTTGAAATTGATTATAACCTATTTTATGTAAACAGCATACTGTATTATGTATAGCTTAAACGTATTAATTTCACCTTCCACTGTACATGCAAAGGCACTGATAAATCCAGTTCTATGAAACTGTTAAGTTCCTTGGCTTCCAAAATTTCTTAAGTCTTAAATTCTCAGATCATACAAAAATTCATAAAAGCCTCAGGTAATTAATTTCATTTAAAGTGTGTCTCTGCTAGATCCAGTTATTTTAAGAATATAATCTAAACCATAGTAATAGTATGAACATGAGTATTACGTAATATTATACAACTCTTCATATGTAAATTACCAGGGTAATAGCAAGGAATGCAGCAATTCAAGGATGCTGGGTTACAACAAAACCTCTTATTGATACAAACTGAGGTCAGTTGACCATTCTGAAGAATTAAAAAAATCATTTCAAGTAAGGTTGAGTAAACTGAATTCGCCATCACAAAATTTCAAATAACCTTGCTCCAAGCATGGTTCTAACTACGCTTATTTTTACATATATAAATAAATGTGAAGTTCATTTTGGTCTCTCAGTTATGAAAGAAGAGAAATTATAATCTAGCCCTTATATAAAGAGATGCATGAGCATGATTGTCCGACCTGAGGCTAGTTTATAATTAGAACAGTTTTGCTAACTCAACTGAAGGAAGCAATCAAAATATCTTCTCTTCATTATATCTAATCAACAAACAAGCTATTCAATGAACTGACAAAACTTGCTTTATAGTCCAAGGAATAAAGGTAGTTTACAGGAGGAAATCACAAGCAAGACTTTAAAGATTCAAGAACTGCTTCCAAGAGCGTGTTTAGATTATATATAAAGTTTATGCTCACTTGAGCTATAAATGTCAATTCAAAAACCACGCCTATAATCTCTAAAGGATTAACAGTCCTGTATGTGTTAAGATTTCCCACTTTCCTAACATGTCATTTTCAAGACTTCCATTTTGCACTGTAACCATATTCTATGTTAGCCAAACTGCTATTTTTATGATATTCAAGAAGTGTCAACAGATATTTCAAGTGATGATGCAGAGACAGTTAATTAGGCCTTGATTTTTTTTCTGAGCACATCCATGAAGCACTGGACTAAGTAGCTAGTCTGATGAATGCTGATGTAGTGGATGAATTCTTCATCCTTTCATCAACTGTGCTGTTCTACAAAAAAGTATTAAAAAAGTATTATTTGAAAAACTAATGGCTTTCATTCTACATAATTACAGAAATTACAAAGTAAAGCAATGTTTCTTAACCTTGGCAACTTGAAGATGTGTGGATTTAACTCCCTGAATTCCCCAGCCAGCATGCATCTGTAAGTTGCCAAAGTTGAGAAATGCTGAGGAATTTTATTAAATATAAAAGAGCCAGCAAAGTTTTCAAAAATAACTTACACTTTAAGAATCAATGTTGTTTTCTTTACTTGCAAGACTAGGTTTCATTTTCCATAGATAGTGCAGGATTGCTTACACCTAAAAAAAAAAAAAAGATGCTCTTAAGCAATGACTTTTAACTTTGTTTTAAATAAATTGAAGCTTGAAGCTGACTGACAACTATAGCAGAAGCATTATCTGGATAAACCAAAGTGTATTCATAACCACTCACACTGCTGCTTTATATTTGTACCTTCTGAATGTGTTCAACACACTGTGCAGAGTATGTTGCAATAGTTCAACTGTATAGTGGCTAAGTCAGAAAAATTTACAGGCTTATGGCACCTGACTCCATACTGGCAGATGACCTTGCCCAGCAGCCTTATGTAAGTCTTAAACAGATTGTTAAACTCCGAGAAATCTTATAAAGAAGGCTCGATTCTCCTCCACCCTCTGCAAGCACCAACTGAAATTAGCCAGAGAAAAGAGTGGAATCACTATAAAACAGTTTCTTTACCTTACAAACCCCGGAATCAGCCCAGAAGGAAAACACAATCAATGAAACAGAAGGCTGCTTAAGAGGTAACCAGGAAAGTTACATCATTCCTATCCTGTCAGCTGTCATCCAGAAGTGCTATCAGTGCTATCAAGTGCTTTCAAACATTATAGTATATCTCAGCCTGAAACCTGACTGAAAAAGGTGCAGATAATCAGCTTCCTCGAGGGCCCTCTGAAGCTGCAGCCAACTGTCCTATTAAAAAGGGGAGGTTGTAAAAATTGTCCATTTTGTAATGCTCCCTTGATTATTTTTATAAATAACTCAAGTTGGTGAACATATCTAATACTCCTCCTATTTTCCACACAACAACCCTGTAAGGAGGGCTGGATTGAGAAAGTGACTGGCCCAAAGGCACCCAGCAGGCTTTCATGCATACGGCGGGACTAGTAGAACAGTAATTCTACTATGTTGGGTTCAGTGATGTTTTCATGGGACGGGGTACAACCACCAAGAGTGCTATTAGTAGAACCAAGTCTTCAATTCTCACAATTGTACACCGAGTTCATCTATATTTATTTACTTCTACCATTTATAGTCAATAGATGAAAAAAAAGTTTCACTAGAAGAAAAAATGAAATCATTTTCACTGATTTGTTCATGTCCCTCAAAGGGAGGGAAATGCCAAAGTTCTGAAAATCTTATACAGTACTCCTCAACTTACAACCACAATTGAGCCCAAAATTTCTACTGCTAAGTGAGGCAGATGTTAAGTGAGTTTTGCCCCATTTTACAACCTTTCTTGCCACAGTTAAGTGAATCACTGCAGTTGTTAAGTTAGTAACATGGTTGTTAACTGAATCTGTCTTCCCCATTGACTTTGTTTATCAGAAGGTCACAAAAGGTGATGACATGACTCTGGGACATGGCAACCATCATAAATATGAATCAGTTGCCAAACATCTGAATTTTGATCATGTGACTATTAGGATGCTGCAATGGGTTGTAAGTGTGAAAAACGGTCATAAGTCAGTTTTTCCAGTGCTGCTGTAACTTCAGTCACTAAACTAATAGTTGTACATTGAGGTCTATCTGTACCAAAATATGTGCCCACCTCCAAATTTTCAGCTTGTCAACCTAAAATGCTCTTATCTTTAGCTGAAATTATCTGATCTGATGCCTCAGCCTAACAACCCACTTTTAAAACTTACTATAAAAATATTGTTAAAAATTCTTACCTAGTTTGTTCTTTTCAGTACCTGCACTAGTTTCTATCCAAGATTGAGGATCAGTAAGAAGGTGGCTCTGGGAATCACGTAATGTCTTAGCCGGAAAATGATGACTATTCTCACTATTAAAAAAATGATTTAAAAAGTTGAATGAGAAGCAATTCCATGAACTGAATTATTGATCAGGGCGCTTGGGGAATATAGAAGAACGCCAATGTTATTTTCTTGCCAATAAGGGATAGTTTGCCATACGGTAAGGAATTTCTGTGATTGCCTAGATGCCTCTCCAGATGCTAGTTTGGAGGATGAGCCAGTCCCAGGCAGATCAGGAAGGGAGTGAGCTGATGGCTCCGAGGTGGGGGCTGCAAACCCAAGTGAGGTGAGCAGTCAATGGGAGAGTGACCAGATGAGTAGCTGGTTGAGAGTGATTCAGCTGAAGCACAGCTGAGCAGGAAAGCCCTCAGGCTTCCAGTAGCAAAAACACAGCTGCAGCTGGTTAGTGATGAAGAGGAACTGCCTTTTCCGCCTGATTGGAGAACACTTAAGCCAAAGAAAAGACAGGAGCAGCGAAGGTTAGCCTGAGTACTTATGAGGCAGCAGTTTCATCCCTCTTGATGAGCTGCACCGGAAGCTGGCTATTTAGCATAGTAGACAGATGGAGACAACACTGGGAACAAAGTGTTCATTTCCTAGTTGTATGTTTCTTGGTCACTGTGATTCCTGCCTTGTTTTGGATTGACACTATCTTGATCATGCCTTATGGATTCTGGACTCTTCTTGTTTCATGAACGTTCTTGTTTTGTTTAATTTGCCTGGTGGACTTACCTTGTTTAGGAACTTTCAAGTGCCTTGTGGACTCATTGGCCATTGCTCTGTGGACTAGCGTTGGTTTGCTTTTGGCTGGACTTAATTGGGAGTTCTGGATTTTGGTGAAGGGAATTGCTGGGGAATATTAATAAAACCACTAAACCACTATCATGTGTCCGTGTGAATGAGCAGGACAGCACAATTTCCTTGTATCAGTCTACACCTATTGGTTATTTCCAGGAGAGAAATACTTATTTTGCATATTTATTGCCAATACATAATCACACATATAGTTAAATCAAAGCTTTTGTAGGCTAGTGAGTTAAATATAATGAATGAGCTTGTGTTTTTTTAGTATTTCAAATACACAAAGACAGAAAACTGTTGGCCTCATATCTTGCAATCATGTAAGAATCTTGGCAAATAGATTGCTGAGAAAAAACTTCAGAACACTAACATAGATTGTTGAAAATATATTGTCTCAGAAAATGTAAAGAAATTCACAATTATTCTGCTTTAGCAATAAAACCAAGAAGTGTTTCTATTTTTCTTTATAATTATTGAGAACTTATAAAAATAATGTGGAAGAATAGTATGCATTTAATTGTAAGTGTGAAATAGAAACTCTTTAAATTATTTTCTCTCTGCAGTCTAGAACAAACACCCAGAGTGTTCAATGGCATTAGGAATGGGATATCAAACAAATATTTTTTACAAGTGGTCCTTCTTCAGTGACCACAGTTGGGACTGACAGCTTTGTCATTAAGCAAAGATTTCACTAAGTGAAACTGTAATGGTGCTTGCTATTTTATTCAGCTTTTCTTTGCTTTCCAGACCTGCAAAGGTTGTAAATGAGAGAATTGGTTGTATAGTTACTTTTGCATCACCACTGTAACTGCAAATAGTTGCTAAATGAGGCATTCACTAAACAAGCATTCTATGGTTTTATGCATCAGGACATAGTAAAAATCATCTGATTCTTAGCAGTTCTTAAAAATAGATAAATACAACTTCAAATGAACAACATATGACTTATTACACCATGGCATCATTTATTTTACGACAAGCCAAAATGGAGAAGCCATGTGTGAAAAACTAAGCACACCTTATAATTCAGTAGCTGGTAGAACTACCTTTAGCAACAATAACGGGAAATAATTTTCTGTATGACTTTATCAGTCTCTCACATTGTTCTGGAGGAATTTGGCTCACTCTGCTTCACAACATTGCTTCAGTTCATCGAGGTTTGTGGGAATTTGTTTATGCATAGCTCTTTTAAGGTCTCACCACAACATTTCAATCAGGTTGAAGTCTGGATTTTGAGTGGGCCATTGGAACACCTTGGCTCTTTTCTTTTTCAGCCATTCTATTGTAGATTTGCTGATGTGCTTGGGATCACTGTTCTGTTGCATGACCCAATGTCGGGCAAACTTTAGCGGTCAGACAGATGGTCTCATATTTGACTTTAGAATACTTTGGTATACAGAGAAGCTCAGGGTCGACTCAATGACCACAAGGTGCCCAGGTCCTGTGGATGCAAAACAAGCCCAAATCTTCACCCCTCCACTACCTTGATGATTGGTATGAGATGTTTGTGCTGATATACTTGTGTTTGATACTTCACCAAATATAGCACTGTGCATTATGCCCACACATCTCCACTTTGGTCTCATCTGTCCAAAAGACAGTGTTCCAGAAGTCTTGCAATTTTTTTTCAGATGCAACTTTGCAAACCTAAGCTGTGCTGCCATGTTGTTTTTAGAGAGATGAGGCTTTCTCCTGGCAACCCTTCCAAACAAACCATACTTGTTCAGTCTTTTTCTAATTGTACTATCATGAACTTTAACATTTAACCTACTGAGGCCTGTAGAGTCTGAGATGTAACTGTTGGATTTGTTTGCAATTTCTCTAAGCATTGCATGGTCTGACCTTGGGGTGAATTTGCTAAGACATCCACTCCTGGGAAGATTGGCAACTGTCTTGCATGTTTTCCACTTGTGAATAATCTTCCTTACTGCAGAATGATGGATTTTTAATTTTTTGGAAATGGCCTTATAACCTTTCCCAGATTGATGGGCAGCAATAACTGCTTCTCTGAAATCACTGATGATGTCTTTCCTCTTTGGCACTGTGTTAATACACACCTCAATGCTGAAGACTAGCAAACTTCTAAAACTTTGGCTTTTATAGAGGTAGTCACACTTGCTGATGATCAATTAATCAATGGTACTTGATTAGCAGCACCTGGTTGCTATTTAGACTCTTCATACCTACAGTATGAAGGCAGTAATAGTGTACTTAGTTTTTCACACGTGGCTTCTTCCATTTTAGCTTTCATTTTGTAAAATAAATGATGACATGGTGTAATCTGCTAAGGATCAGATGATTTTTACTATGTCCTGATACATAAAACCAAGGAACTCTTAAGAAGGTGTATTTTCTTTTTCACATGCTTGTAAATGGTTTTGGTGTGTAAACAGATTAGCATCTGAGAAAAGACTATGAGAAAATGAAACATCAGCTATGTGTAAATATTGTGTGGTTAAAAAATGTTTTAAGTCCGATTTGTTGAAAAAAAGATAGAGATTTTATTTACCCATTACGAGGTGGGCTGTGCAAGATATGCAAGTTAGAATTGTTGCTTTTGCTAAGAAAGAAAGATACAGAACAGAATTGGATAAAAGGCAATGATCATTCAGTTATTTTAGCCATGGCTTAGCATTTGTTATGAGCTACATGAAGGCCATTATGTGCTTCTCCGGGTGTTGCACCACTGTATTTTCATACCGAATTATGACTTTTCTGAATGTTTCTGGATGGCAGATAATCACTATTAATGTGCCTGAAGTATGATTATTTCTACATGAAATAACAACACACGCAATAATATATAACCTTAGATTGGACCTGGGTATTTGAGAGACCACTTATTTCCAACTATTTCTGCCTGCCCATTATGTTCAAGCAAAGAGGGTGCGCTCCAGGTCCCCTCCATTAAATATTGCCATCTTGTGAGGCCTAGGATGTGTGCCTTCATGTTGCCCCATGCTCCCAAAACAACACCCCACAGAAATAAGGTTGGTTCTCTCTTCCTGGGGTTCTAGAAAACTGTGAAAATCTGCTTTGCTCCTAGACCTGGGATTGATATTTCTTATTTATTCAGTTGTTCAATTTGAATTTGTTATTGTTGCTGTTTATTATTTTAATCTGGGCGGTTTGTGATTCAATGTTTTTAGCTGTTTTTATGTTTTCCCTAGCTTTATACATCACTCAGATTCCACTAGAATTGGGTGGCCAAGAAATTTAAATAAATACACACATACATTACATACTGTACATAAAGAATTATAATAATAATATATAGGCATACTTTTTATTTCCACTGTGTGCTGCAGGAGTAGAAGCTTGTTCAAGATCTTGGTTAACAAGGCAGGTAGGAAAAGAGCATCCATCTCCTAGGCTGAAAATTAATTAAAAAACATATAGATAAGTAAGCTGCACTCAAAAGCTTTTTCAATGTTGAATTTAAGTTTTGGTATTAAAAAGTATTTAGTTCACATAATTTAATGTGGAAACAATGGTCTCTTAAATACAGAACTCACCTGGTAAAAATTGGCAACAGCCAGTACTTTTTCTCATCTCCAAAGACTTCCCTTAAGTTTTTGCTGAAGCCCAAATTAAACCCATTTTTATCTGTTCCATGTCGAAAAACAGGTGCTCGGAATGCCTCTATAAGAAATTGTTACATTATTTAACATTTTCAAAATAAGATGCTCAAGGGGCAGAGTGGTTTGTTGACAAAATAAAGTTCTAATTCCTTACCTAAAGTTGATTTATTCTTACTGACCAACCAGCAATGATAACCAAAGAGAGAGGATAAGCTAATTGAAAACATAGCTGCAGCAAAGAACAAAAACATAATATGGAACTTCGCTTGAGTATCAGGAAGGCCATTCTATAAAAAAAGAGAAAAAACCCACAATTGTTTCAATGCTCTTTTAGACACATAAATACATCTATTTAAAAATCAAGGTAAATTAATAATGACTACCTACAATCTTCTCTTATTTATTCCAGTGTTTTCCAACTTGCCAACATTAAGACGTGTGGACTTCAACTTCCAGAATTCCCTGGACAGCATAACGGTAGACTAGCTCTACACATCTTATAAGTTGCCAATTTTGAACAACACTGATTTATATTATAACTATATTGGACCTAACTGAAGTGCTATAAATACATACTGAGCCGAGGTGGGGCAGCAGTTAGAGTGCAGTACTGCAGGCCACTTTAGCTGACTGTGTTCAGCAAGTCAGCGGTTCAAATCTCACCGGCTCAAGGTTGACTCAGCCTTCCATCCTTCCGGGGTAGGTAAAATGAGGATCCAGATTGTTGGGGGCAATGTATATATATATATATATTATATATATAATATATATATATATATATATATATATATATATACACACATTGCTTACTGGTGTACACCGCTTAGAGAGTGCTTGCACTTAAAGCGGTATATAAGTCTCATAAATAAATAAATATAGTCTCAATTTAAAACCATTTGTTTAGTGACCATTTGAAATTACAATGGCACTGAAAAAAGTGACTTATGACTGGTTTTCAAACCATGGTCACCTGATGAAAATTTGAACATTTGACAACTGGGTTCATGTGATCACCATTTGTAACCTTTTCAGCCAGCTTCTGACAAGCAGTCAATGGGGGAATCCAGATACATTTAACAACTGCACGATTCACTTAAGAATTGCAGTGATTAAGAGCTGTGGCAAAAATGAACGCAAAATGGGGCAAAATTCACTTAACAACTGCCTTCCTTAGCAATAGAAATTTTGCACTCAATTGTCGTCGTAAGTCAATGACTACTTGTATTGTTATATGGAGGACTGTTTGAATGTGCCTCATAGTTATTTGTTAATCAAATAACACCTAAACATGATAAATGAACCAGGTTTATATGTTGAAGCTTGATAAATTTAATTGTACTCTGTAACTGACCACCAACCAGTTTTTTAAGTACTGAAAATATTGAAGGGCCATAACAAGAATTTTATTTAAGGATCCAGAATACTAATTAATGCCCACAACATCTAAATACTGTACATGGAATATATGGAGAAAAAAAATCACATATTCCTGATTCTCATTGTATCTTGTCAGGAAGACGCAATTTTAAAGACCACCTTTATACAGAACATTGTCTGAAAAACTATAGAGTTATACAGACCTTAAACACAGTCTATACATTTCAGAATATTCTAATTATTGACTACTACCAATATATAATTAAATCCCAATGCCTGTCATATTCCCATTTGCCACACAACTATGGGTTTCTGGGAAGTGTAATCAAAAAGTGCAGTGGTGCTGAAGTATCTACAACTTTCCGAAGTTTCATTTCCACAGGAGCCATGAGTCCTGACTGTCAACATCCAGTTTGAGAATCCAAATAAAAGTCCAGTTTCATTCCGTTTCCAAAAAGTTTATAGTTTATTGAATAAACTGCATGGTTATGTCAAAGTAAAACTACCTCTGAGGTTCCAACACCAATTCACTGACTTAAACAATAATTTTCCCAGTCAAACTCCCAATGTCTTACGTAATCCATATCATCAAATTCACTTTATTGTGGGTACTGTCTGCCTCAAATCTACACCTGTTCTGGTGACCTTGGCAAGGCTTCAGGCTCCCACCATCTTCAGCTGAATCGAAGAAGTTTCTCTTTCTTACCCACTTTAAAGTAACACCTCCCCCCTTAATCTAAAGACAAGTTGAAACGTAAAGGCACATAGCTGCCAAAGTTTCATCCTTACACTGACATTCTGTAAATTATCCCATTTGAGTTACCGTCAATAATTTTTGCCCTACATCTTCCAATATCACCTAACTGAAGCTTACATATACAAGAGTTTCAATAATATATACATTCTGAACCAGAAAATGAACTGAAACTTACTGTCCAGAATCTAATAAAATGCTGTAACTCAGTCGCAAAGATGAAAAGGCAGTATAATAGAGAGTAAGCCAAGAACAGAAGAAAAAACTTGTAATTTGAGAATCCAACACAGTTGTTCACCCTAGGAAAAGAGAATACAAATTGCTGAAACCATATGTATGAATATGGTTTCATCAATATTCAACACACAACAAATATATTTATAATACTCCATTTGTTATGAGTAAACACACTTCTGTTTTTCACATTAAAATAATGCTTTAAATAAAGGAGTCACATCAATGAACAGTATAATTCATAATAATATTACAAACATAAAAATGTAATAGTCACAAAAATTAAAAACAGAAAGATGAACCGGGCTTATTAAGATGTTTCTTTCAATATTTTCCACAAAAACTACACAGTTTTTGAACTGGTATATTAGTCTTTCCCTGGAGTTTCTTAAAGAAACTGGTTTCAAAAGTATCACTTGTTATTATAGTTCTTCAGTTCTGACCAGTGCTATTGTTAAAGCAGCAAGAGTAAAATCATTTTTTTTGCTAATAAAGATAGCGAGCTTCCCAGTGTTCTTGATATTCATAATGACAAAAAAATTGCTTACCAGGGACAGTGATGATCCATTTTCAAAATACATCTTAAAAAGACAAACAATGTAGATTATTTTACAGAATTCACAAAAAAGTTAATCATATTGCAACAAAACTTTTGTGCCAAAGACAATCTTAACAGATAAAACAAATTAGTCTATAACTTCAGTTGGTATAACTGGACCAGCATCTAAATGAGGAATTTAATTTGTGCTTGAACTGACTTAGATATCATTCATATGATAGCTTCCTTATTTTGTCATATCATGAAATCAGATGGTTGTCTAGCCTCTGGCTAGGATAAAATCAGGTGACTGAATATCAGAAGCTTGATTTGGGCTCAGGTTTTTGTTTTATGTGTTTGGTTTTAATAGTTTTAATATGCTTTTATGTTATTTTTATTTTTGATTAGGAGCCACCTAGAGTTTGTTATAAGATGGGTGGCTATATAAGTGTTTAAATCAATAAATTAAACATTTCTGAAATCACTTTCAACAAACAAGATGTAAATAAGTTCTCAGCTTTGCAAATATTGTAATATTTGTTTCTTACTTATCGCAGACAGAACAATGATGGCAACGATCTGGTTTTATAAGTTGGCATCTATCACAGTATCTGATTGCTGTAAAGACACAAAAAAATCTATGTTTACTCTACGTGATGCCTTATGCATATCTTCCTGCATATCCCAGACAACTACAAAAAGTCATTTTATTAACAATCCCATGTTTCTTTTTTGGACACAAATTATAATTTATATATTACAATTCTACCCTGTTAATTTGTATTCTGAGTACAATAAGACATATTCATAGATATTTGTGCATACAACTATTTTTTAGCTAAAACGTATTTTAACTATATTCTTGAATAATGCAAACATATCTGTTAATTTTAGTAACCTCAGTACCAAGAGTGTTCTCATAACTCCTAACAAATATCTGGCAATTAATCAGCTATTTGGCAAGCAACTGAAGAGATTATCAGGTCCTCTCACCACAACTAGTCAGTTACTAACAATTATTTGATAAAACTGTAATCTATAGCTGTTGCTACATGAATTTTAAATTATGCAGAGTTCTCATAAGAGACAAACTCTATATCAATGGGACTGGAGGTGCAGTCAGCTAATTATCCTATTCAAACAGTTTCTACAATTGATCCAGTGTCTATTAAGAGAGCCAAAATATAGTTTTATTTATACACTAAAAATTTTTAAGCAGTTATGCAATTGAAATTAAAGAATCCAATAACTCTACTGCGCCCTTTGGTTTAATAACTGCTCTTCTTTAAATACTCTGGCTTAATTTATAGAGATGAACAAAACAATCCAACATTATATCCTAACTTTTGAATGTTTTTTTCCCGAGAAACCATTTCATTTCACGTTGTTTCACTTAATTTTGGCATATTATGACTGGCTTTGATTTTTTAAAAAAAGATTCAAGTCAATAAATTTGGACCATCTATTAGGCAATAAAACAGCGGGCACAGATTCTGTCTCACTGCTATCAGCTGGATCGGCTAGAAAAGGAACAGGTGGTTTCATGGATTGTTAAACAAATATTTATAGACAGAATCGTTTTGAATGGCTGCTTAATTGAAAACCAAAGCTGAAGATCACAGAGTACTCTAGATGAGCATCTTGAGAGCAGTCTCACAAAAGTAGTTGCCATAGTACACCTGACAATCTACTAAACACTTATATATATCTTCTATATAAATAAAAATGTAAATGTTCGTTTGTTCAAAATCTTAAATCTCCGAAAGTTCTTCACCGATTGCTTTGAAATTTTGACACAAAGTTGCATTCGAATACGCGCATGTTTTTATATACCTATATTATATAGATGTCATACCTGTGACAGGTAAAAACATGCTTTTTTGAAAAACAGTGCTATCTGTTGGATGTAAAAGCAACACACGCTACAATTTTAGACAATCTCTATATCTGCACAGACAATGGAACAACAAAAAATATTGTATACCCACAAGCATTGTGAAATTAAACATATTACAAATGTGCGCTTTCTCTTTTCTTTCTTTTCCATTTAACCAGACTGAGCCACAGCAACGCATGGCCGGGAACAGCTAGTTTAAAATAAGAATGTTAGATGTTCTTTATCCTTCCCTCTAGCTGATCAGCAAGTTCCCTAACTTGGTCTTTTTCTGACAAGTAGAACTCATTTTAAGTATATCACTGGACAGAAACCAACCACCTTTTTTATTTAATATATTTTATAATGAATTTTTTAGATTTCATATGGATATCTTATGCCTGCGAAATAATCAGGAGGACATCATTCTTGACAAATACTTACCTCCAGACATTGTTCTTGTACTGATAGGGAGGTCCTTGGCTGCCCTCTTCAGCACTTCTTGATGGGTTTCATTTCTAGGTTCTCTATCCATCAATTCCTTATCTGAATAGCTCAGATGGAACTAGGAAATAATGCAGTTCTTGAATCATCATTTATTAACCATTTAGTATAATCATCTTTAGACATTTACCTAAATATTGAAAGGTTTGAAATTAAACAAACTGGCTGCTACTTTCTCAATTCAGAAAGGTTATAAGGTAGTCTTTGACTTATGATAGTAATGGAGACTGCCCATTTGTGTCGGAAGTTGTGGACTATGTTAAATGAAGCACATGATAAACAACCTCCCCATCCTTGTTTTTCCCAATGCATTCATTAAACGAATGCACGAGTTGTTAGGTAGAAAATGGGCTGTCTCAGCAGAGAGGAAAAATAAGAGAGGCCTAGTGCAGGCACAGGCATACCCAGAAGGCCTCCCCCACCCTCTGAGATAGCCAATGTTCTGCCTCCTGCCCCTTGGGTTCCCTAAAGCTCTATGGGCCTCCTCCATACCCCACCCCGTTATAATTGCACACTTACCTTTGAAGATATCCAGAGCTCAGGAAGTTGGCAGTATAGAAGGCCACTCCATTGCTCAAGGGCACAATTGAGAAGAAATCCTGTTGTTTTTGCTTCCATTGCAACTCTTTCCTTCCTAGTCAGTATAAATTGGTAATGATTTTTTCTTAGCACTGGCAGTGCTAGCTTTACACTACACTTATGCTGGCAGAGCTAAGAAGAAATTGTGCCTATTTTGATTCCTTGCAAGACTAGTGTAAAGCTAGCACTGGTGGCACTAAGAAGAAATCATAGATTTATGCTGGGGAGCAAAGGATTGCATGGACTAAAACAGGCACGATTTCTTCTTAGCATTGCAAGTGCTAGCTTTACTTTAGTCATACACTGGCAGAGCAAAGAAGAAACCCTATCGCCGTGGTGGCGAACCTATGGCACATGTGCCACAGGTGGCACGCAGAGCCCTCTCTGTGGGCACACACACTGTCGCCCCAATCCTAGGCCTTCAGCTGGGTTTTATAAAACTTTTTCACTTTAGGCTTCCACCGCCATTTGCAAAAAAAAAAAAAAAAAGGCTCAATGAATTTCAACTTCTCGCGCGGAAAAAAAAATCTTGCAAAGTTGGAATTGATTGATTGAACATTTTAGTCCCACTCAGTCTGCCATTACCAATGAAGCCAAGCCCACCCAATGGGCCACACCCACCCAATGGGCCACGCCGACGATACATAAGTCAGTTTTGGGCTGCAGTTTGGGCCCTCAGTCTCTAAAAGGTTCGCCATCACTGCCCTATCGCCTTCGCTTCCTCTGCAATCCTTTCCTCCACAGCCAGCATAAATCACTACCGATTTAAGCTGGCTGGGGAGAAAAGGATTGCAAGGGATAAATAGGCACAATTTCTTCTTAGCTCCACAGCATAAGACTAGCGTAAAGCTAGCACTGGTGGCACTAAGAAGAAATTGTAGCAATTTACACTTGCTGGAGAGGAAAGGATTGCAATGGAAGCAAAAGTGACAGGATTTCTTCTTCTTGATTGTGCCATATGGCCCAGCAAGGGAATGGCCTTCTCTACCCTGACTTCTTGAGTTCTGAATTAGTGAGCAGATGGTGACCAGGAGTGGGGGTGGGAAGGAGCGCATGGAATGTGGTATGTTGGCGAAGCAGGTCCAGTGCCTTGGAGGACCTGGCGGGGCAGGATGGGATGATAATGGGTGGGTGTACTGCAGTGTCTCTGCAGTCAGTTGTAAGGGTGAATGACTGTAGGGGCACTACAAGGTTCGTAACTTTGAAATGGGTTTGTATTTAGCTTTTGGGGTGGTGGTAGTGTTGTAACTTCAAACATTCATTAAATGGCCTGCTGTACCTCAAAGATTACTTGTAATCACATTTGTTTGAATATGAAATTATAACTTTATTCATAATTAAGGATCTGATTTATTAAAGCCTGGACTGTGCTGAGAGTTTTTTAAGGGAATCCTAACAAATTACCCTTCCCATATTGCTAATGAAATTGGTAGGAAGGAAGTGCATTCTTATTCTTAAAAAAGAAAGAAAGAAAGCAAATGTAAGAGTAGACAACTATTTAAAGCTTTCAGTTTTAATTGTTTTTAATTTTGTTATATTGAGAATCAGTACATCAATCTCTTTTCCCTATAAAAATGATAGAATATTTCAGATATTAAAACTAAATCTGCCCTTAACCTCTTTAAGTAATTTGAAAGGCAATCTGAAAATGAGGCTAAAATGCAATCTTGTTCAGTGTCCAGGAGAGAAATCCTTAAATAAAACATAATATTATCAGCAATGTTTTGTATCATTTAATGAAAGAAATGGCCCTTTGCAAGTAATTAGAAAATGGCTGCTATACATAGATTTAAACCAACATTTTAAAATAATTCATTATATTTGTTAAATAATTAAAAAAATAATAGGTCTGCCTAGAGAAATAAAAATAATTTCCCTTGTTTCCTTCATTAATATCAAACAATAGTATTTCTGAATTACATTTTTCTATTTATACATATATACAATGTAATGTAATATATTTTTCAATTTTATTTAACAATATGAAGTATGTTAATATCATTCCCACCACAGTTAGCTGAGCTGATGACAAGACTAAGAAAATTCAATATTAAGGAACTGAATATACTTGTTAAGGGGATTTATTTTCCCTTTTATATGTCATATCCTTATTTTTATAATAAGCAAATTTGGGAAAAAAGAATAAGTACATGAAAGAACATGCAATATAAACTGATGTTTTTCACATAAATGTTAACAGCTTTGACACTATCAATAAAGTACACATGTTGGTAGCATGTGTCTTCAAATGAACAGATGGAAAGCTAGAGAGAATATATTTATGTAGGATGTTATTTACTATATACATGCAGAACCTTTGTGTACCAGAAAGAAAATTAGTAAACAAGGGTTTTTTCTTGCACAAAATTATAACTTACTTCTTTGGAAGGATTCATTGGTAATGTAAAGATTGTTTTCCAGTAAGACCACAAAAACATCATGAAAAATAGATGATACGCAATCAGGCACACCACTAAAACAAGATCATAAAATTAAGGCATTAAGCAAATGACAGAAACTGTCAGAGATATACTGACAACCAAAAAAAAAAAAAGAGCCAAACATTCCCAATGATTCACAATAAAGAACAGTATTATCACAACACCAACAGAACTGTAAAATAATGGCTCTTAAAGAAGCTACAAAACACTACCAGAATGTGTTCAGACAGAAAAGTTTGTAAGGAATAAATTTCTGTACTGTCATTTAACCTTTTCATTATTTATATCTGTATTCCTTAGAATGGATCTAATGGGGGCAAGAGAATCTTAATGTGTCTATAGCAAGATTGTTATGCACTTAGTTATATACAATAACAACAGAAATCCAAGGGCCTATTCTATTCAATCAAAGACCTATTTAAGTCCTATTTCCACTAAGACAATCAACTCTTCTATAGCAGCTAATGTTCAGAGATATGGTTTCTCTGATTCTGAAAGTAATAAACAGGCAACATGATTAGTTAAAAATAAGATATTCAATAGCTACTAAACCATCTAATGCAGAGGTCCCCAACCTTTTGGACACCAGGGACCGGTTCTGTGGAGAGGTTTTTCCATGGATTAGAGGGTGTGTGGTTTTGTGTGCTGCCTGCATCCCGCGGATGGGGCTTTGCTTGTTTGTGTGGCCCGGTTCCTGGCATGCCGCAGCCCGGTACTGGTCCATGGACCGGGGGTTGAAGACCCCTGATTTAATGCATCTTAAACTCATCTCATGGTCATCAATTTAGTTTTACTGTATAATATAATTTACTTATGGATGGAATAAAGAAGCTGATAACTTTCTGCTCAAGAAGTCTACATTTTAACTACTGAAATAAAGGAGATAGAATCAAAGAAAAACAAGAAAATAGCATGTTTAGTTTGTAACAATCTTAGTGGCAATAGGAAATAGGACAAAATACATAGTAATACACAATATAGACACTATTATATATTCCTTAACATTCTCCTGACTGGTTCCGCTCCATTTCATAGGGCAAGGAGGTAACAACTGTAATATAAGTACTACAATGTTAGTATTAGTGTAGCAAATAGAAACATAGGAATGGGGTATAGTAGCATCAACTAAAGTTTTCTCAATTTCTTCTATAAAATTATAAAGAATCTATTTGGTTGTATCTGGTCATTCATACAGAGAAGATAGACCAAGCTTTTGTCCACTTTTTCCTTAGAAAACCTGATGATCATTGGTTAGGTTTAATGATATATTTACAGGAAAACAGAAATTAAAATGCAGCCTAAAAATCCAATTAGAAAAGGCATGTAATCTTCAGTAACTGCTGAAATAAATCAATTTTTAATGAAATGTCTGAACATATAGACACTATAATAGACTTAAACTCTATGAACTACAAAGTATAAAAAAATAGCTATTACTTACTTTTTTCTCCAATATTTGATATTGTTACTGCAAGAGAGGAAAGGAGGAAAGATCAGTGAGAAAACTTGACATCATTTGACACAAAAAAAGCATTCTCAGTTTCTTAAGTACATATATACCTATCTTTGAATGAGCATATAAATAGTTTACTTTGCATTCTACATTGTACTTAGTTGAATTAAATATTGCTTTTGAAAAAGATATTTGCAGATTTTTTCAGAAGGGAATAAAAACAAAGAACAAGTCTTGTCAGAAATAGTATACTACAAGAGAAAATAAGTAATATAACCAAGGAAAGATGGGAAAAAATTAGTGATTAGACATATTCAGCACATCTAAGATGTTTTCTGAGCTAAGTTCAACTCCTGATGACTTCGCTGGGATGTTTGGATAGAATTTTTGGCAGTTATATGGATTGCTATTCCTTTCTTCTGAGAGCTTTTTTCCCTTTTTCTTTTAGCTTTTAGTTTTCTGATATTTTCTGATGATCTCTCAACCACTGATGTAGTCTGACTTTTCTTATCATCTATTATCAGGATCAGTGAATCATAGCTGTAAGACCACTGCTAAAATCACTGACTGGCTTCTGATCTATTATGGGGTATAGAATCCTCCCCTCAGTGTGACTGTGGGGTCTCATGTCAAACTGTAGATCACATTGTGACTGGCTGTAAGTTGAAGCCATATATTGATCCAGTTTCTGATTTTTTTCAGATAAAGGAGATGGCCTAGACACTGGTATATGAATATAGATATTTTTAACGTTCATATAACATTCATGTTAATATACATTATAAATCCATGTTTGTTATGCTATACACTAAATAAATATTATCAGGAGAACTTTAAGAACTTATTTATCATCAGCTGGAAGGTCAAAATATGGGGTTGATATTTAATTCGCGATTATGATCCCTCTGAAAATAAAAGCAGCAGTTTTAGATTGGAATACTTTTAGACTATCTCAAGAGTGCATTAATTTTCTTCTGGGCCAGCAAGAAGAAATGAACTATTAAAACAGAGACTAATACCGTAACATATGGACAAAATGAACTGTAGCTTATAAACAAGGCACCTGAAGGCAGGACAAGAAGCAATGGGTGGAAACTAAGCAAGGAGAGAAGCAACCTAGAACTAAGGCGAAACTTCCTGACAGTTAGAACAATTAACCAGTGGAACAACCTGCTTCCAAAAGCAGTGAATGCTCCAACACTGGAAGTTTTCAAGAAGAGACTGGACAGCCATTTTTCTGAAATGGTATAGGTTTCCTGCCTAAGCAGGGGGTTAGACTAGATGACTTCCAAGGCCCCTTCCAACTTTACTTACTACTACTACTACTACTACTACTACTACTACTATTATTATTATTATTATTATTATTATTATTATTATTATTATTATCAACACTTACAATTAATATTTAAGGTTGAATAACATCAGTTAGTAATTAATTGGATTGTAACAGATTCCAAGGAATCTAAATATTGCATAGAATCAGAGAATCATAGAGATAGAAGGGGGTTGCAAGGATCATTAAATGCAACCCTTGAAATATTCAAGAAAAACAATGAAATCATCCATGAGAATTGGCTATCTAGTTTCTTAAAAATTTCCAGAGAAGCAGTTATCCACAATCTCCACAGACGCCTATATTTATAGTCCTACAGTATATTTATAGATACTGCAGACACAAACCTTCTAATATTAAGCACAAGCCAAATTTCTCAAATAAACCTTTAGTTCTTTAAATCAAGATAAAAGTTCTTTAACAAGCTAGAAAAAGTATCAAGCCAAGAATGCCAATTCAGTTCGAGGCCCTGTTCTGTTCAACGTATTTATAAATGACGTGAATAATAAAGGTTAGAAAATGATCAGATTTACAGATGAAACAAGGACAGAGGAACAACAAATCTGCTAGAGGAGAAATTAAAACACTGGTGAAAACAAGCAAGATAGATTTCAACAATAACAAAAAAGGCCTGCATTTGAGTAGGAAAAATCCAAGACCCAAGTTTAGCATGAGTGCATGGAAAAAAATCTGAGATCTTGCTGGATCCCAAGCTAAGCATGAGCTAACTGGACAGTATACTTGCAAAATATCAAATGCAGTGTTAGTCTGCATCAACAGAAGTAAACAGGTAGTACTCGCTTAAAAACTGCCTTCAACTACAACCATCTGCAGTTATGATGGTGATAAAAAGTAACTTTGTGACCAGCACCTGCATTTATGACCTTCACAGGAAAGCTGAACTAAGATTGTAGGCAGAGTTGCAGTCACAAACTTTTTCACTTAGTAAACATTTTGTTTAATGACCAAGTTACTGGTGCCAACTGTGGTCACTAAATGGGGACTACCTATAATATCAATATCATCATTCTTCTCCATTTTATGTTGGTCAGTTCCTACCTAGAATATGTCTAGTTCTGTCAGCCCGTCGATGTAGTCTATACAAAAAGCACTAACCATGAATTCTAACATTTATTGTAAGGTTAAAGTAACAGAATCTTGCAAGCCTGAAAGCATTCTTCTCCTCTTTTACTTTCCAGAAAACCAGAAAGGATCTTTTCAAAGATGCTTCCCATGTCCCCTTTGCTTCCCTCAGCCAAGATACCTTTTGCATGAGTTGTCTAATCTGCAGTTCTTCCTCCTGTTTTCCAAGGTTGTTCCCATAGACCAGTGGTTCTCAACCTGTGGGTCGGGACCCCATTTGGGGTCGAACGACCATTTCACGGGGGTCGCCAAACAAGGCTGTCCGCCATTTTTTCCCCCTTTTCTTTGGCCACGCCCCTGGCACCCGGTGATGTATAAATGGTTGGGGGTCACCACAACATGGGGAACTGTATTATGGGGTCGCGGCATTAGAAAGGTTGAGAACCACTGCCATAGACCATTACAAATTCTGAGCAATACATTTAGGAAAGACATTTACAAATTGAAATTTATCCAAAAGATAGCAATCAAAATGATAGGAAGAATACAATGAAAAACTTGGAGTATTTGAAGGCACTACATATTTTTCAAGAATGGATTGAGACACATATGATAGCCATTTTCATGTATCTTAAGATCAGACAGAAGATGGGGCAGATTCATTCTGTTCCACAAAGCAGGAGAAGGTTTTGTTGACTTTCCTGAAGGCTGTGAAAACCTTGGCTTCTCTCACAGGACTTTGCCTAGGATCTTAATGGAACTGTTTGTGTAAAACACATTGGTAAGGTATTATTTTTTTTTTACAGAAGTCTCAATTTGGTTATTTTAAGTTGTACATTGTTTTATTTTGTTCACTGCTCAGAATTCCTTTTGATGGGTAGCAATATATTATATATTTATTAAATGATACATTAAGAAAAATGGAATTAAATTAGAAATCGATTTCAGTGTGACATCAGAAACAATATGCTAATTGCTAATATGCTAATCAGAGAAATAGATTGCCTCCTGAGAAATGGTGGACTGTCCATTGTTGAAATATTTAAACAGATGTTGAATGGCCATTGTCACGGCTACTGTAAAAAGGGATTCTTGTAGATTTAACTGAATTTTCTCCATAGCATTTTCCCAACCTTACATTCAGTGATTCTATGAAATATAAAATGTTAAAAATAAAATATTTATATTTGACCAATTATTTTATAGAATGACTAATTACTAAGAATATATTTGGTTTGGAAGGTGATAATGATCTGACAGTTACAGTACTGAAATTTTGTTTTCTGTGTATGCAATTCAAAGACAGAAATTAGGAACATTCATTTGTAAGGATTTTCTTGATATTTTGCTCATTTCCACATACAATGAAGATTATAATTATTCTGAGGCAAAACAGTGAGGTTTAATCTCCATCTTTGAACATACTTTATCACTAAATATGAGACAGTACGGATAAACAAAATATCAACTCTCATTTTGTGTTGCTTCCAAATTCTCCATGGAGATAAAACCAAACCAAAATAGGAAAGTCATCATATAATTAAATTATGAACTAGCGGAGCATGACATAAAAGTTAGATCACATCCTGACTTTAAAAAAGATTGCACCAAAAGTCAGTCCACCATTTTCTTGTTTGTTTTTTCACATTTCAAGAAAAATACAAAAAAAACCTGAAGGGAAGTATATGGGAAAGAAGAAAGGAACAGTGGATGTATATAATCAAAATCACATGAATAGCATTATTCCAGATTGAGGTGGTGAAGAGGTTTTGAAGAGACTGTTGCTATGGATCCAAGAGAAACAGTAGTATCATCTACTATTCATTTGATTTTCAGCATACTTATCAAATTAGGCTTCTCCGTGTAATTTATTTTTTAAAATGGTAGAATTGTCTTAGGTTCACTGAGAGAACAATAATGGAAATAGAGAAGTATCTTCTAATATTCTCTCTCAGTCATCCAAATGATCTCCCGAATGCAGGTTAATCTTTTTTTTAAGTAAGAAAAATTGGCTAATGGTTATAAAGGTAACCTTTAATACAAATTGTGGGCACTTCAGATATTTTGATAATCAAGATGTCAAAAAAGAAACAACACAAAGAATTAATATACCTGACAATAATAGATTATGTTCAAATATAAGGCATTATTCTATTAACATGCTTCAATGACAGCCAACCTTCATGAAATTTAGATTATTTGTCAGTTCAGACTCTGAAAAATACAATTCCTTATTTTATATCTGTAATTATACCTTCCAGCAGGTAATTTGGTTATCATGTAAAAGTGCCTAGAAGTTTTAAACTACAGCAAACAATTTAAATTGTGACATTTTTATCCATTTCCTCATTGAGCTTATTTACGCATAAGATGATAATGTACAGGTATTAAAAATCAAATTACTAATTTTACTTTCCATTCCTAGAAATATAGCTTTCCAGAGAATGTGTGTGCCTTCTTCTCACATTTGTTTATATATTGTTGATAAACATTGCTATTTCAATACCAGCAAGCACACACAAGGTGTTTTTAGTGCTATGCCTTGATTAATAAACGCTTACACTTACCCCAGGAGACATTATTTCCTGTACAACAGATAATTATTCTCAAGAGATCTTTCTTAATGAATTAAGGCTAGAAGTCTTAAAATCAATCTCCTTTTAAAATTACCAGTTTGCTTTCTAACACCAGATCCATATGGAAACCATTAATATTGGATAAATAGGGGAGGGTAAAGACTCACCCAGACAGAGCTGGGCGACGTAGGCATAGTAAGACCAGGCCAGGACGCTGCAGATGAAGAGGACCGGCACCCAGTAAAGTAGAGGACCAGCACGCCGCCACAGGCAGTGTCTCCTCCCGCCTCCTATCCGAGAGCAGCTGCGGGAGGAAGCCACCGACCCCGCCGGAGACGCCATCTTCCCGCGTCCCATCTTCCCCTCCCCGGTTAATCAGCTTTTCCGTCTGCCAGGAGGGCCCGGACCCTCGCCGCACATCCCCGCCGGCAGTGGCGGCGGCAGAAGAGGCTGGGTGGTTCCAGCGGTTCGTCGCCTTCCTCTTCAGCGCCGTCTTCCTCAGGATGGGCGAAGGCTGCTCCTCCCCACGGTCGCCTTCAGCCACTGACCTCTCCTCCCTCCCGCTCGGCCATCTCTCTGTCACTGAAGAGGGTTCAGCCGCCCATCCCTGAACCGGGCCGAGGAAAACGGGGGTGCGATTGAGGCCTCTCTCGCTAACTCCCCACTCTGCTCGCATTGACGACTCGCAGGGCGAAGGGCGGGGAGAGGAAAGGCGAGGCTCCCCCCCCCCCCGCGCGTAGCATCCCAGCGAAGCAGGAGGCACGGGCTTTCAGGGTCCATCAATCCTGAGGCAAATTGCTTTAGGGACGGAGGGGGTTGGTACCTCGTTGGAAAGGTGTATACAAGGACCGTGGGAAGGTGTCCACCTGCTGCAATTCCCTTCGTCCGCTATTCTGTCTTTTGGCAATCGTTAGGTGGTAAAATTTGCGCCAGTAAGCGTTTTGCTAATCTATAGCAAAACCCTTAAAGCAATCTTTGGGATTGTGTCTTCGGATGGGAAGTTGAGGAATAAAAGTTAAGGTGACCAACCGTCCTCCTTTTGGGAGGACAGTCCTCCTTTTGTGAGTTCTGTCCTCCCTCAAAAATGTCCCCCTAAATGTCCTCTTTTTCTATATTTGAAGACTTATCTGCAGGGCTTTTTTTTTCCTCATAGAACACTCAGAAGGCGTTCCAGGACCTTTTTTTGATGGTTTTTTTTTAACTTTTGCCTGAGCTGTTCCCCTTATTAGCTTTTGAAAGCCAATAGGAATTGCTGCTGAGTGTGCCAAAACACCCAGGCGGCAAACTTTGCACGTGCAAGTTGCAGGAACTTTGCACCCCTCACTGCTAGCCAATTACACTATCTCCTACTTAGTTCTGTAGATAGCTGGAGGAGACTGGAGTGGTAAGTTTCTCTTGATCTTCCCTGTTCGGTTCTACACAGGGATGCACAGGGTAGGCGGTGGGGCTGGGGGGTGGCTGCAGGGCCAGAGCTGGCATGGCTGGTGCTTTGCGAGCCACGGGGCCGGCTCTACGGGGATGCACAAGGTGGGCAATGGTGCTGGGGGTGCAGCTGCAGGGCCGGAGCTGGGGCAGCTGGTGCTTTGCTTTTGCGAGCTGTGGGGCTGGCTCTAGGGGGATGCGAGGGTGGGCGGTGGTGCTGGGGGGCGGCTGGGGGGGGGCTGCAGGGCTGGAACCGGCGCGGCTGCTGCTTTGCCTTTGCGAGCTGTGGGGCTGGCTCTACGGGGATGCGCAGGATGGGCGGTGGTGCTGGGGGAGCTGCTGCAGGGCTGGAGCTGGCTCAGCTGGTGCTTTGTGAGCCGCGGGGCCAGCTCTCCACAGCAGGGCAGCGGTGCTGCTGGGGCGGCTGTGGGTGGGGGCGCGGCGGGCAGTTGACCTTCCATGAGCCGCGCCAGCTGGTGGTCTATGCAGTGCTGACCTGCGCTGCCACCACCTCACCCTGCGCACCTACGTGGCTGTCCTGGAGCGCCTGGCTCACAACACCTGCCTTCGCCGCCCACCCCCGCGCAGTCCAGCCACGTAGATTTTTGGACAAGTGAGAAATCAAGATTGAATGTTGATACTCTAGCTGCAGCACTTGCCGTAACATTCAATATGAAGGATATTTCTTGTTCAGATATTTCCAATATATTGTTAGAAGATGATACATTGACAAAAAATATTCATTCAATGGAAAAGTACTCATTTAAATAATTAATAGGCATGTAAGCATAATTACAATTTAAAATGTTATTGTTACAAATGTTTTTTATTATGCATTTATCATATTATAGTGTATTCTGTGTTATTGTTGCAATAAATACAATGTTTCTTTTATTTACGATATTTTTTGTTCAATTTATTCGTGTCCTCCTTTTTGTTGTAAAAAAGTTGGTCACCTTATAAAAGTTATTGTTTTGGAATAACTGGCCACTTTGAATAAATATGACAAGGAGGACCTTTTCCTGCGGTGTAGCAATCTTGCAACCAAAAGGAAGAAATTTAAATGAAATCAAATGTTTATACTGATCACAGACCAGGGTAGAAGAAAATCATTTTTTTTTCAATTTTTATTATTTTATTTTCATTACAATCATAAGAAAAAAAATTCAGATGCATAAGAAGTTAAAATACAACACACAAATTCCGACATTGCTCACCCATTTCCCCCCAGACCGCATCCCCCTCTCATCTCTTCACTTCCCCCTTCCTTCTACCTCCTCCTCTCCTCCCCTCCCTCTCTCCTCCATCTTTCTACTTACTTATCCCTCTCCTCTTCTTCTCAATCGGATGCGGTCTGAGGGAAAATGCCCGAGCAATCGTCTATCACCAAAATCTGAACTATTGAACATACTACCCATACTCTTCCCTCCTCCCTCCCCCCCTCCCCCCTGACTTCCCAGAGCTCAGTACAGGGTTACAAAAAGAAGAAGAAGAAGAAAAAAATTAAACATAGTCAATTTAAATTTACTACTTATACAATAACCGGAATCATAATAACCCTTAACTCTCTGCAAACTTGAATTCGTAATTTAATAAAAATCCATTATTCATAAAATAAATGAAACTTTGTCGTTCCATACTTCTTCTGAATATATTCTATCCATCTTCTCCATACAGAAACATATCTCTTTTGTGAATGGTCCTTTAAGTAAGCAGAAATTTTAGCCATTTCTGCTAAGTTAGAAACCTTGAACACCCATTCTTCCAAAGAAGGCAGAGAATCTTTTTCCCAATACTGACCCACCAATAGTCTTGCTGCTGTTATTAAATTCAGCATTAAAATAGTTTCTTTAACATCAAAATCCACAAAAATACCCAAAAGAAATAATTGGGGAGTAAATTTAATTTTCCTTTTAAAAACCTTTTATATATTCCATCAAATCATAATCCAAAAAGCTTTAATATTTTTACAAGTCCACCAAACATGAAAATAACTTGCATCCAAGGAACCACATCTCCAACATTTGGGTTGCAAATTCGGATACATACAAGATAACTTTTTAGGATCCAAATGCCATCTATAAAACATTTTATAAAAGTTTTCCCTCAAATTTTGTGCTTGAGTAAATTTAACATTTCTAATCCAGATTATCTCCCAAGAATCCATTAAGATTGGTTCCTGTATATTTTGGGTCCATTTGATCATACAATCTTTTACTAACTCTGTTTCTGAATCCAATTTTATCAACTCATTATAAATTCTTTTGATATGAGCAAATTTCTGATCTTTAATCTGAATTACCAAGTTTTCATCTGTTAAAGTAATTCCCACCTTCTTATCTACCCTCCATCTCTCCATTATTTGTAAATAGTGAAACCACGATTGTAAAATATTTTCTTGCCTTAACAAATCAAAAGACTTTAATTGCCAATCTGTACCTGACCAAATGAGCAACTCTTTATAGGAAACATTGTCAAAATTCACCCCTTTAGAAACCCCTTGAATTGCCTGTCCAGGAATCCCCCAAATGGGTATTTTATAGTTCAATTTATAATAATACTTCCTCCAAACACAAAGTATGGCATTTCTTAAAATATGTGACTTAAACACCCAATCTACTTTCTTATCAAAAATTAAATATGCGTGCCGACCAAATAATAAATCCCAGCCTTCAAGAACCAAAATATTTTTGTTTGTTAAATTTAGCCAATCACTTACTAAAGTTAAAATGGCCGCATCATAATATAATTTCAGATTAGGTGCTTTAAGTCCACCCCTTTCTCTAGCATCTTGTAAAATCTTAAACTTAACCCTTGGTTTCTTGCCACCCCATATAAATTTATTGATACCCTTCTGCCACTCTTCCAAATTTTCATCTTTTTTCAAAATGGGTAACATCTGAAATAAAAAAAGAAACTTTGGTAGAACATTCATCTTTACTACTGAAATTCTCCCCAACAAAGATAATTGTAATTTTTGCCAGTCATTTAGGTCTTTTTGTACCTTTATCCACAATTGTTCATAATTATTCTTATACAATTTCCCATTAGATGTTGTGATATATACTCCTAAATACTTAACCTTATTAACTACATCATAACCTGTTGCTTCAGCTATAGTATCTTTTCCCTTCATAGACACATTTTTAAGTAAAATTTTAGTTTTATTCTTATTCACCTTAAAACCAGAGACCTGTCCATACTGCGCTAAAATTTCAACCAATTCATTAACCGAATCTATTGGATAAGATAATGTCACCACCAAATCATCAGCAAAAGCTTTCAACCTATAATCAATCTTATTTATTTTTATTCCTTTTAATCTAGAGGATTCTCAAATTTTAATAAGTAAGATTTCCATAGTTAATACAAATAACAAAGGGGATAAAGGACAACCTTGCCTAGTACCTTTTTCTATTTTAAATTGCTCTGTTAATCCCCCATTAATTATTATTTGTGCTGATTGTTGCTGATATACAGCTTTAAGAGCACACAAAAATTTATCTCCAAAATTCATTTCCTCTACTACTTTCAATAAAAATTTCCAATCTAATTGATCAAAAGCTTTCTCCGCATCTATAAATATTAAGGCAGCAGGAATTTGATTATTCGTATCCAAATATTCTATTATATTAACCAATTGTCTTACATTATTTTTCATGTATCTTCCCGTTATAAATCCCGATTGATCAGTATGAATCAGTTGTTTCAAAACCTGCATTAATCTATTTGCCAAAATCTTTGCAAAAATCTTATAGTCCATATTTAACAAAGATATAGGCCTATAATTTCTAGGCTGGGACAAGTCCTGATCATCCTTTGGAATCAATGATATGAAGGCCCTTTTCCAGGATGGAGGTAACTCTGCTCCCAGCAAAATGTCATTAAAAAGTTCCTTCAATGGTTCTATCATTTCTTCCAATAGCATCTTGTAATAAATTGCAGTTAATCCATCAGTACCTGGTGTCTTACCAACCTTTAATTGTTTAATTGCAGAGGTAATCTCTTCAGCAGTAATTGCAGCATTAATTCCATCACGCTGATCAGTCGTAAGTCTGGGAAAATTGGCTTGTTGTAAATAATTTTCTACATCTGAGATTTGTATAGCTTCACTAGTATATAACTTAGAATAAAAATCTAAAAAAGCCTTTTTAATCAAATTTTGTTGATACACCTCTTTGCCTTTATAACATATTTTGTTTATAATCCTTGATTTCTGCTTCTTACGTAATTGATAAGCCAATCATCTACCAGGTTTATTTGCATTACAAAATGTATTATACTTCATGTACCTCAAATTACTTGCCATCTGATCCACTATTAACATATTAAATTGTTCCTTAAGCAGAGTTATAGAAGCTTTCAAATTATTATCCATTGGATTTGATAATAAAATCTTTTCCTTACATTTAATCTCATCTTCCAACTCTTTACGCTTCTCAGTTTGTTTATGTCTATGAGCATTATTCATAGAGATCAAAATCCCTCTCATGTATGCTTTACTGGAATCCCAAACCATTGGCATCGAGGTGCCCTTATTCATATTCCAAGAGAAAAATTCTTTTAAATAACCTCTACATTTCTGTATATTCTCTTCATATCTAAATAAATTCTCATTTAACCTCCAAGACCTTCTAGACCCTTTATCCAAAGAAATTTGCAACCATACAGGACTATGATCTGAAAAAATTCTAGAAAATATCTTAGTATTCTTCACTCTGAAAGAAAAGTCATTAGTAACTAGAAAAAAATCAATTCTAGAATAAGATTGATGCCTGTCTGAAAAAAAGGTGAAATCTTTTTCCTGAGGGTTACGTTCTCTCCAAATATCTCTGAGTTCCAAATCTTCCTTTAAATCAAAAAAAGTTTTCGGAAGTCTAGCCTGGTTACACACTTTAAAAGAACCCTTCTTATCTTTGCTTGGATCCAAAACACCATTCCAATCTCCCATCATAATAACCGATTTATAATCCAAAGAAATTAGTTTCTGATGAATCATCTTGTAAAAATGTTTTTGTTGTTGATTGGGAGCATATAATCCAATAAGAAGAGTTCTATTATCATTTATTAAAAGATCAATAATAACATATCTGCCTTGTAAGTCCAAGGCAATTAATTTTGGTGAAAGCTCTTTTCTTACATATATAACTACACCTCCTTTTTTCTGCAATGCAGGAGCTATAAAATGTACCCCAAGCCGAGGGTTAAACAAGTATTTTTGATCTTTGAAAATAATATGAGTCTCTTGCAAACAAATAATATCATTTTTATGTTGTTTCAAATAGTAAAAAACTTTCTTTCTTTTCTGTGGAGTGTTTAGCCCGTTAACATTCCAGGTTAGAAGCTTTGCCATTCTTGGCAGGTTGAAACCTTTGGAACAAAACCTCTAGACTTGCAGTCGATGACTTCTTTGGCCTTGCTCCTCCCACTGGCTCCGAAGTAAAGTGTAATCCATCATCAACCTTTTGTTGTTGTTGCTGTTGCTGTTGTTGTTCTCTTTCTCTATGTTTATAGGCAGCACGTGTAATTCTCTGTTGTTTTGGGTCATCAATTAATTGAATAGATTCAACCAATAACTCTTCTCCTGGGCGTGGCTTTAAGCCTACATCAGATTGTGTTTCTGCCTTGCTCTCATCTTTTTTTGATCTTGGAGATGGTGGTGATTCTGCTTTTAACACAGTCATATAAAAATCTTTTGCTTTAGAAATTGTATTAAGACGATAACGTAAGCCCAGATTAGTCACCACTATCCCCACAGGAATATCCCATCTGAATTGAATTTGTTGTTTCTTAAGTTCATCCGCCAAAAAAGCAAAATCTCTCCTTCTCCTAAGGATTTTTGAAGGTATTTCTTTTAAGATTATCACATCTTGAGTTGCTATCTGAAATCTGTGCTTATAAAAAGCCTGAATAATTTCATTCCGCAAAGATCTTCTAGCAAAATAAACCACCACATCTCTTGGTAGCTTCCTCTGTTTTGCGACCCATGAATTAACTCTAAAAATCTTTTCTATATCTCTCAACATTGCTTCAGGTCGCATTCCAAAATAGAAGCCAATTCAATTGCAATTTCTTCCTTCAAATTTTCCTGAACATTCTCCTTCAAGCCTCTTATTCTCAAAGCGAACTCCATTTCTCTATATTGTGACATTAAAATCTCATCCTGAACATTGTCTGCATTATCTTCTATCTTATCAACTCTATCTTGTAGTATTTCAACCTTCCCCACCACTTCATCCACCCTGTCATCAATTTTTTCTACAAGTCCAGCAAGCCCCTTCAGTGCAGAAATAATATCTACTCTCATCTGATCATTTTTTTTCTCAATAAGTTCTGCTGTCTTTTGTATAGTTTTCTCATAAATGTTTTCCAAAGCATCTTGCAAATCTTTAAGTGTTATTGACTGCGGTGGTGGTGAGGGTGGAGAAAGTTTAGGTCTGGGTTGTTGTTGTACAGTCTGAGTTACTGAAGAAGGAGTTGCAACTTTAGGAAGAGAAGCAGGTCCAGGACGTTTTGAGGCCATTTTAACAAAGAAAAAAAAAGTTTTTTGTTTTTTTTAAAAAGAATTAAAAACTAGTAAAAGTAAAAAGAGCAAGAACAGCAAAAAAGTTTACTCCTTAAAAAAAAGAATTCTCTTAAACAAATCAAGTCCATTACGTTGATAAAGCTTGATCAATAAAAAGTAGAAAATGAAAGTGTTCAAACAAGAAGAGTAACAAAGAAACAATATTCCTCCGCCATATTAGGAGAAAATCATTTTGATAAATTAATTCTGGCAATATAACAAGAATATAATAACAGCACAAACTCCCTTTGAAATTTAATTGATCTATGCTTTACTCTAAGTTATATATTGCTGAATGAACTGTAAATGCCCAATACTTGGTTTGCAAATCACAGTAGCTCAATCCTCACCCCCCCCAAAAGCCAGTTTAATTGATAGGTTAATTCATTGTGTGAAGGAATGTTTTCATGCTGGCTATGTACCATTGAACAAAAATGCTATGGCTGTTTGCCATTATGACAAGGCAGAGGTTTCACTGAAGTTTCACTTGTTTTTGAATTTGTAAAATCAAACCACCATCATATTTAGATCAATTCCTATTGACTACATGAAAAAATTCATGTTGCTTTCTTGACAATAATATGGTGGTTGACTAGTAGCTTCTTCCAGGATTTCTTTTTGAACTTCACTTTGGTTTGGTTACATAGTTTTTCATACATGGTTTTTCCATTTTGGCTTTCTTTTTGTAAAATAAATGACATGATGTAATATGTATTGATCATCTAAGGCAGAGGTCTCCAAATTTTCTGGGTTCACGGCCTAGAGGGAAGGAGAGCAGCTTCCAAAATGGTGTGCGCACATGAACACACGCAAACGGTGCCCGCACACATCCACCTGGCATTGGCCCCATTTACACATGTGCAAATGGGTCGCATATACCTGCCCAGCGCTACCAGCCCCATTTGCACCTGCGCGCAGGTGCAAATGGGCCTGCGGGAGCTGGCAGGAGTGGGGAGAGCACACACACACTCATCGGCCAGCCATTTCCGTGGCCTGCTGGCCAAGAGACCACAGCCCGGTAGTGGGCTGCAGCCCATAGGTTGGAGACCCCTGATCTAAGGTTATTAGCCATTGTCTATCCACTGCAGGATGAAGACCTTTTCATCATGTTTCCAACCAATACGGTCCTGAGCTTTCTTTTGCCAATTGGGCCTGCAATATTTGCTGAGGTCATCAATCCATCTTGTTTTTAGGCTTCTTTCATGGATGCTTTTTATCAAGTGGGATCCATTCTATGACTGCCTTGGTCCACCTGCCATCAGTTCTTCTTGCTATTTGACCAGCACATTTCCATTCCAATTCTTTTACTCCCTTTATGTTATCGTATACTTGCATTTGTTCTCTAATCCAGGTGCAGGTCTTTTTATCTTGTCTTGTAATACTGAGCATGTATCTTTTCATAGCTCTTTCTGCCACTTATAGCTTTTGTATCGATTATGAGGTTAGTGTCAATGTTTAACCAGCATTTTTAAGAACTGTTAAGGACCAAATTTTTTACTATGCCCTGATACATAAAGCTATAGAACTTAAAGAGGGTGTACTTTCTTAGTACTCCATTTATCCTAAGTTCAGCATCTGTTTTTCTCTATACATATATAATCTCATTTCGACAAAGGATGTGGGAAAAAACCAAATTTGTCCACTCAGTTTAATTTTTTCAATAAATGCATCTTGCAACAGATCTGAGATTATCTACTATTTTTATATGAGAGTTGACATGTTATAAAAAGTTTCCATCCATTTCCCCATGTTTCTTAAACATACTCCAAGGTGCACAAATTTATACATTTGTTCTATTTTTTGCCATTTATTTATTCTCCATGCCAAATGACTTTTTTTCATTTTCCCATCTATAGTTCTAACTGTATTGCGAATCTGTCATTCTCTGAAAATCATTTAAGTTCTCAGTCAATAATATGATGTCACTGGCATAAAAACACATCCTCTACCATCAGTGCAACCATTTCTCATGTTTATACTAAATAACCAAGAGGATACTTCATTTTTATTATTAACTACTCAGTGTTGAATTGCCCATTATTTTGGACACATTCTTTATATACATCATATATTGCTGAATTCAAATTTAACAATCAACCTTTAGCATACTTCAGGCCTATGTACATTGTTGTAATGTTTTGTCTAATCAAACGTATAGTAAACGTATTATATTCTTACATAAAATAGGACTGATAATGAAAACAATATCTGAATTAATTTTGCACTTTGTTCAGTTTTAATAACAGCCATGTAAAAATGCACATTTTGAAAAAAAAATTCAAATACATTTTTTCTGATATTTATTCACAGTGGCCTTATTTCTAAAAGTAAGACATATCTCCCTTCTATTTGAAATATGGACAAGTATCCAGTTTGTCCTAAATCATCTTCTATGTTGTTCCTAAAATTTGCTATTTTAAGGCTGACTCAGCTTTTCTGTTTTAAGTATATTTTAAGAAATGTTTTTGTTAATTCAGTATGCCACCACAAACTTAATTATGTATCATCTAATTTGATTCCAGTTAACCTATAAGAGGTTCTTAACAGAAGATAATATCCTTGTTTGATAAAAAAATTATTAATTTATCATTTTCCATACTGCTCTGTGCAGTCTGAAAAACTATATTCTCCCCTATCTTACACATTTTTAAGAGATAGAGAAGTCACAGAAGCATTTCCTCTTCATGTAGCAAAATGTTTAGATCAAGTCCAAAACAAACCTCATTCCATGATTATGGTTTTTATTTTAATGAAATTAGTTGTTACGTAAGATTAAAACATGCATAAGGATATAGGTAATCTCTGACTTCTGGCTATCAGATAATATATACTGTAAATCCAGTGCTGCTCTGTTAGATTGGTTCACAGATTTACAGCATTATTCAAAAACTGGCAGGATAGAAGAAGGCTATGTGATTCAATCAAGCTTATTTGTACATCTATTCATTTATAGGAACCAGTATTACAGTAGTGGAAATGTGGATAGGCTCTGCCGGGTAACTGGTAAGAATCTAAACAAATCCTTGGATCACAACTGAAAAATTGTATTGCATTTATATATTCACGAGCTATAAGAAAATTGTAGCTCTTGATTATTTTAAAGAAAAAAATGATATGCTTATAATAATTTGAAACCTGATTTATCATTATTTTGCTATTTTAGGAAACTATGATATTTTAGTCTTTGATATAGCTAGAACCCTACTAAATTACAGTGAAAAAGCAGAAATGGGGAGGAATATTATCCTTCCAGCTTCAAGGCTTATTTGTGAGGCAAAGAAGCTATGGAGAGTGCTTCCCAGCTGTCCCTTATCATGCTCATTCTCATATAGAGCTGTACTCTAAAGGAACTAATGTTATGTATTAATGGAAGCTATATTTATAATCCTTTTGCTTATATAAAAATATGAGATAAATGTTGTAGGTAAAAAAATAGTAAAGTTTTGTGGCTGAATATGCTAGATATTTCTACAGGTATTGCATTCCTTTTACAGTTATGAAAACCAGATAAGTAGCAGCAGTTTAATGCATGTTTTATGTCAGTTACCCAAATTCTCTTCATTTACTGCCTCTAAAGTATTTTAGTAGATTGTCTAAAGAAAGCACAAAAAAGAATAGTTTGGAATCTAACAGTGATTTTTGCTTTTGAAAAGGAGATCTTTGATGATTTCTCATACTATCACAATCTGTGGTTTCAGAAGCCCTTATAGGAGCAGCAGTAGGGAAAAGATAGGGCAAGAGATCCATCTTGTAAATAGAATTCTGCTCACAGTTGTTAGTATCCAAGCTGTTTCATGAACAGCATACAATAAATAAATAAATATACATTTATTTTTGTATTATTATTATACATCATTATAAAATTTAAAATCAATATGCTTCGATCAATCTACAATGTTATAGTAAAGTGCTGGAGTAAAGCTACCATCTTTAGATCAATTAAATTAAAGGACTTAATGCCAATAATGAAAAACATCAAAATTGAATTTAAAAATCCAATTTAAATAGTCTATAGATTTTTCTTTAAAAAATCTTAGGTTCTTTCTATACTATGTCTTAATAATTCATAGTGATAGACAGCTTTACAATTTTTATCCACACAATTAGATTTTGTTTAAAAATGAATCTCATTTTATATTTTTAAGATAACTCTAAATGGAAATATTTTCTCCTATATAACTGTAATTATTATAGGCACATTAATCAGCTTAAGAAATAAACTACAAAAATGGAATGGCATGAGAAAATAAACTACAGTTGATTTTTAAAAATACATTTCTAAATGCATCTGTATTTTTATAGACTTCTGTGATCATTTAAATGAATTTAAATGAAACAGTCTCACTCTGCTAAAAAAAAAAAATACTCCCAGGTAAATGTAGTGATGCTATTTGTGAAGTGTCTATCCCTGAAATGGGTTATGGATAAAGTTATTCGATTGCTCTACCCTTTCTGCACTGAAAAACTTTTAAAGCATTTTCATATGTAAATGCACACTCTTTTGTTTTTGATTTAAGGACTTACATTTCAATTTTCTCTACTAGCATGAGCTCAACTTGAGTGAAATATAATACTGGGGAAAAACATTAAATCATAATTCTACTCTGGTGGAAGAAAGTTGAAAGTAAGTAAGAATCTGCAGATGACCAGTTAAAAACTACACGAAACATTAAAAAATATACACATGAATCCCTTCCAGGAAAAGCAGATGAGCCATATTTTGAATCATATAGGTAGAGTGCTTTAAAAATTACAGTCCAGAATTTTGAGATATTGTTTCATCTGAAAAATGTATGTTCTAATGGTCTATCCCTGATTTCTGTAGTCAACTTGCAAAAGAAAAAGTAGAGGTGACTTGGCATTCACCTTAGGATATTTCAGTTCAGAAAGTGCTTCCGAAGCTTTACAAGAGCTTGCCTATTACAGTCATCACGCAAACACCATAGTTCTTCAACTCATATGCGAAGTCTTTCTGTTAGGGAATTAAAACATAATTAACAGTGACATAATACATAATAGTTAATGTACATAACTGTACATAGTAACTACATAATAGTTACTGTATGTGCAAATAGGATGGAAAACTAAGAATTCTAAATTGGGGGTCCCCAACCTCAGGCTGTGTCAGTGTTGGGCCAGCACACACACTGTGTGCATTTCAATTTAAAATGAATGGCAGACTGGTGTGCACTTGCACATGCGTGCAACTCATGCGTGCAAGTTGAGTGTGTGTGTGCACCAGCCTGACACTCACACAGCCTACTTCCCCTCTCCCCCCAGCCGGGCCGCCAAGCTGCAAAGGTTGGGGACTGTTGTTCTAAATAATTCATAAGAAATTACCATCCTTGTGTAAAATCAAACAAAAATAGAGTGATTATCCAGGTCAGTTAAATTGTATTCTAATTACTATTATTTTTTTTAATCTTTCAATTAATAGAATAGAATAGAATCCTTCACAGCCAATTTAATAATTATACATTCCTTGCCCTACTATAGATGGCTATTTTTTACCACTCAAGTAATATAAAAAAATCTGTTTTACCCTTACGAAGCAAATACTTTTAACTCCTTGCCTCACTTGCTTGGTCCAGCAATTAGATACATTTTCAGGAGATCAGCACAGGCACAAAGTTTTGCATGATGAAATATATAAAACTATTGTCAGCTTTAGAATGAGCATGGTTGCAGCCATCTTTTTCCTTCTCATTCCTAGTTGCCACATAGCATGGAGGGAGGGATGTTGCCAGGTGTTGCGCTAGACAAAAAAGACTTTCTCGGATTTTCTCCCATGGGAAACAAGGTCATCGGGTGCTCCCGAGACTGCAGGCTGGGCGTTTCATGAAAAGCCTGCCAACAAGGTGAGTGGGGAAACGTAGTTGCTTGCATAGTTTTGGGGGTGGGATTTCTTTAACTTTGTGTGGGGAATTGTTATGCATCTCTTCAGACTTGGTTTCATTTTTGAAGTACTGATACTCTGTATCAATAAACTTGTTATTTGAGGAATTTGCAAGCCTCGGAGTTCTGCTTTATTTGTCTCTATTGATTGGATATTTTAAAAACAAGATTGAAAATAAATAAGCCATAATCTTGTCATAGAATTACAGAAGGAAGGAAACTCGTTAGGTCTATTCCCTGACCACTGCAGGTATCCATAATGCATCATCCACATAAAAGCTGGCCATGCAAATAGTTCAAGCACCTTCAGTGTAAGGTGAATTTTAAATACGAATTTTGTGAGCTCTGATATAAAAAACACAGAGATTTTGTGATTTGGCTGTGGCCATTCTGTTGTGTAGTATGAAGGTCATTTGGCAGTCTCTGAAGATGTGGTTTGTTGCCAACCTCACTCAACTCAGAATTATGTGGATGGCATAACCTTTTGCTTGTTTACAATACTGTATGGAAAACGTGATGGAAATACTCTTATTTCACAATTTGTTCCTGGCTGCTCTATGTATAACACGAAGGGTGTTGGCTGAGTTTGCTAACCTGCATATTGCATTTCCCTTTAATTCTATATTCCCCTTTCACTGGATTTCTTAAATAAAAAGCACTAAATAAAATAGCTCTTATGAATTAATGCTATAAAACCATCGTTAGTGTTCCACAGAAGTTGAAAAATAATGTTTTCCAAATTTAGAATATGCATGAGGGATATAGGTTAATTATGACAGTATCTAATGGTTGTTTATATAGTTTCTGAACTAAATGTATGACATGTTCTTTTATATAGTATAATTATAAAAAAGTAGGCGAAAATAGAGATGCTAGTGTGTATTGATATATTGGTGGTGAAAGTACTATTTTCTTATAACGAACATAAGATACTGTAGATAATAAAAATATAATAAAATAATGGCAATTTGAATATGGCAATAATTTGAAGTTTATTACATTATTTGGGAATTTCCTTTGCAAAGTTTTGAGGGAAAAATAGCAAAAAATGTTAGTTTCAGAAGAATGTAACTAAATAATTTGGTGTTGTTGATACATCTATTAAACTATTAAAAATTATGATCATGAGAAAGAATGCAGCTTTTGTGAATCGTGATGAATTCTCAAGTGCAGGAAGCCTGACATGTAATCATTGTTTATCTTTGGTATGTTTCTATCAGCATATGGAAATTGCACAAGTGACAGCATTCACATCTCTAAAGTGGCTGGCCCTAACTAATAAAGTTAATTTCACTTGTCAATTGAAAAGCAAGTTGAGAATAGTGAACTCTTCCTGTCAGCAATCTTAGAAATACTGCCCAAGAACACAACAACTACACAAAAACATACCATTGTCTGCTGTTGAGTTCCTTCTTCACACAGGATTTGAAAGTGGTATATTTCTGTATGCTTTTGTAACCCTAAAAGCAAAAGACAAAGAAATATGCACGGAAGGGTAGCATGCAAAATCAGTCACAAGTGAGCATTAGGAAAACAGTAGCATGAAAAAAGCCATTTATTAATTATAAAAAATAGTAAATTTATTGTAGAATTTAATACTCATACAACTATAATGCAACTATGTATGAGATTCCTATATAAAAAAGGATAGTTTGGCAAAATGTTTACACTAAAATCTTCATTTAAGATGGAAGCTTTGTGCTTTATAAAGAAATATATAAAATTGCTATCTCAAGGCAAGAAAGAATGTACTTGTCTCATGTAATTTAATACTATATTTTTGGCCAATTCATTGATACAACACAAGGTGGCAGTAGAACATATTGGACAAAATGAAAGATGTGGTCTTCAAATTAACTTACAAAGCAATTAATACATGTGCAAGTGAAACAATGTTTATTCAGAATTAGGAAATAGGGTGTGTGCATGCATGTGTGTATTTAGAATAATACTACAACAATATTCTAAATGTCTATTAGCACAAATAATATAGCATCTTCACAATATTGTGACAAAATATTTACAATAGAAGTAATAAAATAAATTTTGTCACCAAGTTCAAAGGCTATGAGATTTTATCAATATATATATAGGAGTATTAACTAAATTTGAACAACCATTTGTAAGTATGTTAGGCAGGACGTGTGTTCAAAAATGTAAGAAAAAGATTGGCCTTCCTCTTGGCTGAATAATTTAGAGCAGTGCTCAGCCTATACTTCATCCTCACTGCTTCTAGGCTGGCGTTTACCAAATGCCTTTTACTAGTCTGTATTGCTGCCTCTTCTCCAATCTAACCACACTGTCTGCCACATCCTTCTAAATGCCAAGGGGAGAGCCCCCCCCAATAGGGGAAAAATTTAACAACTGATTCTCATGGATTGGACTAAATAACACACTTGAATTCAAAATCCTAAAATATTATTTGTGATGTTAATCCATCTTTAAAGATCTTATAGTTAAAGTTCAGATCAAACTGAAGTATGAAATGTGAAGTATCCTGCTTGATATACTTCCTTGATTCTAATAGTTGGCCTCACCTAAAATAGCTTACATTCTACTTCACTCAATAGCTATCAAAATGTGGAAAAGTGTAATGTCTTCAAATAAAATATCAGAAAGTGGGGCAGGAAAGAGTAGCAGCTAAAAACTAGAAAAATGACAATTGTATCATTTGTTGCTAAAGGGGGAGGGGGGGCAAATAGCAAAAGAAGAAGTGGGTCAATGCAAACCCCACTTCTTTTATGTTAGCACCATGATATCACACACACATACAAAAGGAGTGGAGATTGTGTCACAGCATTATTTTATTTTATTTATTTATTTTATTTTTATTTCATTATTTCATTATTTTAATGAAAATGGTGGATCATGTGAACACACATGTGGAACACTGGGGGACGCTGTAATTAATTTTAAGAGCTACATAGTTTCAAATTCCTCAGAGATATTTCCCTCCCTTCTAGGGGAGCAAGTGAATAAACGATTCAGAGATCCAGTAAAAAGGAGAAAATCAGACTGAATAATTGTGAGAAAAATGGATGAAAGTTTCAGTTGTTTGGTTCAGACAGCTGCATGGCCCAGTCAATTTCTAAGACATATATTTAAATTGTTGCTGGTTTTGACTTGTTAATCTAAAATGTTTATACTATAAAATTTATTAGTTTTTTTAAAGAAATATCAGAGTTTCCTGAGGTTTTGAAAAATCTTTCAAGTCTGAGCTAATTTAAATTTGCAAATTAAATAGAAAATTACACAAGATCTGCAGATTTATTGTATAATTCATTTGTGTCAAAATTATACATATTAATAAAGTAATTGTCTTAATGAATTTCCATTAGGACTATTAACTAGTTTAGTTTTATAAAAGCATTTCATATGTATATACAGGTAGTCCTTGACTTACAACAGTTCATTTAGTGACCATTCGAAGTTATGACACTGAAAAAAGTGACTTATGACAGTTTTTCACACTTATGACCGTTGCAGCATTCCCATGATCACATACTTAAAATTCAGATACTTGGCAACTGATTCATATTTATGACAGTTGCAGTGATGTGATCACCTTTTGTGACAAGCAAAGTCAATGGGGAAGCCAGATTCACTTAACAATTGTGTTATTAACTTAAAAACTGCAGTAATTCACTTAACAATTGTGGCAAGAAAGGTCATAAAATGGGACAAAACTCACTTAACAAATATCTCACTTAGCAGTATAAATTTTGGGCTCAATTGTGGTTGAGGACTGCCTGTACTGTATATAAATTATAATGGCAAAATTAAAATTGCTAAATAAAAAACTGAAGATCAACTTGATTCTCCTTGCAGTTTAAGCAAGGAGAAGAAACAAACATCCAGTCCTCTAAATTAGTGGTTGGATAGAACTAGAGCATACGTGATTAATAGTTTTAACTTCAACAAAAGGATAATTTTGAAATGGCTATGGAAACAGTGATATCATTTTAAAGCTGATGATGTAATAAACATTATTAAGCAATAATTTAGATTCTTACTCTGAATCCTCGATGCAATCTGTCTTTCATAATACCAATAAATTCTTTGTAACTCAGTTGATCATCCTTATCTACATCAAAGATCTTGAAAACTGTATTCACTAAATGAGATGAAAGCTTCAAACCAGTAGCCACATACACTGCACGCTTGAACTCATCTAAGGAAACAAAGCAAATTAGTGTGCTGAACAAAACTACTTGATGGCTTGACAATGGCATTACATGATAAATATACAAAAAATTAACTTCTATTGAACATAAGGTGATAATGTTAATCAGAGATCCGGGGAGAAATAAAACTCTTTTTTTCTTATCCTCAGTTTCTAGCTTTTCCTGAAATTTTGCTCCTATTTTAAAACTATCCAAGTTTCTGTATACTATCAAATCAATACAGAGTCACAGGAGTTTACATAATAATTGACAAAGAGATAGAGTAAGATATTGATATTCCACAAGACCCAAACAGCAGCTGAGAAACAGTGTCTCCTGGCCTCTACTTTGTTTATTTCCTGGTGATGGGTTCAACCAAAAGCTTCTCTCAGAAAGTACACAATGGGCAGGCCAGGAACTGGACCATATGGTCATGTACAACATCAGCTTATCCCAGGTCCCCACTCTTTTGGTGATATAGAGTTGTTTTAAAAACTAGAAATTCTGAATGCCAGAATACTCTAATGCAACTTCCACAGCAGGCATGTTAAGCTCGCGATGTCATGTGACGTCGTGCAACGTATCGGGCCAGTTTTGCCATTGCCGGCAATGGGATGTGACGCGTCCGGCCTGTGGGCCGGCAGTTTGACACTCCTGTTCTGCAGTACTTATCCCAGCAGCATGCTGCCGTTGGGATGGAGAGCTTGTTGCAAGAGTATGTGCTCAATAAGTGATAAGTGAGCCATCTTAGAGTAAAAGAAAACAGGCTCTATAAATAAATTTGTAGTAGCCTAGATCAGTTTTATATAATGGTTTACAAATTGCAACAGTTTGGTTATGGTTCATTAGGCCAAAACCAAAGCAACAAACTCATATTTTGGTTTAGCTTCCTGAATAAACCCAGCCAGTCTACTCACCCTAACAGTCAGTCTTTCCAGGTAGACTGGACATGAAACAGAGCTTCATGTCTGAATTAACAGAGTTAATTCTACATCATTATAAGGCTACATTTACAGGATCTTGTTTGAAACTACAAATGTCCTGCTGTCTCTTTTTACAATCTGGTCAGTTAGAACTTCTCTCCCTGTTATGTAGTTGCAGGCTCCCCGTCCCCTTTTATCTGATCATTCCATAAGGAAGCATCTCTTCTTCACATCTCTCAAGGTTGCTTGAGATCATTCCCACATTATAGAAGTGAAAAAATAGAATTCAATTTGAATAAATGCTAATTTTGATGCAAAAATACTTATTTTTCTTTTCAAATTTTAATATTTAGTTTCATTTACAATTCTGTAATTATATTAGTGATACTTTAAATATGCACTTATAATATTATAATTAGCAACATTTCAGTCATTTTAATCACTGTTTTATTGGACATAAGGGATGTTTAAATGTATTATTTTGGTTTTATTAATTTTATATTAATTAATACTGTTTTAGATAAATTGTAGAATCACTAGCTATGGAGTTTTCTTTTCTCTTAAGAAAATTGATGAATTCTTTTCTTCAAATCAGTTTAATTTAGCATAAACAATTTGCTATGCAATGTAATTATAATAGAATTATAATATTATAATAGAATAGAATACTATGTATAATTATATTAAAATAGAATTATAATATAACAATTAATCAGTGGGACAACTTATCTCCAGAAGTTGTGATGCTCCATCATTGGAGGTTTTTAAGAAGAGATTTGACAACCATTTGTGTGAAATGGTATACAGCAATGGTGGCAAACCTATGGCACGCATGCCAGAGGCAGCACTCAGAGCCCTCTCTGCCCCAGAGATGGCAACCGTCCCTCTTCAACCAACCGCCCACTAACTCGCTGAGGTCCTACATGGCCGGATGCATTCCCTCCCCCGTCCCATCCTTCCTGGCCTCACATGCTCTCCTTTTCTCAGGCACGACCCACTGCATCACCTCCTCAACTATCGGCTGGCCGTCCAGCTCAGGTGGCTTCTCTGAACTGCTAGCAGTGGGCTGCGGAGCCCCAGAATGTGCCAGTTGAGGGGCCTGCAGGCTGTGGCTGTTGACGGACACTGTTGGCCCCCATGCACTCGCTGGCCTCTGTGTGCGGGGGCCGATGGTGTCAGGCAGCGGCCGCCCCGGCCCCTGCCTCACCTTGCCCTGCGACAATGGCATCTCCTGCCCTGCCTCACTTTCCTCATCTCACCCTGCAGGACGAGCCTCCTGCCCACTGCCCCAGCTGTCAGAGACCCCCTAGATCTCCTCCAACCCTGCCCAGCTCCCACAGGCATCCATCCCCACGAGCAACATTGAGGTGACCATGCCCACCTTGGCCACATCCACCCAGTTTGCCATGACCACCACAGCCATGCCCACCCAGTGGGCCATGCCCACCAGGCACCTGGCGATAAATAAGTGGATTTTGGTTTGCAGTTTGGGCACTCGGTCTCTAAAAGGTTCGCCAACACTGGTATAGAGTTTCTTGCTTGATCAAGGCTTGGACTAGAAAATCTCCAAGGTCCCTACCAACTCTGTTATTTTGCTATTCTGTAATTCCAAGTTAGTTACTAACAACTGCAAAATATTTTAGCTTTAATTCTTGATAGTATAGTACTCTAATACATTTTAAGATCAGATGTTACCCATCAATAATTTGTTGTATGAAAGCGCTAGTAGGAAAGAACCTAATTTTTTTTGTAGCTTTTAAACAGAGATTCAGCCTGTAATTAATCATAATTTCTCCCATTTGTTTACTAAACGAGATATATTCACAATAGTTACTTCCCATTTAAATAATTTGTCACATTTTTATTTAAAAACACATCATTATTTTACTGTTATGTTTAACCTTTACTTAAATTGTGCAAATTCCCAATTTTTAATTTTGCTTTCTAATTTATCTATGCTAAAAATTTCTATTTGTTAAAAATTTTCACCAATGGTTACTATTACCATATTAATAATATGGACCAAATAAATCTTTGCCAAATTTTTATTACATGTACACATACTCACACGCACACAAACAGAAAATTTATTTAAAAATGAATATCATTTTTTCATGGATATAGAATCTAGTTTTTGAATTTGAATAAAATATATCATTTTATAAAAATTGGTCCAAAATTATAAAAAAAATACTGTAAGTTGCCTTCATATCTACAAATTTCATAAATTTATGATTATAGTTGAATGTTATCTTACCTAAATAGCCTTAGGCAAAAATTATTGAAATCTTGACTATACACATACCAAAATGCAAGGGGAAATGTACAAATGTAAGACTTGATGTGAATCATCTCAGTATGCTTAATCATGATTTTTTGTTGTATTACAATATGGTCATTTAATTTTAGAGGGATTAGGTTTATTTAATTCTATGCAAAGAACATCCATGTGCAGAAAAATCAATTAAGAAAAGTCAACCGCTTTTATATTGAATATATTTTAGAATAGAATAGAGCTGGAAGGGACCTTGGAGGTCTTCTGGTTCAGTCCCCTGCTTGAGCAGGAGAACCTATACCACAAACAAGTGACTGTCTAGTCCAGGGGTCGGCAACCTTGGCTCTTTTATGACTCGTGGACTTCAACTCCCAGAATTCCTGAGCCAGCCAAGCTGGCTCAGGAATTCTGGGAGTTGAAGTCCACGAGTCATAAAAGAGCCGAGGTTGCCTACCCCTGGTCTAGTCTCTTATTAAAGACTTTCAGTGATGAAGCACCCACAGTTTCTGGAGGCAAGCTGTTCTACTGGTTAACTGTCCTCACTGTTAGGAAGTTTTTCCTTAATTCCAGGTTGCTTCTCTCTTTGGTCAGTTTCTAACCATTGTTTCTTGTCTTTCCCTCTGGTACTTTGGAAAATAGTTTGACGCTCTCTTCTTTGTGGCAGCCCCTCAAATACTGGAATGCCGCTATCATGTCACCCGTTTCTTCTTTTCTTTAGACTAGCCAAACCCAAGTCCTGCAGCCGTTCTTCATATGTTTTAGTCTCCAGGTCTTTGATCATTTTAGTTGCTCTTCTCTGAACTTTTCCCAAGGTCTCAACATCTTTTTTGTAGTATGGTGACCAAAATTGGTTGCAGTATTCCAGGTGTGGATTTTATAAAGCGGTACTAATACTTTGCGTGATCTTGATTCTGTGCCTCTGTTTATACAACCCAGGATTGTATTGGGTTTTTTGGCTGCTGCTGCACACTGCTGGCTCATTGTCAAGTGATCATCCACTAGGACTCCAAGGTCCCTCTCACAGCTGCTGTTTTTGAACCAGGTCTCACCTAATCTGGACTTAAACCTTTGATTTTTCTTGCCATAATGTAAAACTTTGCTTTTCCCCATTTATTATTATTTATATATAATATAAATTATATATATTATATATAATATATTATATAACAAAAATATGCAATATTTCTTATTTATTTTAGAAACGTAAGATATTAGAAGGAGGCAGTTACTTTTAACATTACATGAGAATTAAGGCTCTATTTTAATGAAACATTTGATGCAGAAATGTGAAAGGACAGCTAAATAAAAAATATGAATTTCTCTTCTATTGTTTGATTCAAGATATTGGTTATTGCCTGTAATGCCCTACATGGCATAGGACTTGGTTGCTTGAGGACCTGTGTCCCTGTTTCTCATAATATCTCCTTGGACAATTTGATTTTGCAAGATTGATATCTATCAGTACTTGGGAAACGCACCTTCTCTGTGGCAATCCCTGCCCTTTGGAATGAGGTTTCCTCCGAGCCCTGGATGGTGCCCACTCTGCTGTTATTTAGAAGGGTCTTGAAGACCTGTCTCATTGTCCAAACCTTTTGGCAGGAAAATATGAAGACCCTTTGGTTTGTTCTTGTACAGTCTTTCACTCTTGCTATCTTTTTATTTTAATTGGGTGCTACTGTATTTTCCTTGTTTTAGTTTAATTTAGTTGTAAACTGCCCAGAGTCATTGGAGTTGGGTAGCACACAAATGTGATAAATAAGAAAAATAAATAAATAAATGAAAAGCACAACATCTTGAAATTAGATAGTCTTACCTTGTCCTATTGAACGATTTGCAAAATTGTACATTTGCATTGCAATTGCAAAATCTTCCAGATTATTCAAAAACTGGAAAAAGGATCTAAATTCATCAAATGTAATGCCCTATGAAATAAAGTAATGTTGAATTAGAACCAAGATGATAGTTGCTATAATGCCTTCTTTGTCTTGCAAAAGGCTTGCAGTAAAAATGAAGCAGGCAATTTAGCTTCCTTTACTTATTAGAACACTGCTTCATTGCTGTCTCAGAAAAACTATGGTAGCAATAAAACAATTCCTCTGTATTTGTCTTTTTAAAATATATTCTAAAATATTTAATAATGTTTATCTGTCATTATACACAATGTATATATAAATATTCTATATAATACAAATATAAACAATATATATTTAAAGCTTTCAAGCAGTAAAAGCATAATTTATAGAAAGTTAAGGAAGCCCATGTATTTAATAATATCTAAGTTGCTGTTTTCATTTGCTTCAGAAATAATAGATTTAGCTAAATTAAAGTTTATTATGCTGTGTAATTATTCACTGGCATGGATCAATGCCAACAAAATATATTATCTGTAAATGTTATTTTTAATGCAGTAATAACAAGGGTTTTATGACTGGCTATGGCTTATTAAAAGTTAGTAAGAATATAACAAGAGAATATATATAATACCCTGCTGTAAAATGATTTGGAAGAGATATTTCTGTACCATGTAAAACACTAAGACTCATTAACCTAACTTCTATATGCTCTATCATTGATATAGGCTTTTCAGAATAATTTCTGTCTAACACTGCCAATTCAATTCTAAGATAGGGATTATCTCCTGGATATGTGATGGCAATTGATTAGCAGAATTAAGAGAAAACATTTAAATCTGAATCACTGTTCTCTATTTCTTCAGCCTATGTGTTCTGTATCCTATTTTGTTCACCTACTGGAATCCCACAGGCTAACTGTAGATGAAACAAAATAAAACAATAACATTAGTTAGATCATTGATGGGATTAAAATGCATCGGGCTTTACAAACTGTATAGCAAAATTTGGTCATGTTCATAGAATTGTACAGATCTGTTAAAAATAGCTGGCCACACGCTCTTTTACCCAATATGCCAATTTTGAATGCATGCTGCTAGGACAGAATGGCTAGGCCAGGACTATCCATCACTCTGCTTACCAGTATCCTTTCCTGAATTAGTTGGGTAATCTTTGTGATATCTTATTGTCTAACATCTATGCTGAGGCTGCCTAATCAGGGGCTGGTACAGAGTTCATATGTATTACAACAACAGAGTAAATTTGGTCTAGTGATTAAGGCACCAGATTTAATACAATCCAATTGTGGGGAAAATGGAGGAAGGAATGTTATACACTGTACATTTGCCACCTTGAGATATTTATAAAAATAAAGGTAGGATAAAAATAATGTAAACAACAATTGATCTATGCCAGTAAACATTTGATCTCACATACAGAGCAGGGCAGACTGTTCTCTGGATAGAAATATGAGGTTTAAATTAAACAACAATAATATACTGCAAACAATCCTTTCAGGAGAATGGAAGTCTTCACAATCTGATCATGTGGCATCTCCTGTTTTCTGAGTTATCACTGCTGAAGTTTTATCTTGCTGAGGCAAAGCAAAGACACATTACCAGCCCTCTGATTGGAGGAAGTAGAAAAATCTATTAATGTTCTGTCTCCTTTATTCCTATAATTAGCACTTGCTTATTTATATTTTCTTTCAATGTCTCGTTAATGTCTGTTCTTAGTATTAAGTTGCCTTCTGGTGAGATAGGTGGCAAATAAATTAAATAATTAAATAAATAAATAGTATGCCTTAATTTAGTTGCAAGTGAAATATCTATGTAAGAGTAACTAATGTTTTAGCTTCTATTAACTGCTGAATAGCTTCAGTATTTTAGCTTCTATTAACTGCTGAATATGACCAGTTTGGTTAGCAGTTAAGGCATCAGGGTAGAAACCAGCAGACTGTCAATTCATCCTGCCTTGTGCACGAAGCCAGCGGGCTGACCTTGGGCCAGTCACTTTCTCTCAGCCCTAAGATGGAGGCAATGGCAAACTACTTTGGAAAAATCTTGTCAAGAAAACTGCAGGAACCTGTCCATGCAGTCTGTGAGAAACGGACATGACTGATTGGAATTTTAAAAATTGCTAAATGTTAGCTGTTTGTTTCCTCTTAGCTCACCTAACCAAAAGTGAAGTATATTGAAAAGTATAGTGTTTAAAAAGAAATCCAACTGTTTACAAGTGATTCACAAATAGTTAAACCTGATCCTTCTACAAATAAGAATTATGCTAAAAATATCCCACGTAAGAAAGGCTTCCTTTAATATCAACAATGATAAATTCTGCTTCCACTAGATTGCTATATTATTGAAATATGCTCCTGACAACACTTTTTTCTCCAATATTTTGATTTTCTATTTATTTATTTACTTATATAACAACACAAGTTAGACATTGAAAAACCACTGAACTCAGCTGGCTTACTATAAATTAATTCATGTTAAGATGTGAACTGAGGGTCAGTTTGCTATAGTGGTTAAGGTGCTGGCCTAGAAATCTCAGACTGTGAGTTCTAGTCCTGCCTTAGACATGAAAGCCTGCTGCTAACCAGATTTTTGTGAGAAAAACAGGAGGCAGGAGTATTAAGTCTGTTTACTGCCTTGAATTATATAAAAGTAGGAAGAAAAAAAATCCTTAAAAAATTGTTTTCTCCCTTTGATAAACTCTGTTTAAGCAAGAATAATACTAACAACATTTATTATTATATTTTTATTTCACCATTTATATATATATAAAACTCAGGGCAGCAAAAATATCTAAAACTCCTGCCTCCTATTTTCCCCACAACAACAATCCTGTGAGGTGAATTGGACTGAGAGTGACTGGCCCAAAGTCACCAAGCCATTTTTCAAGCCTAAGGCAGGCCTAGAACAGTCTCCTAGTTTCTAGGCCAGCACCATAACCACTACACCAAACTGGCTTTCAGCAATCAGCAAGATGAATTGCTCAATTTCATTGCTCATTTTTTATGGATGCATATTCTACTTGATTTTGTAATTTAATAGAACTTGAATTTGATTATAATAATCAAATAACCATTTTACTAAATGATAAAATATAAAACATGTGGGTATGTCTATTTTAGCATAGAGTTTGTAAAGACAAATAATTGAGTAACGATTAGCTGAAATTGGAGTTCCATTAAAATCTGATACATAAAAATTATATATGGTGACAGAAAACATTGTTGCCAATGTTTAATGTTGACATTGGTGATGATGTAATAAGCAGAATTATAGTAACAGGATTTTTTTTTTCTGTCAGCATGTTAAAAGATTCATCTGTAGAATTTTTATTCATTATAAAAGGTACTGGAGTCATTTCATGGAGAATTACACAAACGTAATTCTGAATTTTATACATTTTTTTTAAAAAAGTATTTCAATGTAAACTATTTCCCCTCCTCTCCCACATTCCTTGCCTACAGTCAGGATTGTATCAGCACTATAAGCATCTTCAGTCTTGGGCTATGAATGAATTGTAGCTTTCACATTTAAGCATATCTACAGTATCTGGAAATGAATAATTTAGAAAAAGTTTATTTTTCCAGTTAATAATTAACAAGATTGAGATGCTAAAAAGAATATGTCTATGAAAGTTCTGCAGACACCTAGGGCTCTTATTGGAAATCTTACTTGTTCTTCTGGGATACTGCAGTGCACATTTTCCAGATAGCTTGAGGTATTTTCCACATTTGTATATCTTAACAGTATATGAGCAAAGTCTTCCTCACTGATGGTGTTCATTCCATTAGAATAGGAAAGGAATTCTATCTCAAGAACTTCAGTCTGGAGGTTGTCCATAAACCTAGTTTATGAAAACAGTGATATCAGAATCTGAAAGATTATGGGGTAGGTAGGGGAGTAATAGCAAATATCTCTAATGTTTAAATTTTTCTGCAGAATATTTCCTACTATTAATTCAGAGACTAAAAAACTGGCAACAATATATCCAGCTATGATATTTTTTAAACACCAAATCACCAAAATAAAAGATAAAACAACATACTCAAAAAAGTATTTTCCTTTAAACAATGCCTGAAGGATCTAGATTTGTAAATATGTTGTAGGAAATCAAGTTGCTTGTATTCACTTGTTCATTCTCATTTTCTCTATGAATAATTCATATGATTAATTTTTTTGCTAAAATCTAAAGCCCATATTCCTCTTAGCATTGCTATAATTATTTGAATTTTTTTTTTAAAAAAAATATGTCTATTAAATAGCCTGATTATTTTGGCTTTTCTGTAATTCATGGTAAAATGTCTTTTTTTATGCGTTAGTAGCAAGTTCATCCAAGTAGATGTTTTTTCTTTTTCTGTAAGATCAGAAAAATAACCTTCCAAAAATATGACATACATGAACATGTGATGTATATTCAGAGTATAAAATAAAGTCACCTGTAAAAATCTTCGAAGTTAAGCTCAGCCTTTCCTTTCTTTCCAAAAAAGTGTATCAGCAACGTAGTATCAGAGTGTAAACTGGTAAAGTCATCTGCACGCTTAAAAAAACATTAGCAGTTGATAATAGATTCAATGCATAATTTTAGAAACAAAAATAACTCAAAATATTAACAATGCATTTTATTTAAAATATCATTAAATCATTCATCAAACTAATACATATTTTGCAAAACCAGTTAATAATTAATATATTTTATATAGTTAGTAATTAATATATTAATGTCACTTAGAAAGTGACAGATTAACTTGGAAAGTGAGATGGGCAGTGTCTAAATTTGATAAATAGACTTCCGGTTCCGGTTCACGGCGTCTCTAGTCGCACGGGGAGACTTCTCGTCGGCTAGTTTTCCCTCCGCCGGCAGACCCTTATGCAGGTCCAAAATCGCCCTGGAGGGTGCGACTCCTGTTGAGGAGGCTCTGCTCGGCTGCTGAGGAGTGGCAGCTCCCTCAGCTGTCCGAGTCATCTCTGAGGGCCGACGGAGAAGAAGATCGGCCAGTAAAATGGCCGATCATCCTGCTGCTTCAAACTGCAAGTCAAAGAACATCTAAGCTGTAAGAACCGCTATGGTGAATCCTGGTGAGACTTTTCTTTGTTATTCTCTTTATTCTATTTTGTTTTTGCTACCTGAAAGAGCCTTTTTGGAATTACTTCCCTGGCTTGAAAAGGCAGCTTCTACGTTTTTTTTTTTTTTTTTTTTTTGGGAAGAAAGGCGTTCTATAAAAATAGAACAAAATTTTAAAGACTATATTTACTTTTATATTTTTTGGGGCACAGAAAATATTTTTTTTCCTGTTCTTTTCCTCTTTTTCTAAGAACTGTACTATCATCCTATGCTGGAAGATTATTTCTTTTTCACATTATACTTTAAAAGATAGAAAAAGGGAAATGGCGTTTGGAAAAGACCTTTTTTAACTTACTGAGGACATCTAGTGGTGAAAATTTAATACTGCAGCCTCTGGTTTCTTGGTTTGAAGATAGCTAACCTTCAAAATACTTTTGAAGAGGAAAGATAAGCTGGGTAACTGTGGGAACTGCGGAGTTGGATATTGCCTAAATTATATTAAATATAGCCTCCACAAAAAAAGAAAAAAGAGACTCTTTTTAATTACTATCAAAATGGAGAAGCCTCAGCCACATTTAAACTGTACACTTATATTGGAAAAGATCTATGAGGCTATTGCAAAAATATGAGCTACAATGAAAAAGTTTACTACAGAACTAAGATCTAGGGATTTCACTTCAAATGTTCAAATGGACGTCCAGGCTATATCTGACTATGGTATAAATCAAAATATATTAGAAGAGGAATCAACAGAGATAAAAGAGGAACTTGTTCTATCTTACAAACCTTCGATCTGCAACTTTGAGGAACAGAAGAAGCAAAGACTGAGATTTCAAACTACAAAGCAACGACACTTCAAGGAGGAGAGCATCTGCAACTTAGAGGAACTGAAGAAGTAAAGACTGAGACTTCAAACTACAAAGCAATGACCCTTCAAGGAGGAGAGATTCAGACGTCTAATGCAGAGGATGGGATTGCTATTATTGCAAAGGCTACTGCAAGCAACAAAGACAGATCTACTGGCTGAAAGGGAAGCGTCCCTATGGAAACCTGCTTGGCACAGGAAAAAAGCAAGAATTAGACTGAAAAGAGAAATTTAAAATTGTGTAATGGATTTAAAGGCAATTTTTGATTTATGTTTTGTTTTAAGGATTATGATTTAGAGTTAGAAGCAAGAAAAAATATAAACATATATATATGAGGGTGATTTTTAGAAAAAAATATTTTCTAAAGATTAAGAATACTTTTTGGAATAACAGATTTATTTTGATGAAAATTATGTATTTTTCAAAATGTTGATTTTTTTAGATTGGGATGGTTTTAATAATTAATGGAATGTTTTAACTTAGATGATTTTTTTGTACAATAACATAGATGTGATAAGATATACAATCAATTGGATGAAATTTGAAGTTTCTGTAATGAATTGAAGTGAATTAACATTATTTTTTAATTAAGATAGCTATTGTGTAATGGAAGAAGAAATAAATGAGATTGGTGATAAAAGGAGGGATGAGAGAAATTAAGAACTAGAATATATCTGGAAGGGATACCTGAATTGATAACTTGTTGAGTTAAATTGAAATTTGATTTTGGTAATTGTAAATTGATAAAGTTTTAAAACAGGTTTAGTAGTAATAGAAATTTAATTTAGAAATGGAATATCTTAAACATATTATGTTACTTGAGGGAAATAGAGAGGAGACAGTGAATGTATTGAGTTGAGTTGTTTATTTATGTTTTTACTTTGGAATGTCTGATTACCCAAACACCACGGTGTCCTGAGTACTTTTTCTTAAAAATTAAAAAACCAATAAAATTTTTTTTTAAAAAATAAATTTGATAAATAAAAATTAATCTTGCTCACAGATCATACAGTATAAATAATCTATTAATGTCTTAATTCAACAAACATAAAATACTGATGTAAGGATATATCAGTGATAGTTAAAAACAGTCTGAAATTGGATGAAATGAGTTACAGAAATTAAACAAGATGTTTTACATTTTAGCTGAATTATGCTAAAAAAGACAAATAATGATTTTTTTAAATTGCTTCTTTAATGTAAAAAATGAAAAATGAATTTATTGGGGGAAATAAACTTATTAAGATCTACTTTAGATACTTATCAGATTTTGGCCCTAAGATTCTAACTGCGTCTCAGAAAAATCTATACATCTGAAAATGTCAAGATTTCTACTACATATGTGGAAAAGCCTCAAATATGAATGCAGGTTGGGATTACAAGAAATGCTTTATAGATTAAAATATAAATTCACAATTTCTGATTTAAATTTACTATTTAAACTTTTGGTAGTAAATATTATCAGGCATGGATTTTTCATATCTGATTAATTAATTTTCAGTTTCATAAGAGACAGAATCCAGATGTAGTTATTTGGTAGAAAACTGCAGTTCTTGTTTGTAGTAGAGTACTTTGCATTATTTCTGGGGTGGGGGAGAGAGCAGAGTAATATTTTTTCTCTTAGAACTTGCATTTCTATGACAGGCTTGGCTGAGGTCATCAGGAGCACTGCTATGCAAGAACAGGATCACACTATGCAAGACTTATTGAGCAGCCCATATCCTTTACAAGCTGTAAGGGGTTCTTATTTATGATCTGGGACTGAATTATTTAGTTTTCTTTTAATTCTCCCATCTTCTTTTCCTTTCTCATATCATTTTGCATTGTCAATGCTATGTTAAAAATACAAATTTATTATTATTTGCTACAGATGCTTTTCCAGTAGAAGGAGAAACCTCTTTTCAAACCATTAAAGTATTTATATTGTTATCCAGGTTTGCATTGCTTCTCCAGAAGCTGCTCCTGGCTGTTTATATATGTGGAAAAGTTTCCAATTTTTTTTAATTTAGCTTGGATGAAGCTTGATTACCAGGTATTTCACAGATGATTATCAGTTTAGGCCAATATCCAAGAATCTGTAACCCTAATACAGATGGAGGTTTTCAGGAGGAGGCTTCCAAGCCTTCAAATGTAAAGTCAAATTCTAAGCATGTGGGAAAAATATTTATGATTATGGATTTTTTAATGTCACAGAGTAAATAAGCATCAAATATTTGTGGTGTACAAGACACAATATTAATTCTGTCATTGTGAAGATTAAATACTATAGCTCAAAAGGCTCTCTGAATTCAATGATAAATGCTTAATACATACAGGTACAAAAGAAATGTCAAAGGGCAAATTAAAAAAAGCCTAAAGGAAGACAAAAAATATTTTTAAAGAATATTTACAGTGAGGAAAAACAATAAAATTGCATGGGAAGCAATGAAAGACATGTTTGGGCCATACAGAGGTTTTATTGTACCTCTGCAAGGTCTGAAAAGAGTGCCTGACTTGTGCTACGTCTCAGAGTGTCCCAATAGCTTCTTGGAACAAGGTCCTCTCCAGCTGTTTTGAGCACCTGTAGAATTTTGAGAATGCATAGATGTTGGGGAGAGGAAAAAAAATCAGTCAGCAAGAACAGCTATACACTGTAACATCTGAGAACCATTTCCTTATTTATCATATAATTTTACAATTAAACGATTTCTTAAAAATAAACAACTGTTTTAATTGTCTAAAAGATATAGTTTTATACAGATGGAAAAGCAAGTCTGAAAGGGTATTTGTATACATTAGGTAGATGTACACAATTAGAAAGACCATTTTATTTTTTGTCTATTAATTTCAATTACTGGATTATGCATTTTTCCACCATGTTTAAGGGAAAAAAATAGTAATGTGCATCAATTCCAGAGAAAGAGATCCTTACGGCTTATTAAAATCAACTGGCCTTTTGTAAGGTTGTGCAAATTTTTTAAACAGTCACTTCACTATCTGTGGGATCATGCAGGAAATATTTTTCTTAAAATCATTGAAGCAACTATGTCCAGGCTCATGAAGCTTTGTAACTCTTCCTGGCCTATCGGTAGAAAGGATTTGCACAGGCTTATCCTTCAACCAGTTATGACTGTCAAGTCCCATGGATTTCTCTGATAGGAGCCTGATATGGAATATTGTTTACATCAGATTAAAAGAACTCTTAAAATAATCTAGTAAAATTGAATTAAGGACATTAAATTTTATTTATTTAGTGACCCAGCTATCTCTCTTAACAAAAATTTAGTCAGTGGTCAGCTTTGGCTGAATGATAAATAGAACATTCATCAGAAGCCAGCATAGCCTCTCAATACCACACAGACACACTTGAATGCTGCTATCTAATGTAGATATTTTTCTTCAGGAAGAAAACTATCCTTAATTATATGCTAAGAAATTATATTGCTTTTAGTTTTTCTCTAGTGGAATGTTAGATGATAAAGTGAGATTTATAATGTGTACAGCATGTTTAAATGCTTTGTCATTCTTCTAGGAGTTACCAAAATATTAACTGAGGTTGTTATTAGTAAATATTACCTAACAAGAAATACATTAATTTTGAATAAAATTCCAAGTGGGTAAGCCTAAGAATATACATTTCTATCTAAAACTAATTTTGCGTTGCCACAAATGGCAATCATATGGCCGTGGGATGCTCACATTGTAAGTGTGAGTCAGTTGCCAAGCACCCAGATTGCGATCACATGACCATTTACAGGGACCTGACATAATTTTGGTCACTGAACAAATGGTTGGTAAGTGAGAATTACTGAGATTGAACATGATAGTGGTAATATAGGGAAAGGAGACAACAAACTGAATATTAAAAACTGTAGCAAGTCCACTCTGCAATCTGTGGATCTTTCTGTGTAAAGGATTTATGATTACTGATTATTTATAAATTTTAAAAATTGAGGGACATATCTCTCCATTGTATATATTTTGAAAATGAGTAGGAGAAAAAAGCTTTGGATCTCATGTAAACATAACTCATGAAAATAGCCCTAATTTTTCAGGCTTGAGATGCTTTTATTCAGACTGTCATTTAATGAATAACAGAGACCTGTTCTTGCATGATGTACATTTACCTAATATTCAGGTTCAGAAAACAAATACATTGTGTCAGCCTATTAAACTACTGACCGTATAGAGAAAAACTGTATGCCTTTGTATGCCTCAGTGCCTTGATAATGATTGAAAGTTGGTGGGTATCAATTATTATTACTGCCTCAATATCCAGCAAATCGTTCAGGATACTTATATGATCAATACAGAATTAGTATTTCTCAAACTGAATATACTTCATTTTCATCCAACATTTGTTAGCATGTCAGAAAGCACATGCAATGCATGCTTACTGCATGCATCAAACAATGATCTGAGAAAGTAATACATAATATGAAGGTATAGCAGTTCTCTACTCTGACTCAGCTCAGTTGTATCTATGCTATGTCCTTAATGATTCGTTATTATCTTACATTATTTAAGAATGTTACTGGTACTAAAAAGGACTATATTTAAAACAACAGAAAGTTAATTGCTTAAAATTAGAAACTCATAATTGAACTGGTTTTCTCTTGTCTGCTGATCTCTTGCTTTGTATATATAAAGTATTATCACTCACTACAAATACTAAGACTCGAATTTTAAGTCATAGTCAAGAAATGTCATTGTCCTGAGTTTTAAGACATTTAAAATCTACAGTAATCAGAGAAGTCTAAATATGACTTCTACATAAAGCAGAATAGATTGCAAATAAAAACTTCCAGTATATTTGTAGAAAATCAAAAGCAAATGCATCTCCCATCAGTTTGTCCTTTGGTCCTTTCACCCACCTATGGTGTAAATCTGGAGCTGTCTTGGTGAACAACATAATAAAAATGATTTATTTGATTATTGTTATTGCAGTGGGGTAGAGCTGGAAGTGACTGCTTTTTTATTGCTTTTATACTGGGTTTTAATCTTGATAAGCTGCCCAGAGTCACTGAGAGTGAGTTGGGCAGCCATATAAATTTCCTTAAATAAATAAAATAAATTAAATTAAATTAAATATAAATATAAATAAATAAAAAGACACAATTACTATCTTGTCCTTCTACCTCAATATTATAGAACCAAACAATTTCCAAGTTAGGCTTACAACAATTAATTTCATTTGATTTACAATGAACATGTGGCTTTAAAAATGAATTGCTCCATAAATTACACTAAGCCATAGTTTATATAACTACAGTTATATAGTTATTCAGTTGATCCAGTTGCTGAATTAACGCATGCTAAGCCAAAATCAAATGAAACCCATTCTGGCTTAGTAAATATGTGAATTTAATCATTGCCAAATATACTGTATTGCAAAGAATATTTATATCATAAAAATGATTGCTTACAGATCAGTAAACAAGTTTATAATACATACATTAGTAGAACTGTGGTATCCATAAAGCTGGAGATACTGATATAAAACAGTATGAGTGAAGAGTTGAATTTCAAAACAAAACCAGTAAAAAAAAGGAAAGAAATCAGCAATTAGCTAAGATATGCAAGCCTACATTTAAAAAAAAATATTATAAACTAAGCTTTATAGCTAAGGTTTTAAGCCACATTTTAATATGTAGATTTTTAGTTACCTTTAAATCACATTCTGACCTTAAAAATACAGTTATGTAAGACTAATAATGAACAAAATTACAAAAATACATTTTTTTTTAGGAAGTCATAATTGTTCATACAAAGTATTAGAATCTTTTCTTTTCGGTTGGTTTTGGCTCTTCCGAAGAAAAGAATAAAGCTGCTGGAGCAGATGAAAGGAGAAATTGCAAGATTGGTTTTAACATCTGAAATACTCTTATTTAAAGTGCTCTTCATTGGTACAAATGATCTGTTTATGAACTTCTAATTATGCCCGCTACTTATTTCTTTTGTGTCTATTTCTTCTATTACCAGTAAAAGCTTCCAGAAACTTAGGTGCCCTTCATGCTATTCATCTATATTGTTAAAAGATGGATTTATGACACAAGCAAGAACCTCTTAGAAAGATGAACATATTACAAATTAGCAAATATCCAATGTAACATTTGCAATAGGCTCTCATTTACTTTTGAGTTATTAATTACTCTTAAATAAAATTCAAAGATTTTGGAGGGTACATATAAGATATTTTAATTGAGATAATGAAGTACCATTCAAATAAAAAAACATTATAATTACTGTATATTAGGTATTAGATATTTCATAACACAGACATTTTAGCAAGGTGGTTATAATTGATGATGGGAACATTTAAAGGTTTCTTTTAAAAATGGTATACCAAATAGCATTAAAGTAATTACAGAAATATTTTACAGCAGTTTAGAAAAATCTGCAGTATGATAGTCATGTGAAAAACATTCTGACTACAGTAGATAAAGTAAATTTCAGTTCAGTTGTAATAGTTTTAGCTGCTCAATAAATGATTTTCCATGTCAAAACTATATTCACTTTAAAAAAAGATGGAAAGGCAATGCTAAAAATTACTGCACTTGTTTTTCCTAATTAAAATCAGCTGAAATTATACTTGCAACTTATAGTACTGCGGAAAAACAATGGTTTATTTCCATCAGTCTGAAGATATATTTGCTTGATTTTGTTCTTCTACAATTTCTGTTTCAGTTAAAGTTTGGGCTATGATAAAAGCTCATATTCATCAGAAAAAAAATGTGCAATGCTGTTATTATTATTAATGTAATAATCTTATCCTATATATTACTGATAACAAAATTCAAAGAATTATGAAAAACCCTTTAATATTTATTTAAAATCCTCACCAGCATTGCACGCTTTTCTTCATCTCCTTTTCTTTCTTTCTTCTCATTTTTCTTTCTAAATATGTCTTGCAGCTGAAAAAAAATTAAAAATGGTTATTTATTTTAATGATATTTATGGACAATACCACAGTCATATACAGTACTTTGTGATCCAATGTAGGAAAAAAAGAGCCTTAGCTTCAGCTGAATAATATAAGCAATATTGTTGGCATTTATTTTTTAATATAATAGTTTTTATATAGCTTTTAACTGCTATTCTCCTATAAAGCAAATGCAGAATTATGTTTAGCAGCACACTGAAATCTCAAATTATTAATAAATGAAGTTTGACAGTCCCGTTAGGTACTATGCATGCCAATAGATGTTGAGAGTTTCCTGCAAGAACTGTCATCTGCAACTTTTTTATTAGTAACAGAAACCAACTTTGTAAGGTTTGCATCTGATTCAATTAACTTGATCAAAAACTTCTAGACATGCCTGATTGACATGCTACACTTAATATTATGGCATAGATGCAAAACCAGTATCAAGTGGTATGTTGCCTTAACTTCCTCAGCCCAATTCTTTTATTAATTGATTTGCTCTGAATTGTAAGGCTTCTCATCTCACAATAGTGAATAAAAATGTAAAATAAACAACAATAAACAACGGCGCTACCTGTGCTGGCAGAGGAGGCTTGCGGCGGAACCCATCAGTCAAGGAACTTTGGTTCCTGTCCCATGGGGTAAGGTTTGCCTCCACCCCTCTATCTTTCTGCAAGGGCCCAAAGACCTGGCTCTGCTGGATGGTCTGGGGTCCCAATAAGAGATGGCTACTGGACTAATTAGCTGACACTTCCCTTTGTGCTTCCCGTTTCCCCTCTGCCCACCTTTTAATTCACATTATTTTTACTTTTATTGCTAATTTTTATTGTTTTCATTGCTTTGCTAGTGTTTGTTTAGTTTTTTTTTATCATTTTTTCTGTTTCACTGTTGTAAGCTGCCTAGAGTTGCAGCACGCAAATTTAACAATAAATAATATAAAAAATAAAAATAAAACATAAAAAGCAATATAAAAAACTCTACAACAGCAACAGTAAGTGTGCATGTGCATGAGAGAAAAAATGTTTGCATTTTGTTTGTATGGGAGAATGTAAGGCAAAAAATTGTGGTTTTGATCATATGTATTTATTTTTAAACTTGGGAATTAAATTTCAAATGAACGTGGGACTCAGGTGTGGAAATGAGGATCAACAGATAAAATCATAATATTAACATTTAATATCTAATTTCACCCTACACTCACTTTTGAAATTTTTCTATGTAACCCAACAACTTAATGATAATTTTAATAACTAGCAAATACACTGTGTTTTTAGAAATACCTGAGTCTCTGACCCAATATTGGTATTCATTAAAAACATAACAGTTCCCACTGAAAACGTACCACTTCAAAATAGAAGGTGTAGCTTCATATTCTGTTTATTTTCTCATGAAAATTTCCAAATATAAAAAGCTATTTATTAAGAAAGATTCTAGCCCCATTTCTTTCATTTGGCATATTAGGTTTTGAAGGAAAGAACATTCTTAAATGTAGAAGCCTCCATCATGTAATCTGCCACCTGCACTCTGTAGCATTGACCCAAGAGATTACACCATATGTTCTTTGAACATTTGAAACAGCTCACATTGGACTCAACTCTAAAGTTAGTTTTTTAAAAAGGTAAAAAAAGTGTTTGTAATTGAAAAGGCAAAAAGATCTTTTTTAAAAAAAAAATCTTCTATGCTTTGATTTCCCTTACACCAGATACAGGGAAGAAGATCTTGTTGCATTCATCAGTAAAGCTCATTTGATCTTCTGGAAATGAACCTTTTGTGTAGGAGGATACCAAAGAATACGGCTACAGGATACCAAAGAATACGGCAGTGAACATGAATTAATCTAGGAGCACTTTTCATAGGAACATTGTCTGAAACAAAATAATGGGATTGACTGTTGAAAGCTGAAGGACAAAACAACATCTCTTGTATCAAGGGAACAAAATCCCTCTGTTCTCTGACCTCAAACCTATGACATAAGCAAACAGTGTTTTAAGAAAAAACCTGTTAAGCAATTGATGACTTAATTTAGATAATTTTTAATGTTTTGCTATATACAAAAACCCTCTGGGTGCTATAAACTCTACATTATCATGTTTCACATTCTTTATGCAATGAGACTTAATAGTATCAACATGAAGAATAATATCGTAGACTTTGTTTTATTGGTTTCCTTTACATAAAAGCTCACTCAGTTTCCTTTCAAGATCGTTTACATCTTATAGTCAAAGGTAAAATAGCAGGTACCAGAAAAATCTTTGGTTTACATTAAATGTTTCTGGGGAAGTTTTCTTAAAGCCCCTATTCTATAATGTTGGTCACAATTTACACTCCTTTCACATCCAGGCTCTTTTAAATATAAACCATAAACATGCTTATTTAGATGAAACTGCACCATAATCTTCTTTCCTCTCTGATTTCACAATAGTGATCTACAAAATGTCTGTGCTTCATGTTTGCAGATTAGATATCTATCATTTCATGCCTTCAAAATGCCAGATCAGATTCACTGAAGAAAGTTATTATATTGGGAAGAGTTAGCAGGAAAGGGAACCAAGCCACCTAAAAACATGATGGCTGGACACTATCAAAGCTGAAACCAGCCAGTGCAAGACTGGAAGATATGAAGAGGCCCAGATATCTGGCCCATAGAGTCGCAAAGAGTCAGAACAACTGAATGGATAATATCATCAACATCATCATCATATGAAGAAGTTACATTATTCAAGTAGAAAAGATTCAAATGAAGAACCAAAGAATTAAAAAAAATATATACAATGTAAAGGTTTGGAAGAATAATTGGTTACGATAGATATTATTAAATGAGATTATTTTTTCCTTTAAAATTTGAACTTGAGTAACATTTATTCACAAAAATATTGTTTTCTTTGAAAAAGTTTTAAAAAATTAAAAACATGTTAAAAAAACATTTTAAAAAGTAACAATTTAAAAAAGTAACATGTAGCATACCTACCACTAAGAACTCTTTTTTGTCCACCATTTCATTTCCATCTGTATCAAACATGTTGAATGCTATTCTAAAACCAGCATGTGGTTCTGCCAAGAATGATAAAAAAGATGTAAGAGAAACAAAATTTTAAGAATTATACTGAAATTAAAGGCCAAGTTGTATGCTACACTGGCAGCTATTCATACATAAATACAATATCCCCAAATCATAAGAAAAAAAGAGGTGACCTGTTTAAGATTACTAGCAAAAGGACTGCTATATACTTATACTTAACTCTATTAAATGCCTCCTCCACAATACTTTTTTCAGCAAATCTCTTTTACCAGATGTATTTTCAGCTACATCAAAAATCTTCCCTGTGGACTGAAGTGAGAAAGGTGTGCATGACAGGTAAAATCAATCTGCCAGCCCCATTTTGCCTTTTTGACATGAGTATACAGTGTTTCAACATATAAAATTGTTATTATTACACATAATTTGGTCCTGTTTGGTCAAAGACATTGTAGAAAACTAGATCTACTTTAAATGATAGCAGAACACTAATAGCCTTTCCATAAATGTATTATTATACCAGCAGAATGCTCTTATCCATATATCTGGTCCTCCAAATGTTATTATCAAACTCCAAAAGGTAGCCCAATACTCACTTCTCCTTTATTTTCATACTATAAAAGTCTTGTCTTTCTTCAGAAAAGAATTAAATTTGTGCCATTGTTCAATATTTCAAAATGTTTTGATTTTCTATGCCTTCCTATTACTAAAACACTACAGTGATAGGAATGCCAGAAGGTATAGACCAGGAGTAGGCAATCCTATATATACTGTATGTATGTATATGTGTGTGTGTATGTATGTATGTATGTATATCATAAAGGTAAAAAAGGATATATACAATGTTATCTTCATTTTAGATGTCAGAAGGGTCTCTCTCTCTCTGTCTCTCCCTCCCTCCCTCTCCCTCTCTCTCTTTCTGCCCTTGGTCTGCCAGTCCTCTTCTCCCACTCTCTTTCTCTCTCTCTCTCTTCCCCCCCCCTCTCTTTCTCTCTCTCTCTTTCTCTCTTTCCTCTCCCTCTTTCTTTCTTTCTTTCTTTCTTTCTTTCTTTCTTTCTTTCTTTCTTTCTTTCTCTTCCCTCTGCCCCCTCTCTCTTTCCTCTCCCTCCCTCTCTCTCTCTATCTCTCTTTCTTCTCCCTCCCTCTCTCTTTCCTTTCCCTCTTTCTCTTTTTCTTTCAAGTATTGGGGCCAACAATTTAAAACTGAGAAGTAAAACTTGAATTGTATTTGTTATTGTCTGTTATCAATAATAGGAGTTTTAAATATTTCCACTATAGTAATTGCTATGCCAGTGTTTTTCAACAGAATAAAGGATATAACTTTATCAGAACAGCTGCTAAAATATTATCCTACATTAGCTAAATAAATTGTAATTTTATCTTCAATTATTTTTAGTAACTTTTTGCTAGGAGAATGCAAAAACAAATTACTATTTATTAACACGTACAACATTAACATTACATACATGCATCTGTGGAAAATATATTGTACTCTGATTGCTTACTTGTTAAGATACATAGTAAAAAGAGATATTCCGTGTAAGAAATTATACCTGAAAAAGTAAATCAACAAATTAGCAACATTTTTACTTAAATATTAGCAAATGATGATTGAAGATATAGTAAAATTATTTATTTGCATATCATTCCTCCTTTATTCCAGGGAACTCACGGGGGCTAACAAGACTCCTCTGATTTTATTCTCACAACTTGTTAAAGCTGAGTCTGTAATTTATACATGATTGTTAACAGAATAGTAATGGAACCAGGATCTCCACATTCGGCAGTCTCCATTGACACAGGCAATCTATTTCCAACTTGTTTCAAGGCTGAAAATCAGATCATTGATAACTATTTTCACAATGTGACAGCACAATGTTTTCATTTATCTGTACCTTATGCATACATTCTGTTCCTAAAAAATGGATTGTAAATGCTAGTTTTAACTATTATGATGGAATAATGTACAGCACAATGCCAATGTACTTTCCTCCTCAATATTTCAGGAGACTACATTGGTACAAAAAGGACTGCCATCACAATCTACACTTAATATGTATGTCTGCAACAAGCCAAAGTGCTATTTCCTGTACATACTGTACTTAGTTCTGTTCAATTTCATTTTTTCCTCCCATTTCTCTCTGTGAGAGGGGAAAAAAAGGGAGAGAAGGAAGTGAAGGTGAAACTGCTTATGTTTATCTGATTATATCAAATTATGTCAGCGATATAGTCATCCTCGTTTTTATTCACCCTTTTTGGTTGGTGTAGTTATGATTTTTGTCTTCCAGTCCCTGGCCAGAGACATCGCCTGGGCATGGACTGGGACATATCAAAACAGAGAGAATGCAGGTTTTAGCTGTCCAATCAAGTTTCACCCATTTGTACTTGCATGTAACATTGATAGGGCTTCACTTATCTAGTTGTGATTACAGTGCTGTCTTTACCATCTGATCCTTCCTCCCAAGTTTTAGGGGAGCATTTAAGACCTGGCTATTCCAACAAGCACCAGAGGAGGGCATGATGTGGGAGAGGTTTCAAACTAGCAGATACATTATTTTATATAGCTTTTTGATAACTCTGACATTGCTGTTAATTTTGTTTGCAATATATGTTTAAACATATAAATGATTTGTTTATATATTTAAACATATAAATAAAATTATTTTGATTAGCTGCCCATAGCTTATAGGAATGATTTACAAATAAAGGAAATAAGTAAGGAAATAAAAATTATAATGAGAAAAGAGTGAGTATCATATAAATAAATTTTGCCCAATACTGTTGTATCATTTTAAAAGTAACTGGAAACAAAAACCACCAATCCAGAAGTGAAATTTTTTTCTGTAGTAATGACTTTTGAAGGCATTAGGAGCATTAATATAATACTGAATCCCTGAATACTTTTCCGATCTCAGTGCAAATGTGCCTTTAAGTTACTAATGAAACAATGCACTGCACTAGTACCAAATTAACAAACTAGTTTAATATACTTTATGTGCGTAATTTAAAGTCTCTTATATATTATAACTATTTGTAATCTTGTCTAATTATAGATTCTATTTATTAATGTATTTATAAAAGACATTTTAAAATAATTTATAGTTTTCTGTTAATTTGAGTTGAAGAATTTTCACAAATATGACCAAAACTAATTGCAAAAAAAGCAGTAAATCTAATAACACATATTAAAGCAATACAAGTTGTCCTCAACTTATAACTGGTTGCTTAACAACTGTTCAAAATCACACAGGGCCCAGAACAGGTGATTTACAGCCTGTAAAATACTTCCGGTTGTCATAAAATGTGCCACCACCAACTGGTCATGTAAGTCAGTTTTGGGCACTTGGCAAATAGCTCCTCTGTATGATTGGTTGCAGTGTCCTGTGACCAAGATTTGAGATGGTTTTTGCCAGTTTGAAAGATTGTGTTTGTCATTACAACTGTGGTGTTTGCTTAGTGAACACAGTGATTCACTTAATGGCTACCACAAAAAGGATAAAAAAATTAAGTCCTCGACTTATGATTGTAGTAACATAAACCAGAAATCTGGTCCGAATTGCAGTTGTTAGCAACTAACTATATGTACAGTTTTTAAATATTGCCCATACTGATGCTGAGAAAACAAAAATGCCAAAGCAAACTCAGATAATTTTGACTGCATTTTCTTTCAGAAAAGATGCAGATAGACTTATGAATTTTATGTTAAATTCAAATGAACAGTATACTACTTGTAGTACTAATATTGTGTATATTAACAGTATACACTATAATCTCTAGTTGAGAATGAAAAGAATTTCATAGTAAAAACAAAACAAATATTCTTCAGTACCCCTTTCTTGGAGATTCCTGAAGAGTTTTGATGATCCTTTCCAAACTGGTGGAGTTTCAATAAGTATCTGATTCAATTCCTGCAAATTAGTTTTTTTTAAAAAGATGATGACATTGTCTTCATAATAAACAGTGCATTTGCAAACCTATACCCACTAATATATTTCTAGACAACATAGGATTGTACAGTCATAGAAAAAAGAATACCAAATGATAAAGTTCATGTCCCATTGAATTTGAATGTTTGGGTTAAAAACATTCTTGAAAAACACTTGAAAAACATTTCTAATAAAAATGCAGATTAATTTATAAAATATGCAAAGTAAGACACTAAGAGTTACTTTATAGGGGAGATGGGCAGCATAATAAATAAATAAATAAATAAATAAATAAATCCTCACATGCACAGCAACCACAAACCAATATTATTATTTCCAAACATGAAATTGAGAAAGAGTAGAGGAAATGGCAAACCACTCCAGTATCTTTGCCATGAAAACCCCCTGGACAGTACATAAGAAAGGCTGAGCACCAAAGAATTGAGGCCTTTGAACTATGGTGCTGGAGAAGACTCCTGCGAGTCCCTTGGACTGCAAGGCGTTCAAACCGGTCAGTCCTAGAAGAGATCAACCCCGACTGCTCTTTAGAAGGCCAGATCCTGAAGTTGAAACTCAAATACCTTTGGCCATCTAATGAGAAGGAAGGACTCACTGGAGAAGGGCCTAATGCTGGGAAAGATTGAGGGCAATAGAAGAAGGGGATGACAGAGAATGAGGTGGCTGGATGGAGTCACTGAAGCAGTAGGTGTGAACTTAAATGGACTCCAGAAGATGGTAGAGGACAGGAAGACCTGGAGGAACGTTGTCCATGGGGTCGCGATGGGTCGGACACGACTTCGCAATTAACAATAACAACAACAAAGAGTTTGACAAATGCTACTATTGCTTGAGTCAGTATATAAAACCTAATTTGGAAGAGAATTGTAACGTACCTGTTTTGAGAGTGTCTTCCACTGTTTTGTCTCTAAAACAAATACAAAACCAATTGTATTTAATGACATGCTACTATATATGGCTGGCATGATTAGTATTCATCCTATCTCTTGTCATGTCAAGAAATAACCTTTCTAGTCTCAATGTTTTTAGTAACACTTTTTAAATGTGAAAATGCACTGTTCATCATTATGATCTTATTCATATGGGAATATCATGTATGACTAATTAATATTAAATGCAACTCACAAATAGAAAAATTGGGGAAGAAAAAAATTGTAAAGCTTTTCCACTAAAAATAGTAAAACTTTATGGACATGTCCATGCATTTCTTAGCAGTAATGAGGAATTGGTTTGCTACTGTTATATTTGAAGTCTAGGTTACAGCCATGATATTCCCTGACAATCTGTATTTGCCTGATAGACTCACTATTACCAATAATAATGTTTAATCTAATACTTTCAAAATAAATCTGAATAAGTAATAACACTTTATAAAAAATATAAACTCATTAAAAAAGTAACCATATCAAAAATAGAGTTTCTGCAACAAAATGGGATTAGTAACTGACATAAACTGAATTAATTGAAATGGATGAGCAAGGGAAAGCAAAAGAGAAAAAAGAAAGAAAAATGATATTGAATGAACAGGTAATTTTGTTGGAGTGCTTGTAGAATATTGGAATGAAATACACATGTAAGACTTATAGAAAATTATTATAATGTGAACAAGTCATTTTTCCTTTAGTTTATAGTGTCTTAAAGTTATACTTAAAATTAAATATTTGAATTTTAAAAATGCTAGCTATGTAATATAGAACAGGGGTCCCCAACCCCCGGTCTGCGGACTGGTATTGGGCTGCAGCCACTTAGGAACCAGGCTGCGTAGCTGGAGGTGCACTGAAAGCACATCTTCCACCTCCAGGAATGCAGCAGGTTTGCAGGGGTCTGGGCAGGGGCAGGAGAATGGCAGGGCAGAAGCTATCTTTCTCAGTGCAAGGTCTTCTGACAACTGCCCTTGCAACTGATTTGCAACATCTGAGCTCCATGTCCTTCCTCCTCTCCCTCCTGCTTCTGCTGGTCCCTCTTCCTCCTACTTCTTCCTCCTTCTCTTCTTTCTCACTTTCCTCCTCTGCCCCCTCCTGGCACCCTAGCTGGGCTTGTGCTCCCTTCATGCAACTCTCCAAGTTTGCAAGACACTTGCCAGCCCAGCTTGCAACCGGAGGCTCTCCCAAAGCTTCATTGGAGGGGGATCCCCTCCCCAAGGTATGTGTGTATGAGGTTGTCTTTCTCAGTGTGCAAATAGGGGCAGGGAGAAGCTACCTTTCACTTTAAGCACTGCATCTCCAAGGGACATTCTCTCTCTCTCTCTCTCTCTCTCTCTTTCTTCCGCACCTTTTCTAAGACCGCTGGGCTCCGTTGCACTTCAACTGGAGTTTTTTGCTTTTATTTTGCTGTTCCAGGTGCCTCGTGTTTTGCCAACATGCTGCCTGCTTTTTCAGGTTTAATTTGATGTATTTGTGTGTGTATGTGTGTTTGTGTGTTCCTCCTTTCTTCGTGCAGCTCTCCAAGTTTGCAAGCCAAGCGCACTCCTACCTGGCTTGCAATGGAGATGGGGGGGGGCGAGAACCTACATTTCTCCTTAAGCACTATGTCTCCAAGGGAATCCCTCTCTCATTTGCACCTTTTCCAAAGCTGCTGAGTTTGCGCAGTGCTGAGTTGGTTTGGTCTCTTTCTCTCTCTCTCTGTTTCTCTCTTTTTGAATGCTTTTTTCAGCACTTCCTCAGCATGCTGGATCTTTGGTTTGTTTTGCTGGAAGGCTGAGTTTAGGACTGTCTCTTTTCCTTCCCACTTTCTTGGAAGTGGTCTAATCTAATACAATAATATAAATAAAGTGCATTATTTATTTATTTAGAAAATTTACAATAAATGTAATGCACTTGAATCATCCTGAAATCTTCCCTCCTCCCCCCCCCGGGTCCCTGGAAAAATTGTCTCCCATGAAACCGTTCCCTGGTGCCAAAAAGGTTGGGGACCTCTGATCTAGAACTAAAAGATTTTAGTTTTCAGTGCATCCTTAGAGTTAAACTCACATTCAGAGTTACCCTGAGGTAAGATGGATGGCCAATAAATTTTACAAATAAATAAATAAATAAATATTTCATAGAATTTACATCTACAGATAGGGTTGGGTCCAAATGAATTTAATGATAGTTCTATGAAGGTCCTAAATGTGAGGATTGGTCACAAAGTTACTTTTTCATTACCACTGTGACTGAATGGTTGCTAAACAAGGTGGTTGCTAAATAAGCGCTACCTGTAATTTCAAATAATCATTGCAGCCATGGATTTAGACTGTTGCTATCCACTTCCTGTTCATCTTGCTGCTATTCTTGCTGCCCTAATTTCAACAGAGATAAAAGAAAATATAGACAAAAGGCCATTTTTCGGATATTTTGGTTCCCAGATCAAGATATAGTAGGCTTTAAACCTATTTATTCTTAAGATTATTTTCTTTCTTTTTCTATGTAGAAAAATGACCAAGTTGATCTGTGCAGAGTTTATATTAATAAACATTCTGAATCTTTAACTTGCCACAAGTCTTTTTATTAGAGCAATGGAACACTATTTATTTCTAAATAGATTTAAATTATATGTGAGCACAAATGTAATACCTGTCTGCAATCAGCTATATCAATCCCCAAGCTTGTGCTGCTAACTGAATCCACAACACTTCAGAGTTATATGTGTTTTTTCTGTTAAAAGGCATTGCAATTTCTGAAAAGGTGTGATAGTTTTGAAAGTATTATCTTCCTTTCCTTTTTATATAACATCTCAGAAATCAGCTTTTTGCACCGTCTTTGAGATATCTCATTTTACTTAGCAAAATCTTAATTTTCAACGTAGGGTATTAAAAATTTCTAATGTACATTTTAAATATTGCAAGCACCATGGCTTTCAAGATAAGAATCTTATATTATGCATTTAAGCTCCCTGAGCAAAATTACATGAATTACCATGAATTCAACCAATCACAGCATCTACCTATTAAATAATAGCTGCAAAAATATAGAAGATCTGAGCTGTGCCTCCACCAAATAAGGAAGCTTTAATTATGAGGGTTCACTATAGAAAGAATAATGTAGTCTTTTAAAAATGAGATTTTAAAAATTTCCTACTTACGTTTTGGTTCATCACTTGAAACAGATTGGATGAAATCACATGGTGTCATAAATAGCTGCCCTTCAAATTTTAAACTGGCAAAAGTTAGAAACCGCCGTTCCCGGGAAGTTGCATAAAGTTCTAAATCTTCATGATCTGGTCTGTTTTCTGTGACCTTCAGCAAAAAATTAAAAAGTGATTAGTGTTAATTCAATTATTGTTTCTAAAACTACAGGTGAAACTCGAAAAATTAGAATATCATGCAAAAGTTCATTTATTTCAGTAATGCAATTTAAAAGGTGAACCTAATATATGAGATAGACTCATTACATGCAAAGCAAGATTGTTCAAGCCGTGATGTGTCATAAGTGAGATGATTATGGCTTACAAGCTCATGAAAACCCCAAATCCACAATCTCAAAAAATTAGAATATTACATGCAATCAATAAAACAAGAATTGTACATAGAACAACATCGGACCTCTGAAATGTATAAGCATGCATATGTACTCAGTACTTGGTTTGGGCCCCTTTTGCAGCAATTACTGCCTCAATGCGGCGTGGCATGGAAGCTATCAGCCTGTGGCACTGCTGAGGTGTTATGGAAGACCAGGATGCTTCAATAGCGGCCTTCAGCTCTTCTGCATTGTTCGGTCTCATGTCTCTCATCTTTCTCTTGGCAATGCCCCATAGATTCTCTATGGGGTTCAGGTCAGGCGAGTTTGCTGGCCAATCAAGCACAGTAATCCCACAGTCATTGAACCAGGTTTTGGTGCTTTTGGCTGTGTGTGCCTCTCCGTTCTTCCTCCAGACTCTGGGTCCTTGGTTCCCAAATTAGATGCAAAAGTTGCTCTCATCAGAAAAGAGGACTTTGGACCACTGAGCAACAGACCAGTTCTGTTTTTCTTTAGCCCAGGTAAGACACTTCTGACTTTGTTGTTTAGGAGCAGCTTGACAAGAGGAATACGACATTTGAAGCCCATGTCCAGGATCCATCTGTGTGTGGTGGCTCTTGATGCACTGACTCCAGCCTCAGTCCACTCCTTGTGACAGTCCCCAACACTTCTGAATGGCCTTTTCCTGACAATCCTCTCCAGGCTGCGGTCATCCCTGCTGCTTGTGCACCTTTTTCTTCCACACTTTCCCCTTCCACATAACTTTCTATTATGGTGCTTTGATACAGCGCTTTGGGAACATCCAACGTCTTTTGCAATTACCTTTTGAGGCTTTCCCTCCTTATGAAGGGTGTCAATGATGGTTTTCTGCACAACTGTCAGGTCAGCCGTCTTTCCCATGATTGTGATTCCTACTGAACCACACTGAGAGACCATTTAAAGGCTCAGGAACCCTTTGCAGGTGTTAGCTGATTAGAGTGGGACACTTTGAGCCTAGAATATCGAACCTTTTCACAATATTCTAATTTTCTGAGATTGTGGATTTGGGGTTTTCATGAGCTGTAAGCCATAATCATGACACATCACAGCTTGAACTACCTTGCTTTGCATGTAATGAGTCTATCTCATATATTAGGTTCACCTTTTAAGTTGTATTACTGAAATAAATGAACTTTTGCACGATATTCTAATTTTTCGAGTTTCATCTGTATGTTTCAAGCACTAAATTGTTTCCTTTGTTTTTTCTCTTTTCATATTTTAAATTCCTTAGCCCTATCACAGCTGTACTGTTCTATTGTAAAAACAAGGATATATTAGCTACTGGGATACTATTATGCAGTGGTGGCATTCAAATATGTGAACAACCGATTCTCTATGTGGATGCCGCTTCCAGAAGTCCATTCTGGGCCTGGGCAACAAAAAATTAGCTACCAGTGGTGCGAACTGGCTGAATCTCACCACTGCTATTATGGGTTATATTTTTCCGTGCAATCAAGTAGGAAACTTGAGGGAAACGAAAATGGTCTTTTTGACTATAAAATAACTACTAAGCAAAGCTGCTTGTAAAAGAAAGAACTTACATCGCACAAGGCTGTTATGAATGCATTTTGCTTTGAAACAAACCATGCCTAAGTTATGCAGATTCAAACATTTTTATTAAACACAATGAAAATCACACCTGATACAGCATGTAATGAGATCCCAGAGAGGACAAAAGCACCGGTGAGGTAATGGGTAAGTGTCAGTTAAGGGTCCAGTTTCTATTTCTACTTTTGGAGATTATCTGATTAAAATCTCTTCGTAATTAGCTGCAAACCTCAAAAACTTTCATGAAAACATATCCCCATCAAATGAAGTTAAAACTTGTGTCTTGCAGTGATGTTTTATCAAGATAACCCTCAGTAGTTTTAAAAAACTGGGCAGTCATTTATAGCAAACAAACTATCATGAATCTATGATTGTACTTGAATAACATTTTAGTTTAGATGTTAAACCTCTTCTTCCTCCACCCACCCATGGAATATAAAGGTTGCAAGAAGCCCCTGAGCCACAGCTCAGCATGAAGTCACAGCCACCCCTTCAGCCATTACAGCCTGGTCCAGCAGCCCACCAGTTACAGCTACCTTGGGAAGTCCTAGCCAGATTCAGCAGTGTTATGTCAAGCCATAGCTGCTCTGCAAAACTGCAACCCAGTCCAGCAGTATGGCATAGTGTGAAGTTGTAGCTGCCCTGGGAAGCCCCAGCCTGGCCTAGCAATGTATGACACAAAGCCACACTAGGAAGGAACTAGGAAGCCATAGCTGTCACAGCTCACTCCTAGATACAATCACCCTCTTCAGCCTGCACTCCAAGGCCTCTGCTGCCCTGCACTCCACCACCCCAGCTAACTACTGTCTTGCTTCTGTTGCTGACAAGGCATGCCCAGCCTGGCTGTTCACAAGGCAGCTTCTGGCCATGTAAGGACATCTTCTCCAGGTCTCATCAGAAAATTACTATGTTTGATCTGGGGAAGAGGGATTCATGTAGCCATCAGCTGCATCATAATGGGCCAGGCTGGACATACTTGATTAGCAGCCAGAGCAAGAAGACAGCAAAAGTCACCTAGGATGGTGGGGGCCCTGGAGTGCAGGGGGCGAAAAATGGGAGGCAGATTGGTGAGTGGGGGCAGATGAAGTGACCATGCAATTGTAAATACGGGTAGGCTGAATTTTGATCATGTGACCATGGGGCACCGCAATAGCCATAACTTGGGGATCAATCCTAAATCCTTTCATTCATTGCTGCTATAACTTTGAATGATCACTAAATGGTCATTAAGCAAGGACTACCTGTAAAAAGGACTGGCAATCCTACAGGTGATTGGAATCTCTCTCGTTATTTTTGCTGGACTTGTAGTTTTCACTTATCTGAATCACATGGAAATGGGTGAATGTCATAGCTTCCAAATATGGTTGAAAGACTGTTTGTGAGAACAAAGAAAAACACAGGGACAGTAACGAATATCTGGGCTATAGCTGCAACACATAGTCCCTTGACTTAGAAATTTCAAAGCTATTTGCAAAGGTCTGATTAAAAGAAATATTGCCATCTCTTAGTTGCTTTCCAGTTCTCTTTCCTCAGCTTATTGATCTCATCTCCCTGTTACAGATAAAAGGTTTAGTTACCAAAGCAAATTTTTCCACAAGAGGAAACTGCAGTGCAACCCTGTTTACAATTGTTACTCCATGTGTTCATCACATGGCTATCAACAGATGCTCAGTGATATGCTAGCACTAACTACCTGTGAAGGCTTAGGGATTCAATTCTCTTCTCTCGTTTTCAGTAAGCATATTGATTCTTGTCTCCTTTCTGGAAATTAGCTAGAGCCTGATATCATATAATGCATTAGACATCCAGGGGAAAGAAATTATTGAAAGCAATTTTCTCATGGATGACGCAGAGAACAAACTTGGGGATTGTTTTAAACCAGACATGTCAAACTCGTGACGTCACGTGACGTCGTGCAACGCATCAGAGCTTTTTCCCCATTGCTGGCAATGGGGTGGGCGTGGTTTCATCGTGACGCATCCGGCCCGCGGGCCAGCAGTTTGACACCTGTTTTAAACAAAAGGACAAGTGTCATGTACAATTGGGCACAATCAGTGCATTTCTCAGCAGCTCATTAACTACAGAATTTACACCTATTAAATTTGTTATTATATTGCAGATTTTAGAAATCAGTGAATTTATTATATCAGAGGTCCCCAACCTTTTGGGCACCAGGGACCGTTTCTGTGGAGAAAGGTTTTTCCATGGACCGCAGACTGTGTGGTTTTATGTGCTGCCTGCATCCCACGGATGGGGCTTTGCTTGTTTGTGTGGTCCGATTGTTGACATGCCACGGCCCGGTACTGGTCCACAGACCGGGGCTTGGGGACCCCTGTATTATATCATAAGATAAATATATTTTCCATTCGACTTAGGATTTTAATAACTATTTATTCTAAAAGGCACAATGAAATTACAAATATGTATTCTTAAAAGTTGGACCATAAGAAAGGCTGAGCGCCAAAGAATTGAGGCCTTTGAACTATGGTGCTGGAGAAGACTCCTGCGAGTCCCTTGGACTGCAAGGTGTTCAAACCGGTCAGTCCTAGAAGAGATCAACCCCGACTGCTCTTTAGAAGGCCAGATCCTGAAGTTGAAACTCAAATACTTTAGCCACCTAATGAGAAGGAAGGACTCACTGGAGAAGGGCCTAATGCTGGGAAAGATTGAGAGCAATAGAAGAAGGGGATGACAGAGAATGAGATGGCTGGATGGAGTCACTGAAGCAGTAGGTGTGAACTTAAATGGACTCCAGAAGATGGTAGAGAACAGGAAGACCTGGAGGAACGTTGTCCATGGGGTCGCGATGGGTCGGACACGACTTCGCAATTAACAACAACAAAATTCTTAAAAGGACTATCAAATAGATTTATGAATTATATGCTGCCCTTAGTTTTCAAAGACATACATATATGAAAAACCTTACTGTTATTGCAACAGTTCTCCCCAAAACAGTGTTCTCCAAATGGCGCGGTTGAAAGACAATTGCAATAAAAATAAAATAAGAGAAACACAGAAAAGTGACCAAAGGCAAATTCTCCAGCATAAAGGAAGGAAAAATGAAGTTTTTCCAAAACTTGTCAAAAAAGTTAAGTGGAAGGAAAAAACTGAAATTCCACACTGGAAAACTGTATACCTGCTATTACTTGTTTCTCTTAGTCTCAGGCGGACATATTGTTGGCAATGCAGTACA